ATTCCAAACAAAATTCAGCCCCCCCCCCCCCCCCCCTCCGCCTAAAGTAAATAAATGTATGCTGTGTAAACACCAGACTAGAAAGTTAATACAGTGTAATGGTGCTCTAATTGTCATTATATAATCTTCTCTTTTTCCCCTCAAACGAGCTGATAGTCTGCCAAATATCTCTTACACATATCTCAGCCAGTCATGTGAATCAAGATTTGAAATATCTTTTGGCAGCAGCAAGATCTTATGATGATAATATTCTAATCTAAGTCTCCAATATTTTCAACAATTGACATGGAATTGACAAAATGAACAGCTGTCTATTTCATCTCATTGAAGGTGGATCAGACATCTTCACAAAGTCAAGTTATTACGAACTTCGTCATATACCTTGACTGCAATAGTGCACTTTTCTTACATTATGAAATGCAGCAATTTGATTGGAATTTACGGCAGTGAATACAGTCAAATACTACCAAAGACTCTAATTGGCTGTATATGCTACAATCAAACCAAATAGCTGCATTTACAAATTTTTTTAATACATGAAAGGTGGCTATTGCAGTCAAGATATAAGACGTAGTTCGTCATTTGATTGCATTTTCTTTCAGATTTTGTGAGATGAAAAGAGATTTTCATGCGAAAGGATTATTCTAAAAATAGTCGTTTTGTGTGCAGTGACAGTCAAGCGGATGTTTATAAAATGTAGTGTTCTACTTTCAGTTTGGCCAGCTCATTATTTTCATGGTCAAGATATATTTAAATTTTGTCCAGAAACTAAGTATTGGCCAGGCATAGTAACATATTGGAAAGTTCCAACGATTTCTGGAAAAAAGTTATAGAATCTTGAAAATTAACATGGAAACAGATGGCAAATTAATTCCCGAGCATGGGTCCAGCTAATAGAGTGAATTTTTAGACGATTGTTTCCCTTTAAGTAAAATAAAGACCGCCATAGCTTACGTAGTTAAGTATTATTGTTGAACAATAGAAACACATAACACAGTCTTGACAAAACAATTTAAAAAGTCAACATATGAATTAAGCTGCTTTTATAGAAAGTTTTATCTCTCGAGCTGAAATTCTCCATAACATTGTCTGCTTTTGTTTAATCTTTTAGGTAACTTAAACGATTTTTTACTTCAGTGTCTCATCACTTGAGCTTTCAAATCCACGTGTGTCAAGAATTATCCTCGTTTGAAAGTTAAAATGACGACTCGTCTTTACTTGGAACTCTACCATATACAGAAAAGACATCTATAGAAATAGGAAGAGAAATTCATAGTTTGAGATATTTTTGAAGGAATTGTGCGATTTCCTTACATGTTTAGTACATCTGAAGGCTATTTACATATATTCAAAGCCCAAAAAGAGCCCCGAAAATGGCGAACCATCGAAATCCTGTGTCATTCGGCAAATCTCAGAAGTTTCCGTTACGTTGAAACACAGCAGGGTGTTACCAAGCTTGTTTTCGTATGTCCAATCAGATGCCAAAAATATGGCGTTAAGATAACTGATGGGTTGAGTGTACGAATATAAAACGAAATGAAGTCTCGCATCCTACTTTCCTGCATCTGATTGTCAAACTAAGCGACTCCCAAGAAAATTGCGATTCTCATTTTGATTTCCAAATGTTGAGGTGTATTTGCCGTGTTGTCCCGTCGGAACGATTTTGCCATGTTAGTCCCTGCATCACTGGCCTCACTGACCAAATTGACCTTGGGAAAATCTTAAATAAATACTACCTCTAAGGATGACCAAAATATTGAAATTTTTAAACTTGAGTTTTTGTTCGTCTGTGGACCTACCTGGTTTCAAAACTATAATTAAACTCTCTCTATAATCCAATAAGTCCACAAAACTAAGTAATAATCCATTAAACGCAGTGATTTTGAAACATGCTTAGAAGCCAGTTTCAAGAATTATTTAGTTTAATGGATATATCGCCTTCTAAAGAGATTATATTCTTTAGTCATGGCAACTGGTGAGTCCAACTGATGAATATATACACTTGTTAACCAAGTTTGAGACATTTATGTTCATTCTAAGGAGTAATATTTCTGCGGGTTATGAAGTAACTAAGCCAAGTTTATAGTTAAGTTTGTATGCTCTTCCAAAACATGAAAAAATGAAGTGAAAAATCGAATTAAAAGAACGAAAATGCAAGTATAGAATTTCTAATTGAATCGAATGTGTATGTATTACTGATGAGCATACGAACTCTGTTTGACACGAACATCATCAGATTGATGGCATTTTAAATTTTCAGCACGTATTATGAGGCCAATTAAATAACACATGTTTGTGAAAATCCATTTATTAACAATTACTGCTGCAAAACATGTCATGTACGTTAAAGGAAGACAGTCGTCCAAAGGCGTCAATGCGCGGTGCACTATAGATATAATAGAATAAAACAATAAGCGAAAAGTGAGGAATGGGCTCAGACACGACTCGAGTATGGCTTGAAATTCTATATCAAACCTTCATACATAAACCAGTCGATCACACAGTCGCAGTGTTGTATTTAGGAGAGTCGGCCATCGGGGCATAACCCCCCCCCCCCCTCCACCCCTCTACCCAAACACATACCCTCAACCCTTTGGAAGGTCCATGGCCACTTCATGAGCTCTGGGTTTAGGGCTGGACATCCGTTTCAGTGAATAATATATCATGATATGGGAATATTTCACGTTATTTCTTACGTATGGTTTTCTTAACAAACTGTTTTTTTTACCTACAATTTAAATATGTAAGAAAAACACTAAATAACTAAAGATACCATATATCACGATATACCGATATATCGCCCATTGCTATCTGGGTTATATTCTAAAGTGTCATCCATGTAATGGTTAACTACTGTATACCAGACATCACCTTGGTCTGGGTTATATTTCAGCGCCGTATCTACAACATGCCTGAGGGATCAGAGAACAAAAATGAGGCCCGAAGCTCCATTCAGATCAGGCAGCCCACTGCAGGTGTGCTTCTATGATTATATACCTCTTGGCATTAGTGCTTATCATTACAACAGCCATCCCGGCGTCTGTAGTTTTCTCACCGGAAGTGACGATCTCTAGTTTGATTCTACTCCGTTAACTCTCATTATTACATTTCAATGAACAGATATCTGTGATGTACATATCAAAGACAAATTTAAGTGATTTGAACGAGGGTTTCTCTTAAGCCAATTAATTTTGTCTGGTTTATAACGAAATCTATTGAAATTTTAAACATTTTGTCTGATGGTTAACATCAGAAATCCACCCAACTGAAAAGCTTGCTTTAAAACATTAAAAAGGTGAAACAAAATCAAGATATCAATCCTATGTGGAGTCTTTAGTAATTACTCAGATCTACAACTTTTAAAATAATTATGAAGATGATAGAAGAAAAGACTGTGTGACACTGGCATATTTCGAACCTGAGCTTTCATTTTACTCATTGTATTCAGTGGCGGGACTGGCGGCGTCAACCTTTCGAGACTGGAGTACAAATAGGGGACAGACTGATTCAATGGGTGGACAACTGCGCCGCCACTTTGCAAACAAATGGTTATGACTTTAACATGTAACAGTCTATCACTTGTTAGTTATGTTCTTATCGTTGTATAACGAGACAATTCTTTACTCATTGCCTTTGTACAAAACAAGCTGAAAACCGACATAAAGTCATCAAAACCTAGTTATAATTTCCACCTGTTTGAATCTACGGTATTCTGTATTGATGAGGTCACATAGCATAACGCATAAATTAATATAATACACTTATAACATCATTATCAGATTTTTTCCAATAATAATTATTTTTATAACAGTATTACTAACTTGAGCAGCTGCTTATTTAATGTTAACAATATGATGTGACCTAAACGAACTGCGATCTAGATTTAACCTGAACGAACTACGATCTAGGTTTAACCAGAACGAACTACGATCTAGATTTAACCTGAAAGAACTACGATCTAGGTATGACCTGAACGAATTACGATCTAGGTTTAACATGAACGAACTACGATCTAGATTTAACCTGAATGAACAACGATTCAGGTTTAACCTGAACGAACTACGATCTAGAGTTGGTTTGAACGAACTACGATCTAGAGTTGATTTGAACGAACTACGCTCAACATTTTAAACCTGAATAACGAACTTCGATCCAGATTGAACCTGAATTACCAACATCGATAACCTAAATAACGAACTATGGTCTAGATTTGACCTAGGTAACGATTTATTAGATTCTACCTAAATTGAGAACAAGGATCTTGATTCAGTCTGAATTAACGAATTTCGACCTAGATTCATTCTGAATGACAAACTGCAATCTAGATTGAACCCGGATAACGATCTTTAGTTAACCTAAGTAACGAACTAAGATTTAGATTTAAACTAAATTTAAACTGAATAACGAACTGCCATATATATTTAACCTAAATGAGTAACTATGATCTAGATCCATTCTGAATGACAAATCGCGACTTACGATCTAGGTTTAGTCTGAGTAACGACTTACGATCTAGGTTTAGTCTGAATTACGACTTACGATCTAGATATAGTCTGAATAATGAATTATCATCTAGATTTAGTCTGAATAACGAACTATGAAATGGATTCAACCTGAAAAGAGGACTGGGAACCAATTTTGTGATCACTGTGTACTCCAATGGGCCGGATGAACAACTCATGATTAGGAAAGTTGGATTTTAAAAATATATAAACATGACATATTGGTATCAATCTTACCTTAAAAATGCTACAACACCAACCCTAGCTATATCCTCTCGAGCTATATTCCACGTTTCACGAACTAAATCCATTTGACACTCGGTAAAACTGGGACGTTCTCCTAAATCCATCTCATTCGAGGACGCAATCGACGCCTTGCTGTTTTCCACTAAAGGAGGTTTTTGTAACATTGTAGGTGTACAGCCCATTCTTTGTATTAAAATACGTCGTTTATCTGATCAATGAGTTCGTTTGTACGTCCAAAGTCCTAAATTGGAAATTTACCCTCCATTTCCAAAACTAGCTGTACTGATGAGCATATGAGTTATATCCGAAACACGTGTCGGCGGCATGAGATAAGCTTTTTTTTAATTATAATATTGTAATGGTGAACACATGATGCCACTGGGATTTGGGCCTCACATTATCATCGTAGAGTCATGACACAGTATACTTCCAGAAGACCTACCATCGCCTAGCGATTAAGATCGTCAACTATAGTCTTCTCGTAATGAAGCCAGTGTGTTTAATGCTATTGTATTTTATGATTACATCCTATGAAGCTAGATTGATGAACGAGATAACTAGGCCACATATCGACTGTTTTTATTTGAGATGAATACTCCATTTAACGAAAACAGGGAACGCATTTTCAACTGCCCGATTTCGCTTACAAGGCTCTATCGTCATAGTAACTTTTCACAGCAAGAACATATTACTTTCATGAAATATCTATTATGTATATAACTATTCCTTCAGCAACACGTTTCTTATTCAAAAACACTGATTTCACAACCAATTCTAGCAATAAGACAAAAATATAACATCCATAAAGAAAAATCAATCTTATGATGAAACACAATTAAGAATTTGGCATATGTTGTTAGACACCGAGGTAACTTAACTTATATAGTTAAATAACTGGCATATCTTGAACTAAATTTCAATTGAATGATTGCACGATATGGTTAACGCAAATAGATTCGTAACAATTTCTTCTACTGTTACTAGATCACATACTGTTACTGTTTGATTGAGTTTCCCAATTGATACTAGTTTTACCATTTTAGTTCAAGAAACGAGTGGGCAGCGAAAACAAGGAACGCATATTATAGTGATAGCCATAAACACAATGTAGCACTATGTAATCCCTATTTTATTGTTCACACGTCGCAAATAACTCACACAAAAATTCACTTCGTAGTTGGATTTCTAACTCTACATCGTCCTTTGTGCAGAATAAAACTGTTCATTGATACACTGTAGGTTTAAAGTAGGTTTTCTCAATCACCAGTATGTTATTGTTAGGCCGGTATAATAAACAGTGGACATTAATAAAACTAGAAACTCTGAGTTTTCTGGCAGTGTGTTACATTGGTTCATAGAAACGCTTTTGACATTTTTAAAAAGGGATGGTAAAGCGTTTTTCTAAAAAGGGACACTTATAGCATAGATTTGCACCATTACGACTTTACGACTGCGTTTTATGACGTCACTATCGCAAGTTTCTTATATATCAATAGTAGCTTTTGAGAAAAGCCACAGATGCCTGACTGAAATTTATGCAAAAAATCGTGCAAAATGATGATATCAATATCCTCGATACATATGAAAATTTTAGAAAACCTCTTTACGATTCCTTTAATGAATAGTAATTCCACGAGGATTTGGTAATAAAGTAAGTTTTTATTCTGTGTCAGTCTGAAGACGGAATATAAAATAGTAAGTTGTACGTTGCTCTGTGGATAAACATATATGTATATTACCATTCGTTTCACTCAAAAATATTACTTGAGGCGGGGTCAAACTGCAAACCGACACTTATGAAACGCGTTACCAGTAACGTACAGAATAGAGAATCGTTTCAATGCGTACAATCCTATAACGAAGTCGATATACATAACAGAACTGGTTATACTCATCATGGTATATCGGAGAGCATCTAGATTTTGAACGACTGCTAGATCTGTGAGATCGACTACTGGAAAGCTGTCAAGAGTTGCCCATGTTCCAAATCAAGATATCCCTGGTGATTACAATGGGATTCTGCTACATACCTCGTGAAAGTATTATCTTTGATGTTGTCACGCAATGTACTACTAGGAACAACATCAGATATTACCCAACCACCGATAAAAAAACCACAATGAAAGTCTATGACTCCTGCATGCTGATATCGACTAGTTTATCTAAATTAGAATTTAATTGTAGCTTGCAGCTAATATTAGATGTTTATAAATCATCTTAATGATTTCCCATCACAATGGTATTAACGGAATTGCCATTAGGTTATCTTGCCTTTCCGTACGAGTAACACTTCTGAATCACATCTTTGTTGTAGCAGGAAGTTTTGAATGGGGTCATCAGGTCGTATACTTACGTTTCCGACAGAGAGATAGAAGATTAGAACAGGACAAACACCATTCTAATTCCGTTCAAGTCAAATATTGTACAGAATAGAAAGACATAAACGCCATAATTAAAAAAATACAAAATACAACGAAGGAGAGTAAAAAAACTCTATTATAAGAACAGAAAATTAGGAGACTTAACTCCATTTCATTTCATTAGCTAATACAGGAACAGAACGCTGGGACATAACATTCCATTTCATTTCATAAGTACAGAACAGTAGAATAAAAACTCTATTACCCAAATAAAATGTCATTTCGTTTCATAACGTACAATCATGGGTACAATACATTAGGACATAAAAACCCCTTTCACTTCATACAGAACAGTAGGACATCAAACACTTTTTCATTTCATCCCAATACGATACAGAACAGAAGAACATAAATCCTAAAAATTAGAGAACATTCAGAAATATTTAATATTCTGCAATCTGATGGCGGTAGAACATAATACTCCAACTGATTATTAATGTTATTTAAAATCTTCACGTGGAAAGTAGTTGTTAACTAATTGAAAAATAATTGCGTTTTCGTGTCTTATAAGTTCTGAGTGAAATTATATATGCCTCATATTTAATAGTATCAGCATTTCTTTGATATTGCTATTTGCACATCTTGATATCCATATAAACGTATCGTAATAGTTTTCCCATTCGCCAGTCCAATCTTAGAAACTGAAGATAAGAAAGCGATATTGTCCACCTGAAAAAAGTAACTGAGTGTAACAAATAATAATTTAATTTTTCTGCGCTGGACTTTTTAAGTTTGAGGTATTCATTGGTATATGACTATGTTTTTTGTGATTTTAATTAGGGTTTTTTTTATCATAGCCTCTTCTCACCGGACTGTGACCATTTGTGATCTTACAGCGACATAAAATGTACTAGGGCGAGGTCAAACGTAAGGAAAACTAGAGAAAAAGTCCCTAAAAAATTATCTAAAGTCAACCTATAACCTCGAGTTATGCAACTCGCTTTTATACTGCTCAAGGAGATGTCACATCGCTTGTCTGGCGACCTCTTCGATTCTATGACTATTTCAAAGCGTTGCAGAACAGATCGCCGAACATTGTCCAAAATACACGCCGTGACTCGGCGAATAGAGGCGACAATTGCCTGGCGGGGCATTATAGATCTCAGTTTTATCGAATTAAGTTTGGTCTCACTTTTAGTTTTGAATGCTTTAAGAGCAATTAGTCTATATTCATCAAATAGTTGATGTGTGGACTTTGCCTTCATTTGAGACTGCGTTAACACTTATATTTATTTTCCTCGTGTGAAATCAAATGCCAAAATATTTAATTAGAATGCAAACTATTTTATCTAGTATCTATTATTTATAGATCTTTTTAGTTGGCAAGTTAAACGTCACGTTAAATAAAATGACACTTCAGTTTCAATCCACAAAGGACTGGTGGTTATAATCGAACCTATAACTTTTGGTCATTTATCAAATTTCAAATAAGTGAAGTGTCGCCTTTAAGTAAAAATTATATACAAATGTAATCCAATCCAGATAAAAGACAAAATTATTATACTAAATTTATTTAAAAAATATCCATTTTCATATGAAACATTGACCCTATTTTAGATTAAGTTCTGTTAAAAAGTTTATTTACTGTTAAATATGTGTTTATTGTCGCCATTTGATATTATCAAAACAAATAGCCTATTAGGTGTGCAAACATTTATTCACAAAAACCAATTATTACACCATTACTAGCGAATTGGGCGTAATGAATAGCTCTTCAGAATTACATAAACATTAAATAAATGGCATTACTTTGTTTACTCTAAATGAATTTTCCTGTCTCATTAGCCCACACTGAGGCAGACGAGTCAGTCATGTAACCTCATTCCAATTTATTTGTAAGAGAATTTACATGACGTGACGCATATAGATAGAGGATCTTAAACGAGTACTTATGTAATATGAAATTAATGAAATGAGTTGCCAGATTTAATATTCCCTTGACGCCTTGATGATACAATACAATACACATACTTATATAGCGCCCTATCTTAAATACCCTAAAGGGCATGAAAATATTTAATCCGGCAACACACTTTATAAATTTCATATTACAAGCACGAGTGAAAGATATAATTCTATTTATCACACAACATATTACATTTTGTCTAAATTCCTTGCAAAGTTTCTATATAGGGCCATCATATGAGGTCAGCCCCTTTGGCCTTGCGCGTAGGAAATATGATCTTGATAAACACGTTCATGTTTTAACTAAATACAAAAGTTTTAATCAAATTTATGTTTTGTGGACTAATTTCATGCCATTTATCTTCAATTTTAACCCAGTCGTCAACTTCGAAATATGCCAATGCGAATACATGACCTAATATACACAGTGCTGCGAGTCCATATTGTTTTTTATGAACCCGTGTTATGAACCTGGGAACTGTTGTGTGATAAAGGAGGATACTTCATATCTCGTTAATGATACCGCAAATTGACTGAAAATTTTAATTAATGGAAGTGGTTTGGATTGGCAATTAATTAGAAGAATAATTATATGCCTGTATAATAATAAAATTTACAAAACAATCCTTATGTCATTATTATCCCTTTTAAACTAGGATTACAATGAGGGTTTACTTTTTATAACACATAATCTGCAATAGCCATGTCAATATTTTCACCTCAGTTAATCATACTGGCGTCATTCAGTCTATCTAGACTATCAATTCTTATTACAAAAAAACATAATAGAAAAATAGTGCCTGCTATCTTAAACTAAATTATTGCATCAAATAGCTAACAGACCGTGACACGATAGCAGTGAGCAAACATTATTCTCAACTATCGTGTTAAACTGGCTATCGGTTTGTGAAATGACAGACTTATTAAAATAAGATCAAACTTTCTTTCCTTTTTTATTAGCTTTTATATCTAATGTAGCCACTTTGACGAAAGCTTCCTAAAACATTCATCCAATTACGCTTTTGAACTAACCTGATGGCCTCTGCTTTAACCAATCAAATTTTTACTGGGTCAGTTGGGGACATCCAATAAAATGGCGTTTTCTTATTTCAGTGGACTTGATCATAATTTTATACTGCTGGGATACAACTTTTGTTCACGTCACAAAATCCCAGCGCTGGAAAGGCAAGAAATTTAATTGGTTAGGTTAGTTCAGGCTTTTTAAATTAGCTAGCACTGATCCACGATTTTACTATCGGTTAAACTTGATCAAAATTACCGTGTCCAACTGGCAAACTTATTGTGACATGATAGCGATCAGTCACCATTGATCAGAACTATTGTTTCCAACCAGCCTACCGATTGTGACACGATAACTTTGGGCCAATATTTATCTAAACTGACTTGTCAAACTTTTGCGACACGATCTAAATCATCGTGCTCAACTATCAATGCAACATGATAACAGTGAACCACCATTGATGAACACTATCGCCTCCAACAAGCTCACAGAAAGTGTCACGATAACTTTGAGCCATCATTGATCAAAACTATTGCTTCCAGTTAGCCTACAGATTGTGACACGATAGCGATGAGCAACATTGGTTAAAACTAGGGTTTCCAACTTGCCTACAGATTAAAACACAATAGCAAGGAGCCGCCATTGGTGAAAAATAACGTTTTCAACTAGCCTACAGATTGTGACAGCATTGAGCCAACATTGATTTAAACTAACTTCAAGCTAGCTCAAAGATTGTGACACCATATCAGTGAATAAACTATCGAGTTCCACTGGCAAACAGATTGTAATACGATAGTAATGAAACAACATTGATCTTCTATTGTTGTGATAAAACATTATTTTTGAATTTTGAATCCAAAAAATTGAAAATGTATTGTTTTTAATTCCTTAATCTTAAAAACACGTACAATTATAATAGAATGACAGATGGACTGACTGATATCACAAACATCAACAACAAAAACGAACTGTGCTTGTACCGTGGACTAGAATGCAGAATAGGTCTATTTGTTGTCAGACTGGTATTCTTACATCCACTGTAATGAAACATAAACAATGGTTATCTGATGTTAGTACAGTTATATATCATTGTATGTAGTTTACTTGCCAAACCATCGCATAACTTGAATACTTCCCGTCAGCAAACAGCCAAATAGTAAATAATCATAACAAAATAAAGAGAGATAATAAATTTGAGCTGATTTGGATTCGTAGGTTCGAGTTCCCAACTAATTACCAGTTGCAGAATTCATTATATTGGTGATTGTACTTAGAATCCCACTTAAGGTACCCCCAAATTAAATCTTTTTTTCTATATTATATGTAGGACTGACTGCAAGACGTCATTGGGTTAGTGGGACAAATGGTCGTGGGTCCTAATTTCGATCGCCCCGTGAAAATATGAAATATGTCATCTTTCCTTATTCTTCCAATTGCAATTATTAATGCCAAGAGGCTGGGCATGGACCAGCTGGATCTTTCCTGTAAAATATGTTGTTTATTTCTTTTTTTAGTTGAATGAATATGGCGTCCAATGGCTACAGTATGCAATGGGAAACATTTTGCTAGGTCAATTGCATTATTTTTCTTTTTCTTTTTCATTAAAGTTATTAATTTTGCCTAAAGTCAAAGGCCAATATTCCATTATGACAAATAAAAATATTTCCATCCGTTCACTTTCTAGCTTTAAGGTACGAAACGGTGGGAGGTTTTCATAATAGCACTGATTTTAACCTCCCCGCTCTTATACATAAATAGACAAGCGGAGTTAAAAAAAACTAGGCCTTAAAGGGATATTTTGACAACTATCTTCACAATGTCTAACTATTACGAACATCGTCTTTGACAATGTCAAACTATTACGAACATCGTCTTTGACAATGTCAAACTATTACGAACATCGCTTGGACAATGTCAAACTATGATGAACTTCGTCTTGGGCAATGTCAAACTATTATAAACTTCGTCTTTACAATGTTAAACTATTACGAACGTCGCAATTTGATAGGATTGTACTTGAGCGAGTGCAGCCAATCGACTGTAATCATTTGGCTTATTGTTTACAGACTTTCCGTTAAGATCTCTTATTTCTTTGCCTATAATTCAATTAAATGACAGCATTTTCAAACTTCTGTGATGAAAGAATGGTGGGTATTACAGTCATGGTGAAGATGTAAAAATATATGTTGTACCAAGCCAAAAATTTCAGTACAATTACGCAATAATAGAAATAAAATAGGGATTAATGCCTTATTAAAAAAAAACAGCAGAACGCATTTTTGAAATTAAATTTAATGTTTCAATTTTCATATTCAAAAAAAAAAAAAAAATACATATATTATTTTCAAAACTCTTCAAAAATTATAAATGACAAGAAACATTACACAAAAATTAATGTGTCTTTAGAAAATAAAAAAAACACCTCGAACAATAAGCAAGGCAATAATAGAGTTGAGCAGCTGCAGAAACAATTTTATTTTTGACAGAGACAAATTTATTATCATTATTCTGACCACAGCAAAATACCATTGTATCAAGTATTATTCTCTGTAACATAAGATAGCCATTGTGGATTTCCACGGAATCATGACTCCAACAACTGAAAACTGACATATACCAAGCAAATAAAGTCGGGAATTTAAAGTTTCAGTTAAAAAAGAATTTATCCTCATGAACGCGTCTTCAAAGATGTTCAAAGTATATTGTGGTTTCCTCAAGTTCCATGCATGTCGTTCAAAATTCAACTGGTTTCGATTATTTTATCTGCGTGTATGATGACTCTTAAAGTATATAATCCACAAATCAGCGTCATATTACAATATTTGAGAACAATGGTGGCTCATTGTTATCGTGTTACATTCTATAAACTAGAATGTTGCGACAGTTAAGATAGTAATGCTTTCTTATGGCTATTTTATCACAGTCTGCTGTTTAGCATTTGATCAACACAAATTTATGTTTTTGCTGTTTGTAGAACCTGATTTAAGATATATAGCAATAACAGTATCAAATAATGAAAAGGAACATTCATCAGGAAACGACAAAACATAGCGAAGCCTTGATGTTCGAGATCTTATAGAATAGCAAAGTCAAAACACCAAAACTTAAAAAAAGTATTCCTTTCACTGCCACTTTAAATAAAAGACAATAAGATGCAAATTACTACAAAGAAAAAAGCTATCAATATATGAAGCTAGAAACAAAGACGTAAAGAGGCCAATTTCATGGAATTACCCTTGAAATGACCACCATATTTTTAGACCACAATTTTCAGCTTCCGGTAATCTCAGAAATTACAACAGAATCAAGAAGCTTAGTTTTACTGGGATCGATACGACAGCAATTATGTCAAGTTTAACTTGCTTCAGGGTTTTCTTACGTCTCGTCAAACCCGTAACTTTATTAGTCTCTACAACACCAGTCCTGCGTGCAGTTATCCGTTAAACGTTTTCCTACGCCGCAGGCTACAGCTAAATGACATGACAAGAATCTTTAACGTTACTGCTGCCTTTGCGTTTTGGTTTTATCCACTGAACGATGATCTGTATCAAATCATTGTGTTAGTAGTTAGTAGTATCTTTCAAAACCTGTATATCGTTTTGCTTTTTTGTATTGAAGGAATCGTGTCTTACAATTGGTTGTAGAAGGGACGTTTTTCGAAAACTGTTTCTTGAAAACAGCCAGTAGACAATAACGTTAATAGAGGGCCTCACTTGGTAACGTAGACAAAACATTTAAAACACAAAAACAGAGCGACTCGTTCATAAAACAAAACATTAAAATCACTTCATACTGTAACAACATATGAAGACATCGTATACCATATATGTTACTATTCCATAAAGACTACAATGTTTAATGGATATCTAATTTACATAAAGTTTCTTGCGTCAATTAGTAAAGCACAGCCGACAAGAGTTTCTAATAAAAGGGCTATAACGGTAAATATGAACGACCAGGATAGTGTGTGCATTCCAAGATCTTTAAACATAGACGCGAATATTATCACTGCTAGTAGATAAGCTGCACCTGAAACATAGAAAATGAACATTGAATTAACATACAGCTTAACACATTTGAATCAGTCAACGTTTTGTAAATCATAGGTCCATAACATAATTCGAGCATCCACATATATCGTATCCATGTAGCTGTCAGAACATTCTTCGGGCGACGCAATTCTTTGCGATCAGAAATTTGCTTGCTTTTTCAGTCCTCCTGTTTTGACAATGGCTGTCATATAGTGTAAACTTAACTTCTCTCCCTCCCCCACTTTTGTTTAAACATCTATAACATCAAGCATACTAACCCTTTCCCTCCCCACCAAACCCCCGTTTTGATATAATGCATGTACCCCGATTTACAGACAAAGGCTGGAATCCATTTTAAATCCCTTTAACCTTACTTGAAAGAATGCAGATAATACCAGCTGCCATGGCTAACTTGGTATTCTTCTTAAACCGGTGCCAGAAAATATAGATTAATATTAGAGCCACTGATATATTACTTCCTACAAAACCAAATATACTGAAAGCTTGCACTGAGGCGTACCAATCTGAAAGCATACAAATAGTACAGTTTAGTCAGCATTCTGAAAATTGAAACCGGAAAAGTTTCGAGTCTAGGGTCTACTTGGTCATAAGCCTCCCTTGGAGTTTCTGAGCGAGAATTTTTTAGAAATTGATTTGATGCATTCTGACACATATTTTGAAGCAAAGACGAATAAAATGTTTAAATTCATAAGAAATGAAGTGGCTGTACTATTGGCGCCGCCTCTACTTGTGAGACACCTGCCCTGTGATCATTTTTAATATGTTTTGAGACAGTTTGTCGTTTCTTCTGAAAAAGTCATGTCATATAATATACTGTGCAGAAGACAAAACGTTTTGTGAATGGACAGACGAACAGGTATTTTGTGGTAATGATGCGACGCCGAGTTTCCGGGGCTAATCATACCTACCTATTCGAACTCCTGCTGTATCTAAACATGGTGTTTGTAGGGATGTCCCGCAGATCTTCCACAGCCCGACACCTAACCTGGAGTCGTTCTCATAACCCTCACCCCACGAAGTCGTAGTAAACGATATCCAAGATGACAGATTCGCGAAAAGATTAAAAATCAGAGTTATTTTGCCGAGAATTGAAATCTCGGACAATCCGGTCGCTTTTATATCCATACTTTTTACAGAATATTCTTCCGATGTGAGTACAAATATGTCCATAGTGAAAAATCCAGTAAAAACAAAATGGAGGTTGAAGTATGTATGGTATTCATTATTTATGATTTGTTTGTGTATTTATGTCGCCATGTTGTGGACAATGGTACTCCATCTTGTTGACACTACAGTATTATGATCATAAAACTTGTCGTTAGATTGGATGAAAGAGGTCGCGAGTCCGCAGAGTTGAGGGGTAGACATATGGAGTGGTAATCCTTTACCCCGTCCGCTTTCTTGTAAACACGGGCATCGTAGAATATCCGGTAATGTCTTGATGGACTCATTAATGGTTAAGCTTTGTATAGATATCAAAATATATGCGAAATTTGTCTTTCAACATGTTGAAAACTCTAAAAGCAAGCGAACCAAAAGTGCGTCAGAGCAGTTCTCATAAAAAGTGAATTTTATATCTGGCCCCTAAATGTGCCGTTATCATATACCATGTCTGAAATGAAATGAATGGAGTTTTACGTGTATAAGGTCAGATTCAAACTTAAGGCATCTAATCCTTTCGAGCGAGATTTCGACACCTGTCTGAATCTCAAAGACATATTTCTTGCCCCAAGATGCATTTGTGAATCGCCTTTGCACTTTGCCAATCCAACTCGTCACCGATACATATAGTTGGGTTATCTCCCATGTATTGTGTACTGACTACAAGTTAACGGTTTACCATTGCTGTGGATATACTAGTATTAACAAACTTTACAAATTGAGATAATGAAGACTTCAGTTGAATCAAATCAATATTTTATACGACCTTAAAGGTGTTCCTGTTATTTGCTGCTCCCCATCATCGCCACGCCGACATACATCAGATTGTCCGTTTCCTAACAGATCAGATGTAAGTTGAAACAACTTTCCTGAAATTTGTAGCGGTTAAATTGTTTCTAACGAAAAGGTCACATTATTTGTGTTACTGCAGGCACGTCAAAACGTTTTTTCTTAAATGTTTAATCAAGACAGTATTGTGTAGCTTTGCGTATTCTGTATGAACTATGAGGTTAAAGAGAGATGATCGTCTAAATAATGGTCTTGCCAGTCTTTAAGGTTTAATTTCAACTATCTTTTTTACTTTTCAAAGTCGAAACACGAAGTCGGTCTGAAATGAAATGTAAAAAACAACAGTGAGTGACGCGGTTGATGTCCAGAAACCTAGATTCTCCTCATTGACCGATAACTATTTAGACGACAATATGCTTTTAAAACAAATCCCAATTTGTACCATGTGACATATAATGATTATATATATATGATAACCCGGGCGCCTGTTTAAGTTTACATGTACTATCAATGTAAAACGTCGTGTTTAATCATACTGTATTATTAGTCCACTTATAACAAAACAGCTTATAGTTTCATATAGCTCGAGATAGTAACTTACTGAAGTGATACAGTCGTCTAAATATTCGTTGTAGCAGCTGATAGAACTTAAACGGATATATTCTATATTGTAGTATACCATCTTGACAATATCAAGCTATTGCGAACATTCATCTTATACATCGTCTGCAATAGTTCTTGTATTACGGAAGTTTGTAAATGGGTCAATTTGATTGGATTGTATGCTAGCTAATACAACCAATCAGAGGCCTCGGCAGAAATTATGTGAAAACATTATGTTTGCAGTCTTCCTGTCCAAGGCTCTGACTGGATGTATTCGCCAGAATCAAATCAAATTGTTGCATTCCGTGATACAAGACTAGTGGTTATTCCAGTCAAGGTATTAGTATGCCTTGACATTGTGAAGATGTAACCAGTCGGAAGAACTTCTTTTCAGCTTCCTTATCAAAAAGCACACCTGGCGCACTGTTCATTTGACAATCATTTTAGCATTTGGTTTACCAAAATAAATTCCAACTGAATCATTTTTTAGGTCATCGGTGTTTATACAATTGTGAACGAATCAGGTGTCAGTTTCCTTTTTTTGCATAGCAAAAGCTTGAATTGAACTCTATCAGTGGTGGACTAAATAATTGGACGACTCTATACCTTTATAAATCCAAACATGCATTGTCATGTTTAGTTTGAAATGTAAAATCAATTTAAATTTGAAAGAAATCTCACCAAAAGTAACTTAGTAATAGGGATTTGAGTGTATAGTAGATTGGTGTTTTGGCGTGATTAGCCTATATAATCTTCAACAATTAAATGTTCAATCTATACGACTGTGGATATAGTACAGTTTCAATAGTTAACCGTGACAACGTAGGTTTAGGATTACTGTAATCTAATGTATAGGCTATAGTTTATCCATAGCGACGCATTGTTCTCGTCCAAACCTTTACCAGTAGAATAGAGAGAATTTTAAAACGGTATGTGTATAGTTTGAAAAGATATTTGGTTGATTTGAACATTGGAAACAAATTGAAAGTAGGAATATTTTAATCTCGAGTTTGCATTCGACAGGTTTAGATCACGTGGTACATTTTTAACAAGTGTGATATAACGTTATTCGATAACGTCATGTTTTGATACGTTAATTAGAATGTAATATCTGTTGTTCAACGTTATACCATTATATCTGCTATAGACATGAAATTTGGATTACTGTAGTGCTGGGAAGACTTACTGTGCTAAAAGTCAAGGTAAATATAGGAATGTGGTTCTTGTCGAAGTCTGGAATGCAATCATTGATTATTGTTACTCACAGCTTATTGTGAGCGAGTCAAGGCAACGTGAATTTTTATATATAATAGACACTAACTGAATCAAAGTTAGATTTTAATAAAGCTACAGAATGGAGTAACCTGAGTATTTCAATTTTGTTATCACAATAACCTCAGAATATTCACTATTTTTCTTTACAGATAGAGCAACCTTATTTGTTGAAGAACCCTGGCATTAGCAGGTGAAAACAACCATCTGTGAATCCGAAGTTGGTAGGTGTTTAAATCCGTGCTCTTAAACTGAAAAGTGAATTGTAGAATGTTGCCTATAACGAACATAACCAACATTTAAATGTTTGGATGAAACGAATTTGCGCAAATCTAACATATTTGAAGCAACTGGGCGAGATTTTAGAATTTAGAAAAGTGTAGGAAATGAATATTTAAAATTTGGAAAAGTTATACTGAATTGACACTTGCAATCGCAGAGCGGAACAGTGCTGTTGTTGGTTATTTCAATTTAACTTAACGTCTTTTCCAGTAACGTAGTAACAAAACAGATGGTACGGGTCTACAATTATTGATACCAGTGAAATATAAAGAAAAAATAATCATATAATTCTGAAAGCAATTAAGCCAACGGGTCTGTGGTTTTGAATTTACCCGTTTCCACCCCAGAAACTTGGATTAATCTTAGGCGGATTAACAGATTACACCAAAGAATAATCCCGGCTTAGTTGACACAGTGCCAAACGATTTCATTATTGTGTGACTCAGCTAATCCGAGTTCACTTGCAGGTTCGAGAATTTACGTAAATAAGTTACTACTTGCATTGAGAATATGTTTAAGTCAGTGAACTATTGTCAGTTATGAATTTCCTACTGCGAACATAAGTATACATGTGTTTCAGATACAGAATCCATCGATAGTGAACTATTTACTACATTATTAAGTGCACATGCGTTTCACTTCATGAGTGAATTTGACATTGCCAGCGACACCCGCATTTGACTTTGTCAACGAATCGTTTACCAGTAATATAACATTAGACGATATCATATCGGGAGACACCATTAAATCTGAAGAAAACTATAACTTGTGATGTTTAATGAGGCCCATAGTGTAATCAACAAGACTCTCTTTTGAGCACAGATTTCACAAAGATTAGAAACTGAAAAATTCAAAATGGCGGACAGTGGTAGCGAAAAGGACATACTGTCGAATCTGAACAAAGACTTCAAAAAATCCAAAGCGGAACAAATATTACGGTTGTTAAAAGACCAAGAGTGTTTGAATCAAAAGTTTAAGGAATTTGCGCTGGAGTCAGACGACTCGGATGTAAAAACGGACGACGAAACTGGAAATCTGACAGAGAGTGATGAATCTATTGAAGAAACGGAACGAAAACTGGCCGAGACTATCTCTTTAAGACGACACAGTGGAGTGCGATGTAAAACTTCAATGGGGTTCTATAATGATATTGAGTGCGATGACGACAGTGGAATAGCAAGTCGAGATCCGTCTGCAAATCCAATACACCAACATCAACGATCTTCTAAATCTAATCCACGAAGACGAATGTATACCCCACGAGAAGATAAACTGGACCTGAGTGACACGGAGCCAGACGAGCAGGTTATTGAATCTGCGCGTGCTCCCTCCAGATCGAAAGGCGGCTATGGAATAAGATACGAGCTCTCGCTACTCAAAGCGACACAAGACCCTGAGCCCCCGAACCCTATAGTTAATGATTCTTACATCCGGCGTCGACCACGACTGTCATCAGCTAAAATTGAACCATTAGGTCGGAAAACTCCTATTAGAAGTTTTTGTGAAGGTCGTGAAGGACTGGAAGATGTTACTTACAAAACTTATTCCCCTTTACCTCCCCGGAGTTTCACTCCACAAACATTTACCCCAATAGGCGCTGTGTCTTCATCCGAATTGCACCCGTCACGACTTCTGAATCGTAGCAGCACTCTTGTGGATCGTGGATTGAGATCTGGATGTTACGTTCCTAAATCCCGACCATTTACCCCCACAGAGGCGGCTTTACACGACACCAGAGCCTCGCCCGTAACACGACCCAGGCGAAAATTACCAGATATAGCAAAAGCTAAAGCATTGACAGTGATGAAATTACCTCCATTAGAGTCTAATAAATCTTTGAGCGGACGTGAATTTATAGGTTTGTCTACAGAACCGTGTGCTTCTGATATCCGGTGTTGAATGGGTCGATGATTAGACAACATGTGTTTTCCAGCACGAATATTCAGGCATACTGTATCGGTCATTATTAGGAACCGGATAATTGAACAAGAAGGCAACCGGTTGGTTAGCAGAGTTATCAGTTTGACATACGATGCTAACGTCCGGATAAACCATGTTTGTAATGAAGCTGACAATGCGGTGTCAACAGGGGAACCTGATGTCATGACATGTCTAGTTTAAAAATACAGTTTACTACAAACAACTGGCCACACACATCTTTTCATCAACCACCAATGACTAGCAGTACTTTCTGATTTCATTGACTACCTACAAAATTGATGGTTGAATTTTTAACGATGGAACACTCATCGAACGCGTCCCGAGAAAGTCATGCCATATTGTGTAAATGCTTTTATATGTTTGTGACATTGCTTAAGGAGTTTTATGTGCTTTTTCATCTATCTATTTCAATTGTCCAATGCAATCCAACTTCTGCTAGTCTACAATTTGATAAAAACGTAGCAACGGAAGTGGTGAACAGCCTGTGTTCATCTATAACTGCTTTAAATGGCGGAATTGACGAGAGGCACTAGAATTATGTTTTACCATAACTATAAGACGGCCAAATCCCCCTAAAAAGTCGTCTTTTATCCAGGCCAAACTGTGATTATTATTGTCCAACTGTGATATTGTTATGTTTATTATTGTTTACAGTTGTATTATAACTTATATAATGAGTAAATCCTATTTATTTGTCAATTTGTACGTTGACCTTTGGCCTGCAGTTATCACTGAAATCTACCAGTTGAATGACGCAATGCATAGTAAACACAATTTTTGTGATGCATTAAACAGCACAGCATTAGACGGACGTATGGATTGAGATTCTGCGAGTAATGACGCATTGTAATAAGTAGAGCACATAACATAACGATAGTATCGGCACACAACCCCACCCGACCCCCCCCCCCCTCCCCCCTTTTTCCCCACCCCTATAAAGGAAGAAAGGAAACCCCACCGTGACCTCTATTTGGAAGTTATTGTCAGATGATTATGAGAGAGGAATGGAACTTTACGTCCATCTGCTCTGAAATTAATTGTTGTATAGATTTACTCCTGGTATAATTTAAAAATATTTCCACCTCACCTTACATCTGCAGATAAGAAATATTTCCACAGTACTCACAGAGTTACCCATCCTACAGCAGTGCATACGGGGATGGGATGTATTGGAGGTATTTTTGACAATAATGGATGTAGGGAAATAATTGTTGTGGAGGTTTTTATGTGCAACTTTGACTTGCAGCGTTTGGGGATCCTAACAGAAGTAATACAAAGATGTCGATCTGATATAAATCTTTTGAAATAAATTATTATTTGTAAACATCATATGATACAAATATTTGACGTATTTTTGTGTAAAGTACAGACTAAGATATCAAACACATAGCTGTCCTGACGAAGAATATGTATCTTAAACACGTGTCAACAGCAAAACATGAGTAGTCAATAGCATGCAGATTCACTTCACAGTCACATACACATATGAGTAATTTCAGAGATCGTCTCTAACTTGGTGGTTGTCAATATGAGGTAGACCATTTATGTATTTTGCATCGAGTTGTCGTTTGTTATCGACAATGATCTCTACGAACACGTTTTGGCACTGTTCTTGTTTTTACTCTAATAAGTTTCCTTAGAGAACATCATATTGGTTTATGCATCCCTCTAAAGAGTTCATATCGCTAATATTGTTTATTTGGTATATTAATTCCATAAAGATTACCGAAATAACATTTTGACATCCTGAGAGGTAACACATGAGCATAGTCAACCGAGGTAACACACAGACTCACGGACTGATCCCAGTTCTGAGTTGCAATATTACAATTTTACAATCGGCGGTGAGACACGCATAGAATATTCAAAATCACACAAAGTATAAGTATAATCCATTTAATCAACACGTTAAAATTCTGCGTTCATCAACCAATGAACGCAAAAAAATCTACATTCAATCCTTATTTATATCTGCTGCCGAAATTATAAATAACGCAATAAACGTTAAACGATCACTTAACACTTGACATAAATCCTTGGTATATCCATTCAGATAGATCTGAGATCAGAATACTAAGAGGAATAATGGACAGTTTCATGCTGGATCGATAAAATCGATAGGTTCGCCAGCAGAATCAAGTTCATCCTCGTGACCTGGAAGAGGCGGAGTAACACTTGGAGAAGGTGCAGATGGTCTGACAGGAAGTTCATCACGACGCATCAAGGGCGGTAAAGGATTAAGTAGTCTGTTAACTCGAATATATCGTCCATTAAATGACTTATTTAAACTTCTATTTGACAACCTTGAAGGATCATTCCGAGAGGGAAAACTTTGGAATGATTTGGAACCAAGAGATTTGTTTGACCTGAAATCGGATCTTCGATTTCCCACAGGCGACGCACACAATATTCCTGCGTTTTGTTCAATGGCCATGACTTCATCATCAGGTACATCATATTCCTCACTGTAACTATCCTCCACTGGTTTGTCAATAAATCCAGAGTCTTGAACACCAAGGGGAGGTAACTGTCCTATATCAGGTAATGGTGCTTTCTTTTGAAGTCTTAATATAGTTGGTTGTCTTTCCAACTGTCTTTCTCGAACGAATCGTATAATTTCATCCGTACCTGTATCATGCCTACGATGTCGATTCCTTTTTTCATAAGCGGGGCTTCGGGTTCTTTCGGGTTTGAAGCCTCGTCTCTCCATGATGGTTGTTAAATTATTAATTCATGCGATTTTCTACTTTTTGTTACATACACAATCTGAAAATAGAAAAAAAATGCGGTTTTATGAAATATAATACATTAAATTAATGCAATCAAACAGAACTGTTACAACATTTGGAAGCGTTCGACAACATTTCTTTGAGTCAAAATGTTTCCTGTACGTACATAAGTTTTCATGCGACCAAAGTTTCTTTGTACCAACAGTTTCTGTAGGTTTCCTGTGTATTTGTATTTGTGTCCGAAAGCGATGTGCATATATGTTTTCTTATTGTGACTCGGTCTATTTGGTACTTCTATTCACATCTGATTCAATAGCCCGACAAACCTGGCCCTACGTGTTCATCGGAGGTATTATAGTGACGATATCCCATCCGTGTATGGCGTTCAAGGAATGGGTAGGGACCTTATTTTGTCAAGCAACAGATCCATTAGTCCCATATCTTGCACAGTATCTGACACTATATCTGAATAATTCAAACGATTCATATATTCACTCTTAAACATCCTTAGCATACAGGCCAACTTTTTGTACAGATTCCAACAAACTTTGTATCTCCAATGATCCGAAATTCGGGTAGTAAAAACCAAATTCATTTCATTTTTTCCCCATCAATATTTGAACAATTTGCAATTATCATGTACATACACTGTCAAGTCCAACAAAAAGATTTGTAAACTTTAAGTAAGAAATGATAAAGAATAGTAATGTTCTTATCTGTTTGATTAATAAACTCCGAGTTCAAATTTATTATTGAACATTTCAATTGAACAAGTGTACACTGTAAAAAATTTCAGTAAAATTTGCTATCACACACGTACTCTTGGTTTAAGAGATAGAGCACATAGAGCACAATTTATGTTAATCGTTTTACAGTGTAGGTATATCGAACTATTTGAATATAACTATTCGCATCAAAGTAATTCTGAAGGATATTCTATACAGTGTAGATACATCAAACTATTTGAATATAACAATCTTATCAATGTAATTCTAACGGCTATATTCTACAGACAAGTTTTACAGTGTAGATATATCGAACTATTTGAATATAACAATCTTATCAATGTAATTCTAATGGCTACATTCTACAGACAAGTTTTACAGTGTAGATATATCGAACTATTTGAATATAACAATCTTATCAATGTAATTCTAATGGCTACATTCTACAGACAAGTTTTACAGTGTAGATATATCGAACTATTTGAATATAACAATCTTATCAATGTAATTCTAATGGCTATATTCTACAGACAAGTTTTACAGTGTAGATATATCGAACTATTTGAATATAACAATCTTATTAATGTAATTCTAATGGCTATATTCTACAGACAAGTTTTACAGTGTAGATATATCGAACTATTTTAATATAACAATCTTATCAATGTAATTCTAATGGCTATATTCTACAGACAAGTTTTACAGTGTAGATATATCGAACTATTTGAATATAACAATCTTATCAATGTAATTCTAATGGCTACATTCTACAGACAAGTTTTACAGTGTAGATATATCGAACTATTTGAAAACAGTATAACTATCGTATCAAAGTCATTTGTTATAAATTAAGATATCTCCGATCGACATTTCGTATTGAAACATTGTTTACTTTTAAATCAATGAATAACTCATGATAGATAACTAAAATTGATTAGAGTCAACACTCGTGACCTTTTCAAAAAGATTTTTCAAATGTGTCCAAACTTCCAAATCTCTTCATAATTAAGGAAACTTTTGACCTGGTCAGAGTTTTAGAATAACAGATTTCTTTAATCAGACTAAACATCAATTACAATATAAGTCATGTGAACTCTCTAAAAAAGGAATCCAAATTGACAATCTATAATTGCTGTCAGGTGATAAACCCATAAGTAAAGCGACATCAGGTATTTTAGTGTTAAATTTCAGCCTTAGATCCTGTACAACTATTCCTATACAAAACATTTGCCCCTTGGCCCTGATAACTATGGAATATTGAAAGTATAAAAACCATTAGCATTGTAATCTTGCTAATTATATATATTTTACTGTGTGGATTTCACTAGGTCAATCTTTAATAGTGGGAATATTTGAATAAAGAGGACATTAAAAGCTTTAAGTATTGTTATAAACCGGCTATTATTATAATGCTACAGGTTGATACAAAACTAATGGTATTTATACAAACATATTCAATACGCATAAATCATTGATATACTATTTATACCACAGTTAATAACATTTAATATCCTTCTTGACTACTCTTCTATTGGTCGCCATTAGGATTGATTGTACATTTCAAAAGCTAAATTACTTGATAGCTAGATATTATCAAGAAAAGTGCCAACAAGAGGCTCGTTGTCAGGAATTTCAAGGCAATTTGGGTGCATGTTTTTGCTAAGATTGGTCCATTTCTAGATCCATCAGGGGTTTTCAACCCTTTTCTTTCTATTGTTCCTTTAAGGGTCCGTGGTCGATCTCATCACCTCCCTTTCCCCTATAAATCCTTACAATTTCTTGATTTTCTCTAGGGTTTTTCATGAAATCGTTTTTCATGTCGGAGAATATATATTGGTATTTACCCCCCTACCGCCAGAGAGATAACCCCTGCTTGAAATCATTGTGGCAATAAAGATTTTGCAATCTAATTTCCTGCTGCCTTTATTCCCTTGCTTTCGTAAAGCTCAAATGTATCAATGTTCTCTCAGGTTGCTTTCAGCTCTTTCCTCCAAACAGTGATGCAGCACGGACCCCTATCCTACTGTATCACACGCTCAAGTGTCCCTAACAACTGCCTGCTAGCTGGTGTGCATTAATAACCTGAGTTAGAAGATCATGAAGCTGTCAATATAACGCTAAACCATTGTTTCGTAGACAATGAAATATCGACCATAATTATGATTTTATATCAAACTTGTCTTACAATCGATTGGGGAAAATAAAAGTACTTCTTTAAAATGAGAAGAGAAGCAGGTCTTTGTCTGGATTCAGACAAACCTTATAGAATTTCCAGAATAGGTTTATATAGATACAGACAAACTTGAATTTGACGGTCAAAGAAGATCGTCAAACAACCATTCCATTTCATAATGTCAATGAGATACAGAACAATCTATTTCAGGAGCTCAGTCAGGTATAAAGGTACAATACATTTCATTTCATTAGTCCAATGAGGTATAGAATAGTTGGACGCCAAATTATATTTCATTTCATTAGTCCAATAAAGTAGAACGATAACCTCATTAGATAAATAAGGAACCAAAAGTCGCATTTTTAGCTCGATCGTCTGTTAATCGCACTTTGTTTGTACTATTGAAAGATTTTGTTGGTATTCAAACCAGTTTCAGACTAATTTGTAGAAAACTAAATGACGTATTATTGTTACTAAGCTACTATTTGATTTTTATTGATTTGGCTTTTGCAATGGAAAAAAAATTGCCTCATTTTCTTCACAGTATTGATCTTTTTCTTTGATTTTTACAGGAATAAATGTCTGCATTCCATAAATAGAAATAGATCTACACTTGTCTGGAGCTATGTCTTTTGAACAATCAATCAATTACCTATTACAGAAAGCCTCAAGATAATCTACGCATGAAGGGTGACAAATTTGTCATTATGATATAGCAATGCTTTATTAAATCAATTGTTTTCGTCTGAAACAAACAAGATCGTACAAGTTGGCAGACTTAATTGTGCCGTGGCATCAAGTTGCCTACTTATAATGGCGCTCATAACTTTTTAAGATATTGACTTAAACTCAAGAGCTTAAAGGTAAAGAGTCACAGAAAAAAATTGTGGAAGGAATGGTAAAAATAATCCCGAATCATTCAGCAATTACTATACTACTGTCAGATTACAGATTACACCTTCATTAATCAAGACAATTGACAAGGGAGATAATAGAAAGAATGTCAGGGATAAGACCACAATCACTCTTTGATCTAAAGCTTCTTAACTTGGCAGAGCACCACCAATTCCTAGGTATTGGAGGTTTTCAAGAGTTGCTGTCAGAGGTTGCCATGGACGCCATAAACCCCGAAATCACAATATCACTCTTTAACTCGTGATTTACGAGATCATAAAATGATAACATAAAATGAATTGCGGCCTTGTTCAAATATCATAGGCCTATTAATCAGTTTTTGTTGACTCCATTTAACGGGATCTAAAGAGCAATCAGAGATCATTAATCGACAAAGATTTCAAATTGTATGACGATTTTATCTCAAATAAAAAACTGGAGTGTTTTCTCGCTTAGCGGTCACTTATTTCTAACAATTAGTTCAAATTTTATGACCCTATCTGCAATACAAAACCCTTACTTTTTGACCGAGTATATACTTAAACTGTGTTATGTCCGTACTACTTTTCAAACTACCAACTACTAAGACTACCAACAACTACCTAGTTTGCGATATCAGCATCCGCTAGACGCGAACGTTAACTTGTCATCTACCTACCTACCTACCGTAGTACTTTTCACAATGAGATTCTGACGTTTAGTTCACCTACATATTAATATGTTATATCAACAACAATGAAATTTGATAACATAAAAGAAACTTTATTTGATAACAATAACATAAATTTCAGCATAGCTGAACAGACACTAATTTCAGTTCTACCTAGAGCTCGACATAAACATAACATAACTGAACCTAAATAACATAGCATAGCATAGAAACATAACCAATGCCCGTTAATTTTAGACGTGTTGATTTGTCAGGTAATTGGCAAACATAAAAGAAACTCTTATTGGACAACATGAAGTTTGAGCATATAGACACACAGCATAATTACTGCTTTACTTAATCATACAAATCATAACTTGACATAAACATAACATAACCGAACATAAATAACATAGCATAGCATAGAAATATAACGGATGCTAATAGACAGGAATAAATCAATTTTAGACAACTTCAGTTCATATTGATTGGTAAGGAAATTACAAAATGAAGTGAAGTGAAAATGGAGTTTTACGTTTTATTCGTCTGTCCCTTATTTGGTAAAACGGTAAACGCCAGGTAGTGTGCAATGAAAAGTAATTACCACCAGGAAAGAGGTATTATATTTTAGACATGAATGTATGACAAAAGTACTTCAGTCAAGTCAAAAAGTATTTTTGGGGTACTATTATAACCTATTCAACTGCTAATACAGTCGCATTAGCCGACTTTTATGAATAGAATCGCAAATGGTCGAGCAGGCGTCAATAACTAACAAACGCGACAAGCAATAAATATTGTTCAGTTAAATTACCAAACCGTGTTTCTTTCTCACTCATTTGTCATATATACAGGGTTAATACAATCATTACGACTATCAACTTCCTTTGAATTTGATCAGAAGTAGATCACCAACATTCAAATGAACATTGTGCTTAGTACAAACTCTGTAAGGAAATTTCTGGTAACCGAAAAACCAAAAACTGATTTCAATTAATATAGCGAAAAGTTTTCATTGAATTTATAACTTGTCCTATTACTCAAAATTGATTCAAAAGTTGCAGAGTTGTTCTTTAAATTTCGAAAATAAATTTCCTCGTCGACTAAGCAAACAGGATGAAACAAGACTCACGTTCGCCCCAAGTGGCCAAAACGAACTGTAATTTTCTGTGAATTATTCAATCGAAGAAATAAATTAGTTTCGGACTAGATTGACAGCATTGTCCAAAGCAAAGTACGGTTAATCAGATGACAGTACCACAAGTTGCTCATGTTAATAAATTGCCCAACAAATCTGCCCATAACCGTTCCTTGGACGTGACGAGGAACAGATAGGGTCAGATTTGTCGGGATAGTTACTATATAATATATCATAATATAAGGAAATAAGCTTGATATAGTCGACATGAGCACTCAGTTTCTGCGACAAGTTGCATGCAAACGCGTTTAGTCCGACTAGATGCTTCAAATCACCAGACGACCCAAAGGGTACCAATAACACAAAAAACACAACGAGATCACTATCAAAATAGTAAAATATCGGTCAACTAGGATATAAGATACTAAAAAAATACACAGAATGAAAATTGTAACCAAATGACACATACTTACCATTTAGAGAATAGTACATCGTTACGACTATAAAATGATAATTCCAAGGATCAGTGTGGTGGAATAGAATACTCTCGTATCGTATTGACTTTCTATTAGTGACAACTGCTCTATTATTATCTATAGCCATAGACATTCCAATACAATAAACCCTGGTTTACCTTGGTGTTATAGCCTATTATACTTCCTTTCATATACACAGAACGTACGCCTTACTGTTCTGTTCTTTATTGGGCCATTGAAGGGATTTCTGTACTTTTTGGGGCTTGTATATCCGATTACTCCGATTATTGGGCTAATGGTTTTATTGTTCTGTATCTTATTGGGCTAATAAGTATAATTTTACGTCTTATGTTCTGAACTGTATGGGACTGGTGGGCCTAAAAAGTAGAATTTGACTTCTAACTGTAATGTAGGCTTTACCTAATTGGGCTAATGGTTCTTCTATTATATGCATTATTAAGCTAATGGTTGTTCTGTTCTATACTAATTTATGTTGTTCTACATAACTGTCTTGTATTATATTAGGCTAATAGTTCTTCTGCTCTGTGCTGTGTTAGGGTGTATTTAGACGAGTCTCAATGAAAGCACTGGCCTAGTATTAGGCTAATGGGTATACTGTTCCGTGTCCTATTAGGCTAATGGTTGTTCTGTTCCGTACCTTATTAAGCTAATGGTCGTTCTGTTCCGTACCTTATTAGGCTAATGGTTCTACTTTTCCGTGACTTATTAAGCTAATGGTTGTTCTGTTCTGTGCCTTATTCAGCTAATGGTTGTTCTGTTCTGTACTGTATTAAGCTAATGGTTCTACCGCTCTTTACTTTACATGGCTATAATGGTTCTTCTGTTCCTTCACGGTAGTAAGATTTATACTCTTTTAATGATATACGACATTTTGAAATTTTAGACCAATATTGTCAAGTGCACCTGATTGCAGTACTCAGGCGTTACCTAGTTTCCGACATATGATATAGTTTTAGATTAATTGATAATTTTAGCCGACTATTTGACATTTGTGTTGACTTTCAATTGATCATGATTTTTGGCAATGCTGACATTTCTAAGCGTCGGTCACCTTAACCTTCGTCCAGTTCGCAAAACAAAAGAAGAGTTTTAACAAAAGCGGACAACAGTGGTGTTGCTATGAAGGGTTAGTTGAGAGGGCCGAGAAGGGGCCACAATATTTTCCAGAGGGGCGGGAGCGGGGGCACAGGCTATTCTTGTACTATGCAAATTGAAAAAGAAAATCACTGATGGCATTCACACCAAAATATATTAATATAATATTCTAATTACCACGATATTTGAATATTGCAACTATATTATCAATGAATTCCAACTCAGGTAGACGTCATTAAAACAGTTTCTTGTCAGATAAGAAGGCTTAAAAATGTGCTTCACTTCATTTAAGTACTTACCTATATTACTCCGTTGCTTTACGACTTCAATCATGGTACTTCTGTACACACATGATTGGAGCTATCATATCCCAGAATTGTCGAACTAGTTAATACTTTGTAGACCCTTACATTTTTCCATACTAGTTTATTAAACACAATACAAACAAAATTACAAGATCCACAAACGTTGAACGGGAAATTGTAAAGTGAAAAATAAATGCTTTGTGACCGACACATACAAAATGGTTTTTGAATATTTGCAAGACAGATGATCTAACGTGGTATATGTAGGTCTTATTTTCACACATCCACAAGCCTTAGAAGATTTCCAAGTAAAAGTAATCCAAAGTAGTTATTCATGGCCCTCGAGCCAAAACCCTATTCAATTAATCAAATCACATACCTCTACTGATTTCAATATTGTTCAGTAATCCCTCAAAGTCGAAATCAAACATGCCAATATAACAATCTCCTTGTAATTGTATGAGCAATGATAAATATATTTTGGCTAAAAACGTTTCCTTGTAGATTGATATTGTTCCTTAATCTGCTGCGAGCGTTTGATTATGATGACCGTTCAGAAACGGTAAGTGATAAATGCCGACACGAACGCCACACAGTTTCCAATGAGTGAAATTGGTCAGAATTTCTTCTAGTTGAAGGACATGTTATATTGTCCCGACCTTTGCCATAATAATAAAGACAATGGTGTGATTTATGTTGCAAACACAACGCTGTGTGCAATGGGGGGAATATGGTCATTGTTTGTTGCAGTGTGAGGGACAAGTAGTATTTTATCCTAACCGTTGTAATAATGATAATGACAATGTTATTGTTTATCATTATGTAGTATAATTTATATAAGCTGCTTAACCACACTTCTAGTGATCACTATTACGTTACGGTGATTGTGAGAGTGTTTTTGATTTGTCAAGGAATGTAAACGAACTAACTAACTGGAATGCTTAAAAAATCTCAGCTTCGAGTTTTGATTTTACAATTCGAATCCCACATTATCGACAAGGGGTCGAGTGGAATATTTTGAATTATTCATAATATTATCGTCATGAAAAAATTAAATTAATGGAGTTTTACGTCCTACTCGTCTGCACCTAATTGGGCTATTCAGTGCATCTATAGCACAAGGGGTCTTGGTTTATTGTTCCATCCAAACCATAGAACGGTCTTGTCAACCCCCCGACCTGCATTACTGACAGGGAAAAACCGAAGGTATTATCCCGACCAATGCCGGTATTGAGCCATATACCTTCAGGTTAGAGAGGAATCGTCTATCTCACTGAACCAGGGGTCTCATTTCACAATTCTTGTATGAGCATCTGGCCAATCTGATAAAAACAAAATGACTAATCTTTTCATCTGATTATCAATCAATACAAATGGTTTTAGATTTAACTTTTAAGTTTATTTTTCGATAACATTTACATTTACATGTAAATTTTTGTGATTTGGGCCAAAATCTTGATACTCTAAAAATCATGAACAGCTAAGCGTTCATATATAGCATAAATATAGCATTGAAACATAGACAATAATACTAATAATAACAGCACAAAACATTAACGCCCAATAACTAGTGTAAAAAAAGATTGATGGATAATAGTTGAAAATGAATTAAAAACAAACACTCTTTTTTACGAATATTTCTGTTTGAAATTAGTCTTTAGCATTGCGTAATATACCGTTTACTCTCGGTTTTAACAATATCCACGAAAAACCTCAATTGTGGTAAATGAACATGTGCAAACAGACATCTTTGACAGCAGAAAACTGCCAATCTAGCCAGTTGTATGGTATAATGGTATGATGAACGAAGCTCGATACACACTAGAGCGACAATGATGTTTCTATTAGATGAGTGGGCTGAGTAGTAACCAATGACGGACACTCAGGCATCGCCTGTGACTATGAACAATGATGAACAAAAATGGTGAGAGGAAAGTAGAAACGCCAATGTAGAGAGATTGTGCCCGATTTTGACAAATATCAGAAACGGGAATGTTTTTAGTTAAGCCAATCAGAAATAGTGTTCACAATTCACCGTCAAAATTTGAACCTTTTAATCCATGTGTGTCCAGAGTTATCCACATTTGAAAGTTAAAAAGACGAGTCGTCATTTCTTGAGACACTTCCTTATATAAAAAAACATCTATAGAAATTCCTAGTCTAAGATACTTTTGAAGAAATTATTCCAGTACTTCTGAAGACTATTTACACATATTCAACACTCAAATCAACCCTCCAAAATGGCGCATCTCTCCCTTTAATACAATTTGGTTTGTTAAGAAATCGGGATCTGCAAACTGCCTCCGCATTATATCAATAGTAGCTCAATGACCAACGTGTCCTGAATAGTTGATGTACTATATTGTATTTAAAATGTTCACACAACACAGAAGGCATCCAGGTGAATAACTGATCAGAATTTAAAGCTTCTTACACCTTTCTCTCTGGGTGATGTCCTCGCCCATTTTGGAATATAAACACTTCCAAAAATAACAAAAATCAGCGCCCCAAACCCTAGAATACCCGACGACAGGAAAAATACCTTCTGCCATTGTTCCCTGGTGTTCTGAAAAAGAGAAATACCACAACCAATAATCGGTTAAATATGAAGGCCTTCTTAGATCTTTTAATATCGTAGTAACTGATTTTAGAATCTCAAAGCGACGTTCTATTGCAAATCATATGTAAGTAAAGAAAAGATAGGTGATTGGCCCAGCATCATATGAGATAAAAATATTTTAAATTGGGTTTCCATTGCACGAATGGATCGGTATTGTTTTGGTTTTCAATTTATAGTGTAGTCCTCATAATGGGAGATAACTCTTTTTTACATTGGCAAAGTTTGCTTAGCTTCCAATCGACATTTTTTAAAGATTCACGTTGTGGAATGTCTAAAAACATGAAATGAAAATATCAATGAGATTTAAATGAGTAAGACAAACTATGGTAATATGTGTATCCTAGAACAACTGGTAGAAAGTGTTACCTTTCCTGCAATGCAATTTATATTTTTAATTTTTGAAACGCTATTTTTTTAAATCACATTCGGCATTGTCTTGATGTTTGTATGAAAAGCAGACTTACATCTTTTGTGTACTCGCCTACTGCATAAGAGACGAGTATGCCGGGAATATTGGCTATAGTGTTACTAAATGTCATTAACTGTCCTGCATGCTGAGGGTCGATATCGAAAAAATTGACCATGATAGCAAGATAGGCGAGGGCTAATAATGACAGAGTCAGACACATTAATATTATGACGGTGATATAATCGTCACACTCTAAATAACTAATGATGATTAGCAGAATAGCTGATATTCCTAAACCTGTTAATATAAAATATACATATTGTATAAAACATGAAATACGTATGGGTCGATCTAGATAGCAAACTTATGTTCAGCTACAAAATCGCTAATCCCGGCTGTAAAGTGCGATGCTGTGACACATCCAAAGATATTTGGTGCAAGGAAATAGTCGTGTATACATGCGTCTTTCAAAAAAGACAGAAAATCCAATATTTATTTAGTGATATGCACATTCAATCTAAACGTCTGAATTTATGAGCAATTGGGTCAAGAAAGAGAGCTAAAGATCTATCGTTCTCCAAGTCAGCTTTTTACTGCCGAGGATTCCCGAATAAAGTCTCTTACCGACACTAACAGATGATTTTCGAGAGATATGATGACCAAAATGATGTGACATCTTATCCAGCATGATGCCGGCCAACATGATAAACGCAAACATACTGCTGTAGGGTATCATCGTCCATACACCATTCTGCAATAACAAAATAACATAATGGTAAAACTAACGAAAATGTAAAGTCATAATGTATAAAGCAAAACGACCACTTTATTTTAACTTCATGTATTTTTTTTTTTCATTTTCGACAGTGAGAGTACTTAAGTTATGTGAATACTTCATATACTCAATACAACTAGTACTGATGTTGGAATGCACTGTCACAGAGTGGTACCGGGTACCCGTAATTGTGTTTTAAATTATACTTACAGACGCTAGTTGGAATTTTAAAACTTCTCTCATATATAATGGTAGATTATTCAATATTAAATACAGCCCCCAATTGAAACAAGTATGGGTAACAATGAGAGCTATATACGGTACAGTTCTCAGCACCTTACACCATGGTAAGGAATTCTGAAAAAAAACCAATAAAATAATATTAGCTGTTACACTTTTCAAACCAATCGTTTTTTTAGCTAAGCGAATCAGTAATAGTGTTCACAGCTCACCATCGAAATTTGAGCTTTAAAATCCATCTAGACATATCCGCGTTTGAATGTAGAAATAAAAAGTGAATGGTTTATAGGTCTATTTGAAGGTATTATTCTATTTTCGTACAGTTCTGGTACTTTTGAATACTATTTACATAATCAAGACCTCAAACAAACCCCCTGAAAATGGCGAACCTATCTCTTGAACGATTATGTAATCCGTACATCTCATCACGAATACGGGTTTGACATGGTCGAAGTATGACGAATGCCTTTAGTTATTGTGGTGTAATTTCTCTTAAAGGTAAATAAACACTATCCAAGACTTCTGTAAAAATTCGACAGGTACGGTGTGACAATTTTGTCGCTTTGGGAGAATGTCCCAAATGTGAAAAATATTACAACCGGAAGTCTGGAGATCCAAATAACGCTTGTAAATTGGAAACTATAAGGCTATAAAAGGAAAGGTCGTTTTAGCTTTGAACTATTAGTAGACGATAAAGAAAAGATAATTTACTGGCTTTTAACATCATTGATCTATTAAACTTCTTCAATATAACTTTATTGATGTGGTAGAAAAGATTCTAGAGCCATTAACACTCACGCTACTTGATGGCGTTGACATAAAGTGAATTTACGTAATGTAACGCACGTGCGAATTGATGTTAAATACAAATTTGCTCTCGAATATATTACAACCATTAAACTCGATTTCCAAAAATAAAATTCAAGCATCTGATAGTTACATAGATAGCAAGTAGTTAAAACTTTTTATAATGCTTTTGTAGTAAAATTTCGTATCGTTGTTACTGCTGTCAGTTGACAGAAAGATCAAATCTTTAGAATCTTACGAAAAATAAGGTGTGTGGGAGTTTGCGACATGATCCTCCCTTGATTTTCTTCATTAACCCAAAGAGCTACTCCATTTAACGGTGAGAGACTTGCACCCTTTCTGTACTTAGGATCTGTATCATAGTACAAATTGCCACAAGTTTACTGTGCTGTTATTGCCAAAAATGTATTTGAATTAATTACAAAGTACTACCTTAACGTAAAAGGGATTAAATGCATCAAAGTGCATCCCATCCCCTTACAATCTCCCATAAGAAAAAGACATTCACCGTGTCAGGAGAGACGTTGAAAACATCCATATTGGACATGATAAAAGCCTTTTCTTTCAGATTAATAGAAGGATGTTTGATTGGTGTATCATACACCCAGATAAACCATAGCAAACAAAACAGGAATCCAGATATACCTAAAACAGATACAAATGGTTCACATGAGAATGATTCTCTAGATTCAGCTTTAAAGATGGGTTCCCTTATTTTTATTTATGAAAATGAAAATCTTAATACTTATATGAATAGAAAGTGGAGGTGTTCTAATGATTTGGAAAAATACCAGTTTGTCTCACATGTCCATAATAAATTCATAATTAGCTAAATCAAAAGAGAATTACCAGCAGAATTCCAATTATGTGACATATCAAGAAAGGTCAAAAAGTCGGGTTTTTTTGTTTATCCAGACTGTATATACATGGACATTTATGATTGGTTAAACTCTTAATTATATGAAATAAGGACATAATGATATAATTAAGTCCAATTGCATTAAATTTCAGCTCGATGTCTCCTTTCTGTAACGTACCTATGGGTCAGGGGAGAAAGTTGACTTCCGTCATGTATAAAAAGGGATGTCGTCAGTACATGTTTATCTTAAGTAACCATACTATACCAGAGACATGGAATATAGACGGCCATCCACCAGCAAATCCATATCGACACAATAAACTAGCTACAGGAAATACCACGACATTACCCATCATCAGCCCTCCAATAATCAGAGAACTTAGTCGACCATTCCCATCAGGTGGAGCCCAGGCGGCTATTATAAAAAATAACCCCGGCATCGTTACTCCCTAAAGTGATAACAAAGTTTTGTACTTTCAAGCAATTTCCAGGTCATTGCCCAAATAAATAAAGGTAAAACGTTCTGGAAAAATACCTGATCATTCAGATAACATTATGAATTTCATATTCGAATGCTCTTTCTATCGGAGATACCCATAACACAAGATGCATGGCGTCATTACAATTTTCTGGTAGAGAAAAGTAGTGTCTTCAAGTCAAAAATGTAAATAAGAGCACAAAACCCCACCCATTTCAGCTCTGCAAAATACTTACATTCAGTATACCAATGAGAACACGGAGAGTAAAAACAGCCCAGGGACTCCATATAGCAGCTGAGTGAGTAAGTATTGTCAACAATGACATGGCTAGAAATAATGGCCCCACAGTTCGTCTGATGCCATATCTTTTAAGTATTAAGCCACTGATAAGCTGAGATGGGACGTAACCCCAATATAAACCACCCAGTATCAGCCCTTGAATTTCTTTACTCCACACCAAATCCCCTTCCTGTAATATACAATATACATGTACCAACATTATTAACTTAGTGGATTATCTGAAAGATAAATGGGTGCTCTAAAGGTGCCCTCACACCATAGTGATTACCAGTTGCACATTGTTGCGAATTCTGAAAGTGGTCATGACATGAGTATGCTTTCTGAAATAAATGCATGTTACATGATATGCTCCCTCTATTGGCAAAGGTTGAGGAAGGACCCTCGGTTATTCTTGGACACCAGCAGATGTGCAGAAAAAGAAATATTTGACAGGTTCTACAAGGACCGCTGTTGTAAGGCGTACATTTGATAAAGTTAACCAGTTCTCTATCATGCGGCAATATAGTAGAATAATATATGAAGCTACTGACCCCTGAGTCTGCCATGGGGGATAAAGTTGATTGACAAGCATCCTTTAAGGGAGCTACATCTGATAGGTTCCGATCCTGTTGGAATATCTGAGACCAAACGTTCATGGTGGTGTTGCTTGAGATGATATCCAGATCAGCTCGATATAACAGATCTACTGCAGTGTGGTTCACCATACAAACTATTGCCATACTCATGTTGCTTCTTTGGATGTACAGATTCGCTCCGCCAAGGAAGCCGATGATCGTGATTTTAAATCTCATAGATTTCCACCAAGGAGGACCTGAAAGTAATGTTAAGCCATCCGATTTGAATAAATATCTAACACATCGTGAGAACCCTGTGCGTAAGAGATGCATTTACATATTGTGATACGGACTGCTAGGTTAGCCAATGAATTTTTGTTTCTGGTCTGTACAAACAGCGGAAATCGTGCAAAAGCCGCAAAAACGGTTCCACCGCCATCATATTACACGTCCAAAAATACAGCAACTCTCATATCCAGGTGGTGCCTTAAGAGGGTCTTTTTTTTTCGGGGGTTAATGATGTAATTCTAGACTTGGTTGCATTTTACTGGGACTCTAGACTTGCTTGCATTTTACTGGAATTCTAGACTTTGTTGCACTTTACTGTGATTCTAGAGTTGGTTGCATTTTACTGGGATTCAAGACTTGCTTGCATTTTACTGGGATTCTAGACTTGCCTGCATTTTACTGAGACTCCAAACTCGGTTGCATTTTACATTGATTCTGGACTTGTTTGCATTTACTCGGATTCTAGACTTGGTTGTATTTTACTGGATTTCTAGAATTTGTTTCACTTTACTGAGACTGTAGACATGCTTGCATTTTACTGGAATTCTAGTCTTTGTTGCACTTTACTGGGATTTTAGACTTGGTTGCATTTTACTGGGATTCTAGACTTGGTTGCATTTTACCGATACTCTCGACCTGGTTGCATTTTAATGAGACTCCAGACCTGGTTGCATTTTACATTGATTCTAGACTTGTTTGCATTTACTGGGATTCTAGACTTGGTTGCATTATACTGCGATTCTAGATTTGTTTGCATTTTACTGTGATTCTAGACTTGGTTGCATTTACAGAATGCATGTAATTCCATACCAAGTTTCAAGTGTGCTTGCCAACTCTCACGTCACACTTTCATTTTAGATAATGATCCGTTGCATCTCGAGAATCAAGTCATGAATGTATCAACTGGTAACCACAGACAAAAGTTTACGGTCAGTAAACTATGAAACAATGTTAATTACCACCAGGGGATAGAGAACCACGTGTTCATCAAGGTTGGAATCCGCCGATGGGTAAGTCGGATAATGGTTATACAGGAGGCAATGGTATGTAGGCCTTTATCACCCACACGACTACTAGAAAAAACCCAGATGTACAAGTCATAACAATTAATCACAGCAATTAAAGTGCACCGTGATTCCTAACCTGTACATATTCATTGTTTTTTCTATATATGTCTCGACTGTTACTCTACATGCTTGATTGACATATAACAGTGGGCAACTGAGTCAGGTAATTATAAAGCTATATTTGATTGTTGATAGTAAGTTTTTATCAAATTCTTTAAAAATAATTACTCTGTGGAAACAGGTGTACGGTTTGTAAACTATTGATAATTGATACTGTTAGAGGGATCTCCTATATTAAGTACAGTTTTACGTCCGGCATTTTTTCATTTTGTAATATACATATACAGGAGATACACATAGGGAATACAATACCAAATGTGGAAAATGGCGATTTATCAAACAATAAAACACAGAGTTAATAAAGCGAATGGCAATTTCTTACCTTTATCAACGACCTCGTCATTGAATTCCATTATACTGTACAATAAAATATATGTTGTCTAAATCAAACAAGAATGAAGGTTGATCAAATCAACTGGAAAATGCCGGTTGTCCAAATTAACTTGGAAATATAGATTGTCCAAATCAACTGGAAAATGTCGTTTGTCCAAATCAACTGTTATAGATTGGTTGCTAAAATCAACCGATAAATACTGGTTGGTAAAACCAAAAAATAAATACCGGGTGTCTAGATCAGAAGAAAAAAAATACGGGTTGTCCAAATCAGATGGGAAATACTGTTTGTCCAAATCAACCAAGGAAATACAGGTTGTCCAATCAACAGAGGATATACATGTTGTTCAAATCAAGAAAATAAAGGTTGCACAAACTAGATTGTTCAAATCAACTGGGAAATACGGGTTGTCCAAATCAACCGAAGAAACAAAGATTGTGCAAATACATGTTGTCCAAATCAACAGATAAAATTTTTATAACAAACAGACACATCACAAGTTTTCACAAACAAACGAAAAATGCAGGATTTGTTCTTTGTCTTTGTTATAAATATAAGACACATGATATAACATTGTCACCTTATAATTATAACTTGTCGACTCTAGTCGGTAAAAATCACATGTAGTTCAGTGACTGATCGAGATATTGATTTTTAACATCTCCCGTTTCTGTAATTTTTTATAGAATTCAAATATAGTTTTACGTTATTCTTATTCGTTTCCTAATTGACATAAAAAATAAAATGTTGTTTTTGGATCAAATACAACGTCTTTTTTCACTTTCCAAATGTTTATTGGAATGCTATTATGATTATCAATGTTATTAAAACGACTTGCAGGTTGAATGTTTTTAAATTGGGTTGGTTTGATCTAAAAATAGGTGTCACTAGTTTATCAATTTCTATGTTGGATCTTGGCATAGGTCAGGGTTGTAACCAATTTTACATGGTCATACATAATCGATCGCATTCCAGAGATTATGCCTTTTGTCTCCTTCAATTAATGATATCGATTTAAAAAAATTCGAATTGAATTCTAAAAATTAAAATGCCGTGGTAACTATTTCTTTTTTTAGACACAGGTTGAAGGTCATCTGCTTTGCACTGTCGCTGTCTACTTCCTACTTGGAACGATAAGCTCGCATGGCATCAGGGGAAGAAGGACAAAATCTATCGAAATTGGATTTTGTGGATACTTTCTTAGCTTCTAAAACGATCAATAGAATTTTTGCTTTTGAACATTTTATTGATTAGCCATACAAAAAAGATTAACCTGGCTTCCGGAACAAGGAATTTGTGGATCGCCTCCATACAAATTTAACATGTTTTTTAAGTGGAGACCAACCATAGGTTACTTTGATTTATGTTGTTTTTTGAATAGACTCGATAACACCAAAAGAAGGCTTTGATTATTTGTGGAATAATTTCGTGACGTCGCTTACTCGGATAACAAGTTAAGTCAGTGACTCATATATTGTGTATTTATTAACTCATAGTATTGGAAATTGTTGCCACGTAAGGTAGCGGTAGCTCGAATAATATACAGTAATTTAATGCGTACTATTTTGTCCAAGTATAATATTGCTTGACGAGTCTAGTCTTTCTGTAATCTGTCACTTCTGGTACTAAGGCCTACCAAACTATAGTACCCAACTAACTAAAATATAGTTTAACACAATGACAGTTCTCTGTAGTCAGAATGGGCAGACCATATTGTGTCCGACTAGCTAGAACTGTACATGGTACAATGACAGTTTTCTGTTGTCAGCATGGAACTTGGGCATACCAAACTATCAATTAGCTAGCAGGACAGTCAGATTTAAATGGTCAGATTGTAATGCTGTGGTTTAAAGCTGAAGATTACTACTCTTCGTAAGTAATACAGGGTTCGATACAGAATTAGTCTTTTATACATTAATTTACTTGCTAATTAGGCCATGTCCTACTGTCACATCAAAACGTCCTTGACTACATTTGATAATGAGAGATATTATCAATATGGTAGAAAGGTATTTGAAAGCGATGTCCCTGTAGTATGACTGTTATCATGAAGTTTGTGATAATATTTTATGATAATTCTTTGTCTCATGAAATACCAAAATACTTATATGAGCTATGTGGACTCTCTGAAAGGCATGATTAGATAACAATTGCTACATATTTTTATCTGATTTTATACTATGTCAACTTTTACTGATGGATAGCTGCATTCTTCTCAAGTTATTCTTTCTTCTTTGTTTGGTCTCTTACGGTAAGAATTGGTTTACCATTTCTTCTTATCTAAGACTGCTCAGTGAGTAGGACTTTTACCCACGTTTCGCAGAAAGTAGAGAAATAGCTAAACCCGGTACTGATACACGTAAATGTATGGAACGGGTTGAAAGTGCAATAATTGAAAATAACTATTTCATGTTCGAATTTGACATCTTGAGTATCAAGGAATAGTCGTCTAATTGACAACACTGACTCAGAAATGTATCATTTCTCATCAGGAATGCATACTGAAACCCTCAGGAAGGATTTGCTGCTCTGGATTAATCCAACCAAGCAAATTGGGCGCCAAACTCTTCTTTCATTTCCTTGGTAGCATTTCTTGTCTTCTAGTTGTCGCCAGAACATACCCATAGAAGTCAAAGCCGATTCAGTGCAGTTAAGTCAAGTGGATATAATGAGTGAAATCGATGGCTATAATTTCTTGTTATCAAATATCGGAAAACTAATAACTGAATTCTCAATTATTCATAACATCCACGGAGCCGAAGCCATAATTTAAATGTAAGATTAATAACAGAGTCTTGTTTTGGTACACAAGAAGATCTCGACCGTCTTCCAAGTGCATAGTTATATATTTGAAAGGATTTCATAGCATTTTTTAGAAACTATCAATCCCAACCTGTCTGTCTATATAGAGTTTTCCTTCTTTATTTCAGTATACAGCTAGAACTGTCTGTCTATATAGAGCTTTCTTTCTATATTTCAGTATACAGTAATAACTGTCTGTCTTTATTTCAGTATACAGTAAGATCTGTTTGTCTAAATAGCGCTTTCTGTCTATATTTCAGTATACAGTAATAACTGTCTATCTTTATTTCAGTATACAGTAAGATCTGTCTGTCTATATTTCAGTATACAGTAAGAACTGTCTGTCTATATAGAGCTTTCTTTCTATATTTCAGTATACAGTAATAACTGTCTATCTTTATTTCAGTATACAGTAAGATCTGTCTGTCTATATTTCAGTATACAGTAAGAACTGTCTGTCTATATAGAGCTTTCTTTCTATATTTCAGTATACAGTAATGACTGTCTATCTTTATTTCAGTATACAGTAAGATCTGTCTGTCTATATTTCAGTATACAGTAAGAACTGTCTGTCTATATAGAGCTTTCTTTGTATATTTCAGTATACAGTAATAACTGTCTATCTTTATTTCAGTATACAGTAAGATCTGTCTGTCTATATTTCAGTATACAGTAAGAACTGTCTGTCTATATAGAGCTTTCTTTCTATATTTCAGTATACAGTAATAACTGTCTATCTTTATTTCAGTATACAGTAAGATCTGTCTGTCTATATTTCAGTATACAGTAAGAACTGTCTGTCTATATAGAGCTTTCTTTCTATATTTCAGTATACAGTAATAACTGTCTATCTTTATTTCAGTATACAGTAAGATCTGTCTGTCTATATTTCAGTATACAGTAAGAACTGTCTGTCTATATAGAGCTTTCTTTCTATATTTCAGTATACAGTAATAACTGTCTATCTTTATTTCAGTATACAGTAAGATCTGTCTGTCTATATTTCAGTATAGAGTGAGAACTGTCTGTCTATATAGAGCTTTCTTTGTATATTTCAGTATACAGAAATAACTGTCTATCTTTATTTCAGTATACAGTAATAACTGTCTATCTTTATTTCAGTATACAGTAATAACTGTCTGTCTTTATTTCAGTATACAGCAGGAACTGTCCTTATGGTTGGTTCAATAGATACGGCTATTGTTATCTCATCACTAGGAATAACGCTCAGAAATCGTGGCTAGAGGCGAGAATAAAATGTCAGTCTCTGAAAGCAGATCTTATTGATATTACTTCCACAGCTGAAAGGGTAGGAGTTATATTTATTTAAAGCTGAGTGCTGAGATAAATAGAATAGAAAAGATTAACCTTTAGCTTGCTAGTCTCTGTAATCCAAGGCCTTGTCTACAAAACCCCCACTCTCAATATAAAAATATCCCTGTTTATTAAAAAAGTATGAAATTTTACATTAAAGAATAGCATGCTAACGATAAAATCTTTAAATGAATGAATGCAGTTTTACGCCAAGCTTCTCAGAACCTGATTGGGCAAATGAAAACCGGGATACAATCTTTTGAGAAACAGTGCCAGAATTGTATAAACTGTGCGAATCTCTTTAACTTTATGAAGACAAGAGCAGGAGACAATATGATTATATCACGCGTGTCACGAGAATCAATTAAAGAAAATTATATGTCATATAGGCGCCCTGCGGTTGTTATCCTTCTGATCTGTAGCTGTAATATTTGCGTTATAAAATTCTGGATTTTTATGCAATCTAAATGATAAAATTCAGCTTAACAAACGGCTTAAATATTACTTCATTCAAAGGGGTATTGTCGTCTAAATATCTGATAGTTTCAGTCGCGAGATATGCAGTGGCACAGCCAAAGGGGGACAGAGGAGCCACCAGCGCCCCTCCCCCCTCGTAACCCCGAAGCCTTTTTTATTCGGACAAAATTCTCATAACTAGGTTAGAAATTCGGACAACCTCAGATATTTCGATACGATGTAAACCTGATTCCGCCACTGGAGATTGGGGGTACAAATAGAGGCAGACAGAAGCAGATATCAATTGATTACTGTACCGTTATTGCAGGATTGGATTTTAAAAGCTACCAAAACTCTCTCGAAGGGTACAGGGTATGCTAACTGGTGGACAGGAATCAACGCCAGGGGTAATAGTAAAACTTTCACCAGTGCAAATGGTTCGTCTATTAACTTGGATATTCTGTGAGTTCGCCCACGTCTTTGGAATTCTAAACCACGAACCTGATTCAACCCACATCACACCATTATAACATTTCATTTTCAATTGAAAATATACACAAAAATGGATACTCTGCTGGGTAATTTTAAAGAAATGTTGCATCCAACTGCTCTGTGTATTACTTGTTTAGATAAATGGAACGAAATGACATGTTATGTTTGTGTGGAAATTTCCAAAATCGTTCAGCACTAGACTAGATTTTAAGGGATATAGTTGCCGAATTGTTAGTAAAATAGCTCATTCATTATATTACGCTACCAATTTCATCTTAAAGTTTTTATTGGTCCCGATTCGCCCCGCCCCGCCCCGCAGCACGTCGACCGGTCACGTCTCTCACAATCATGACGTTTAAAAAAAACCTCTTTTCTGGATGTGTTTTGCTAAAAGACCTATTACTAATTTAACTAGTGCTTTCCAACGCTATTCCATTTTCTTCTCTTCCATGAAAACTTCCAATCCCCTCTAATGAAAATTAACGCGATTATATCCCTTACAGTTATATATTGTGTAATGTAATGATGAAAAGTTTGCATCCTGAATGTTGTCAAGAGGTCCTTTATCCTCTGATCTGATGCAATTCAAGTAACATCTTGTACCTTATTGTTTGAGCCATACAGGCCTAACGCAATTGAATGCAATTTACAACGCAATATAAAAGCGCTTTATTCCTGCTTTCTTTGTACCCGTTTTGTTTGTTTCGGAACACCATTCTGCCATTCACCATTCTTCCTACCAGACATCCCTGTTTCCTGTTATTCTATACAAACAGTCTCTACAATGAGTCTAATCGGATTATAAATTGATATTTCAGATCGAGTGTATGGCAGACGAACAGTAAGACGCCGTCTAGTAAATCTCAATGTGTTATTATAAACAACCAACAACTAGCTGTCAGACCTTGTACTAGCTATTATCAAGCTATTTGTAAACGTCCACAAAGTAGGTTCCTTTCTCAGTGTGGTGAACTTGAAAACGCGGTGGCTCATCTACCATATGAACTTCTTGAACCAAGTCCATGATCCCTCACCCTCACCCCACCCCCAGAAAAAATACAAAATGAAAATATATAAAAATGAGTCAAAATAGAAATAACTACAGCCGGAAATTTTTAAATTTCTATTAACAGACATTAGATTTTTGAACTACTCTCTGTATAGTTTCATCCAAAAGCAGCCCACTAACACATTACTGACAAAGAAGAACCTATGTTTAATGAAGTTACTTCCCCAAAACCTTTTCAGTTCAATATGCTAACAATGTAATTTGGTATTTTTGTCCTTAGCTATTAGTGTAAATTTGATCCCAAATGTTAATCTACTGTTTTCCAGACATACCACTGACTTGTGACGTAGATGGAGGTTGGAAACATTATAATGGTATGTGTTATAAACGATTTGGTAAGGCGGAAACGTATGCAGACGCATTGTAAGTAAAATAGATTCACATTTGACAGAATACGGCTTTAAAGCCCAGACTGATAGAGCTCATGAAACAATACATCTTCTTTTTCTTCCATTAGAATTTTTGCAAAAGGATCAACTCGACGAGTTTGTTCAAGTACCAGAAGTTATTCTATTTATGTAAGATATTTCGTTTCTCATACAGAAAACTGTGTGGTCAGTCCAATGGAGGGACACTGCCTGTTATTCCAGATGATGACACCCAGCGAGCTCTGTATGATATGTCTAAGGTTTATAATGGTAATGTGTGGACAGGGTTGAAAACTGAACCACAGGTATAGATCAATTCATTCTTATCGTGCATTACGTTGGTAATAAATATTGTACATGGTATTTTCTGTTAGATGCACCTGCCGTGGAAATTCGTATTCACGGAACCCATACACCAATCGCTAAGAAGACCAACTCAAATAAATCGATGTCATTAATCAGAAACTTGCCCTACCCTGTCTGTGAGGTTAGGTGATGGATTATATATACGGTATCATTCGAAAACTACACCTCTCTATCAATAACTACTACATTCAAGCGAAATTTATTTTGTATAATCAGCAAGAAATAATTTATGTTGTATATTGTATCTATGTTGTAGGACGATAGTTATGCGTTCAGATTCTCTAATGGCTCCCTGATCACCACGTGGAATAAATCTTACTGGTTTCCACAACAACCAGGAAGCTGGGTCAAGTATGTATCATATCTATCTGATTTCGTCATTGGTGCTCTTGCTGGCTGATGCAGGACGGTTTTTTGCACAAATTTCATATTATTCCAGCTCGTCTGGTACTCGTTTGAGTCTGGTCAGAGATCTTGGGTAGATGACAGTTTCACTTGTCTTTGCCCGTCTTAAAAGTCCTGGATGATATTAAAATAATTGAATATCCAAGAAGATTTTTGATAGCCCAAGGGAGATAAGTACTTGAATTGGGAACTAAGGGTCAGTAATAGATCGTCTTGAGGCAACATCATCAAGATGTCTGATGTTTTTTTTTTTCAGGAATCATGTAAATGATACTTGTGTAGAAATTAACAAACTTGGTAAATCATTTCAACAATCATGGATAGCTGGAACTTGTAAATCCAAGAAAATAGTTTTATGTCAGAGACCAGAAGGTATGGTTCCGACTCATAATTCGTAGACGTATATGACTGGATTGCCGAAGAATCCGCTTAAGTGCTTGCCTTGAAAAAAATATTCATGTCAATTTGAAGGTCGGTTGTTTCTCACAAAGTGACCCCCTCCCTCCTCCCTCCTTTGCTGAATTTGTGATGGTTCTGTACTTTTTCTACTACCAGATGCCTTTGCTACTCTTCTTGGAGCAAGACATGCCGCCCTTGTTTGACTAGGAACCCGCCTTAAATTGTTGGTATTTAGTTGTTTTTTAGCCTCTGACTATTGTAGGTGTATGTGCTGACGGATGGTTACAGTATGGTAGATATTGCTATCAATATAACCCACCAGTTCTCTCCTTCAACCAGGCTGCTAAATACTGTCATCAACTTGGTGGAAATCTCTTCCGTCCCTACACGTACGTTCATCATAAAACAAACACTACATTTATAACACGCTGATAATGTTAACAGATTATATGGAACGGGGGGAATCTCAATTATCTTAGGAAGAAATACTTGAATTATATTATTAACTATTTGAACAACAATAAATTAGTAGCGTAGAGGAACAGCCTTGGTAGCGTCATCTTCAATATGTCAACCTACTGCAAAATACGTCTAATACCTTGACTTCAATAGCTACTTTTCTTGTATTTTTTGATTGAGTATAAGACGCAGTTCAAAATATCTTGACATTGTGAAGATTTGTTGGCGCCAACCACAGTATTATTGTACAATCGCAAACATTTAATGTTTCTGGTAGTGATTTCAACTGGCACCATGCTTGACAATATTTCAGGAAGTATTCCCAGTCATTTGTATCAAGTTACCTGAGAGATCAGAGAAAGAATGGTGTACAAAGCTTCTGGATAGGAATTTCTGGTAATGAATTTATGTTTTAGTAGACTTTTATATCTTCTCTTCATCTATCCAAAAGTATAAAGGAAGTCGGAACAGTTGCTTGCTGAACTAAAGCTTAAGAGTGGACCATAAACCGAGAGCCATCTCATATGCCATCAGATGAGCACATTACTGGTCACTCTACAGATGAGAATCGAAAAGAGAATGTGAATGTGGCTGTACAAGCATAATTTTCTTCGCCGTATATTTCATGCCATTAGCCAAAATCGCTTCACGACCATTCTGTAGCTACGTTGCATTAGTACACTTTACAGATGTGGTAAATACGACAACATGGAAATATTCGTATGGTGGTAATATTGGTAAATACACCCACTGGGTTAAAAATGGTGGTAAACACAGACAAGGCAAGAGAAGTTGCGTCTACATGTCCACATGTGAGTACCTTTTTTTTCATCAATGATAATCGTCTTCAAATGTTATTAGAATACTCCTAGTGTAGACAGAGTTGTACGTAATATTTCAGGTGATGGAGAATAACCGCCATCTCACCGTCGTGATACCAAAAATACCAGTATTTTGCCAAAACTATTATCTAAGGTTTCTTAATGAGTTATTATTCTCCACACTCCTCCCTAGTCCTCGATATATATACTAGTTATTTTTAGTAGGCTATTTGTGGACAATATTTAAATCCTTAAAAGTGAAGACCGAAACTTGCTGATTTTGATTAGTTTGTTGTTTGTGATCGATGATAATAAGAATGTTTACTCGGCTATGAATCACATTTCAGCTGATAAATTGGGGTATTGGAGAACAACCAGCAACTGTAACCTTCCAAAATCTTCTATCTGTCAAATAGATAGCAATACTCCTGTTAAACAAGTTACCCAGCCGTCTTGTAAGTACATAAAAACAGGCATGTCGTTCTGTCTCGAGTCGTTTCTATGAAACATCAGGTGAGCCACAGAATTTTCCAGCGGGAGTATACAGGTTATCTTTTCACTATGTGAAATGATAAAAATATTGAAAGTGAAGGAGGGGGGGGGGGGGGGGCAACCCAGGCCAGCCTCTTTTCTGGGGCTTATTTGCCCCACTCGTAGCAACACCTCTGGCTTTGCCAGTACTCAGTCAACCTTTTATACATTCACAATTGAAGGAAGAACACAATACCACAGCGGTATGCGTTCTCGAAAGATGTGCTTCTTGCTTTGAATATTTAATGCTAGTAGAGTGGAAATCCTTACTCACTCCAACATGAGACGATGTTTCAGGTTTTATGCTAATATTACTAATATATATTTCATCCTTTTAGATGTGTTTAAATGTGATAGAAAGTGGAAGGTACAGGGTAATAGGTGTTATTATTTCTACAAGGATGGCAACAAGAATTTCTACGACGCCCAATATTGGTGTCAGGGTAAGGGTGGTGACATGGCAGTAATACCAGACCAGGATACTCAGGATTTCATTACAGGTTGGTACCATCATTACCACAGATAACTGTTCGTGTGGTAGCTATAGTGGAACTTTAATAAATAGTGCTCTATTCTTATTCTGGCCAATAAAGTGTCATTTTGACCACAGAATACGACAGAATCAGATTGTACTTGTACACGACAGTTAGATACCAACCGGTTTCTAGCCTTTTTTTGTACAAGGTCTGTGATTCCTTTATTTCCAGAAAAGGTCGAAGATATTATGACTAATTGCACTAAAGCTGTTGAAAACCGCAATTGATTCTAGGACTAATTAAAGATCTTAGTTGTGATTTGACAAAACACCCTTTGACATGATTTCAATTGTCACACATTTTATCTAAATATCGAGTAAACCGTCCTGTTTATGTTTAGACTGCCGGATCGTATTCATCAATAACTTTTATTTACATCTTCTAGATAATATAAACCAAAACGGGAAATACTGGATCGGTTTGATAGACATGGATACAGAGAACGCGTTCACGTGGATTGATACTGAAACAGACGTAAGTAACTCAACTGTCAATTTGAATGACATGAAACAATTTTCTTAGACCAGTCGAAATCTTTCAGACTTTCACAGGAAAAAAGACCAACAGACGTAAAGGAAATCTTTGTCCACTCTTTTGTTTAATGCACGATCCTGTCTAAGGCTCGTAGCCAGGATTGATGAATCTGAGGGACAACTAATATAGTGTATGGTATTGCAATAATGGAATTGGTCAGTTGTCAGCCCCCGTCCCCATCCCCCAACCCCCCCCCCCCCTTCCTCCCCCCCCCCCCCCTGTAGATAGGGCGAGTCCGGTCTAGTATACTTGATTTAACCTAGTCTGTGTTGGTAACCCTGATGAGGATCGTGCTCCACAAAACCTTAATCTCCTCAGAGAGATTCTATCCGTCTTTAATAGCGAATCAGGTGCAGAAAAATAGACCGTAAAACCCCATTTATATCATTATATTTAGGAAAGATTCTAAATTTTCACACGTATGACAAATTTTATCACATGCTTCAACTGTTTCAGAAATGAAGGGTCGGCTGTTTGTTAGTACATTTTGTGTCTGTATAATATTTTCAGTATAACTATACCAACTGGATACAAGGACAACCTGACAACTTTAACGGACAAGAGAACTGTGTTTCAGTCATTGGTAAAAGTAACAATGAAGGCAAATGGAATGATGATCAATGCAATAAAAAATTATATTTTATTTGTCAAAAAAACGCCGGTAAGGGAACATTAGGGTTTTTTTTATAGGGAACATTGTTTTATATCTGATCATGTATGACGATATATCCACGAATTCAGAGCTCTGCTTTGTAGCTTTTATGCTCTTATGCGACCATTTTTTTTATATCTAAAACAAAAACATCATCACGATGACATATATGTGCCATTAAATAATTTATTGATGTACTTTCAGCCTACGTTCAGAACATTGTTAAAACAACCACACCAAGTAAGTAAAATTTATTTTTGGTATTTTTATAAATAAGATATATTTTTAGTAGCTATATGATTTCATTAAGTCAGTTTTGAAAAACTATAATAAAACAAAATTTAGATCATTTAGATCAATGAGCATTCATAGAAAATAACCATTAAGCGCAAATAATTTGATTACCATTAATTAATTACCATTATATTTGAATTCATTGCTTCTGGATAAGCATTAATCTTCCGGTTTATGTGTCCTATGTGTTATTTCTTGATTTCTTTCAGAACCTATTAGTGTAAAATGTGGACCGTTCTGGGAAGAAGATCCCCATTCTGATTTCTGCTACCAGTTTTGGGATAAAGATCGGATCTGGAACGATGCTAGAGCTATGTGTGGAAGTAATGGTGGTGATTTATTAAGTATTACATCATCAGTTGAACAGGCATATGTTACAGGTACCCTTTTATAGGAACAGTTTCGCTATTTTCGGAGGTTAATTTGGGTCTTGAACATATGAAAATAGTCTTCAGAAGTACTAGAAATGTACGCAAATCGCATAATTAGTTAAAAAATACCTCAAACTAGGAATTTTACTTTCTATTTCTATAGTCTGGACACATATTGATTTAAAGGCTCAAATTTCGACGATGAGCTATTAACAGTATTTCTGATAGTTTAGCTAACAAATTCGCGTTTTAGAGAGGCGAAAAATCCTTAGACCAAAAAAAATTCTATTACAATAACCAAGTTAGACGTGTCACAAGTCCGACAACCCTTTCGAAGAGTCCAATTTATATAGGCTGAGATATTTTCTTATTAACTGATCTACGGTAATTAACCTTTCATTGTCTGTTCGTTTAGGAAGAATAAAGGGTATGACATCAGAAGTTCTGTGGATAGGAGCCAATGATTTGAAAAGAGAGAAGGGTTTTCAGTGGACGGATAGGTCACCTTTTCCTTATATGAATTGGCTCCCAGGTAAGTACAGCTTATATCAAGTGTAGCCTCTGGTGACATATGAATTTCTTTTGATCGTTAAATTCAAAGATTGATACGGTGGTTTGTCCGATGACTGACGACGGGGTACCAGATTGCTGTGGGTATCTAATGGTTTGTTGTTCGAACTGGACAATCCACTTTTCTATCTTTGTTGATGAAAGTAGAGGCAATCAAACTTCGTGGCCTTGTAAGGACCTATAGTTAAGATCTGGCGTGAATTTGAAATACTTGCCAATTTTCATTTACAATTTTATTAAAGAAAATGATACCTCCAAGCTCCAAGCCACGCCCCATAAATGTAACATCTATCAGACCAATAGATAACTGTACTTGGTACATTAGCAGTTCCCGTGGCAATAAAAGCATCAGCTGTTTATGTTAGCTAAATGTATCTATTCTGACCAAACTGTTTCAGGTGAACCCAATAACAACAAAAATTCTGAAGACTGTGTATCCATGTTTACCAGTAGTGGAATGTGGAACGATTGGAAATGTACCAACAGAGCTGGATTTGTGTGTAAAAAATTGGGTAAGAAAAGCCTTTCTCATCTTGAGGGTAACATCACAAAATGTCCTAGTGATTGAATAAGATCCCTGCAATAGTTGTTGTGAGGTTTTCTCACAGAAATTACATCAGGAATACAATGTACAGTACTCTTTCTGATCACCCGACACAATTTGGTGTAATATCACAAAACCCTTTCGGCGATTCTACATAGCTAATGATGTTAATTCGCTATTGGAAATATTAGAATAGCCGTTTTATTCTAGGTAAAACAACAGCGACACCATCTCAACCCACAACGCCACCTGCATCAACACCAGAAGGTAAGAACACTAGCTCGTGTGTTATCAAGAACATTTCAAACTCTTTGCCTCCAAAATATTTTTGGTGACTTCCGGTAACCAGTTGATTGATATGATTCGCTTCTGTAGCCCATCGTATCAACCAGCTATCGCTCTAATCCATGAACTCCATTCGTTGTTTTGCAGGAAGCGTATGGGGATGTCCCAGATTATGGAGAGCGTTCAGAGGATCTTGTTATTTGTACGTACCCGAGAAGTTAACCCAAGGGGATGCCGAGTCAAACTGTCGTGTCCAATCTGGAAATCTGGCCAGTATTGCTGGACCTGCTGAAAATAAATTTCTTCTATCAATGCTTCCAAATGGTAAGCCGAACACATTTAGCTGGGTTTTAATCTAAGCACAAAGCAATCATCGCCCTGGAGGTAATAAAAACACATCTATAAGACATGTGAGGGACAAAAACTATTAACTGAGATATTGAATGTTACTTTTAGAGAAGTTTTTTTCTGTAGCAACCAATATATTTGAGAAATACGGTTTCCAAATTCAGAAATGCAATTTGGCCCTTTTTTAATATCCCTTTTCAGCCGGTAGACATAAAGACAACAGGGTTTGGTTGGGGTTCAATGATATCCAATCAGAGAGCGAGTTTGTCTGGTCAGACGGCGAGAGAGTGACGTACACCAACTGGGCAGATGGCGACCCTAATAATTATAAGGGCGACCAAGATTGCGTGTCCTTTTTATCTTATGTAAGTTGAGTCTTGGCACCCTTTGGCATGCTTATCCGGTATGTGAACATTGCCAGAAACATAGTAACTTTAAGACTTACATTATTAGATTTATAAGTTTAATATAGCTTGTAATTGGAAACATACAGTGTTAAGAACATGACGAATCATTTTAATAGATGTTAGTTTGAAACAAGAATATATACTAAGTTACCTGCATTCTGACAAGCTCGTAGAATCTGTTTTTCGAAGTCACAGAAAAAGAATTGAACAGTACCGTTTTTCATCAGCAAAAGAGTAAACAATTCGATTTATTCACTATACAGACTCCACTGTATATCTACAGTGGCTCACATACGACATATTTCACTTTTAATTTTGAATTAAAAACACTAATTTTCACCTAGGTGGAAATTAATTATCACTTAGGTGAAAATTGATGTTTATAATTAAAAACTACAGGAATTATCACCTAATTTTCACCTAGGTGAAAATAATTATCACCTTGGTGAAAATTAAAGTTTTTAATTCCAAATTACAGGAATTATCACCTAATTGAAGATTTTAATTCAAAATAAAAAGTGGAAAATGTGAGCCGCCGTAATATATCAATGCCTAGTCCAAGCACTCTTCAACGAGCTATAAAACAGAAAATGACTTTGGTTATTTTAGCATGGTGGATGGATAGATGAAAATTGTGGTGCTGCAAGATCATCAGTTTGTAGAAAAGCTAGACAAATTATTTCGGGTAAAATCTATACAACGGGCTGTGAAAAGGTTGGTCTGTTTTCAATGTTATCTATGTTCTGTAACTTTGGACATTGGAAATTTGGTTACAGGCAATATTGCAGTGCTTATTGGCGGAGTATTGAGACACATGGCAGATCGTGATGGCTGACCTGGAAACACGACTAGCCGTCCAGATGGAACAAATAAAGACCATGTGTGCTTAAGGATTGATACGTAAGAGAATCATCGACTAATGCGACTGTCCTATCAATTTGCCTCCTTACATATTGCTATAACTTATGAAATAGTTTACTTTGCTAATTTGCGATGAGGTCCTTGTTCGCAATCGTCGAAAAATCTGCATTATACGAAATTATTTCATGAATGTTTTAGTATCCAGGAAGTTTAGGATACCGTGGTAGATGTTACCAGTTCAACACATCCCCTGATAGATCTTGGATGTCTTCTGAAAAGTACTGTAAAAAAAATGGCGGACATTTGGCGACTATTTATGACAAGTAAGTGGCTGAAACACTTGTCTGTGTCACAAGATGAGCTTTTACCAGATTGAATTGATATATTATTGGATGAAATTTAATAAGTTAATTGTTTTGCAAAACGTAAGAAAATTGCTGTTAAATTTTTCTTTGAGGTTGGGGTGAACTACTTAACCTTGGATTTGGCGTTTTCTCCTCCTCAGTAACTACTTTTTTCGCATGGGAGTAAGGCCTAGAAGCACATTCCTGACACCTTAACGTCACTCCCCGTCGTTATTTAATTTATATTTATTCCAGTCATGTGCAGGCGTTTCTAGCCGCTGAGATATCCTTAAGGGGAGATGATTTCTGGATTGGTCTATCAGACTATTTGACCCCAGGGCGGTACAGTTGGTCAACTGGTATGGTGTTTGATTATACCAACTGGAGCGAGAAACATACAGGTACTGTACGGACGATAGCAGACCTTCACAAGAGATCATTAATCATGGCACCGAAATAAGTCTTGTGTTGACTTCGAGAAAGAAGATTTTGAAATTGGAAGAAGTACATTCTGGTGTTTGCAATTGTTTGGGTAAACTTCTCTGTATTTAATAACCGAACAAACGAATTTGGGGATAATGGCCGGATATTGTAGATTATATACAGACGACCTCCGATTAGATCTTCCCGAACAGTTATTGACCCCAATGAGAGGTTTTTGTGATTAAATTCTAGGCAATGAAAAAAAGACGTGTGTCGCTATGCAAGCTGTCAGACCCATTGGTTTATGGAGGAATGGAAATTGTACAGACAGTCATTCGTCAATCTGTGAACTACCTCGACAAGGTTCCTTCACTAACCCTGTTATAACACAAACTACAGCTAGTTCCCTCCCTTGTCCCACTGCCTGGAAAAGCTACCAAGGGTATTGTTACAAGGTATATCGATTTTAAACTATGCGATAATTCGCTTTTTTTCCTCTGAAATAATTCGCTTTTTTTCCTCTGAAATAATTATATGAAAAGTCGATAGAAGCATTACGCGCCTATCTATGCCCTAAAATTCAAAGCACATTAATTGCATAGAATCGGCATGAAGTTTTTCGAGAACATGAGCTGTAAAACAGTAATATAAAAATATCTTCTCTTAGTCTTCTTCCTATCTTTATGGCAATGGAAAGTTGAAGACCACAAAGACATACAACTTTTTTATGAAACATATCTTGTGAAGTTGAAGCCCTGTATGATCCATAAGATATCTCGACAGTTGAAAACCATCTGCTAGCGTTAATGCAAATGATAATGCAGTCCTGGTATGTCAGAGGCTTAGTGATTAATCAAAGTTCTAATCATCTTTACATAAATAATTGATACCCCATTAGTTGTTCATTCTGTTGTTTGTAGGCATTTACATCACAGAAGTCAAATCAACAATCGTGGACTGAAGCTTTAACAAGTTGTCAAAGTCTTGGTGGTGATTTAGCATCTATACATAAGGCTGAACAAGAATCGTTTTTTCAAGAATTCCTGCTCCAGTAAGATTAATAGCGTTTACAGTTGACAATACGATATTTTGTTCTGAAAGCCATAAACAGAAGATATCTTCCTTTTGCTTGCTTTTATTTATCTAAATAATGCTGGACGCTGATTCTGTGCTGGCCAGAAAAGGTCATATGGATTCTGACAAAGGCAAATTTTCTGGCCCTAATATACGGATGTGATTTCGCAACAGTTGACTTGACGGGCTATATTCTGTCGCTTGCTACAATCGCAAGTTGAGTAACATACACCAAAACAGATTTTTACCTAAACATGGACTGGATTTTAAGAATCTAACTAAGGAAAATATTTGAGATCAGGTATAATCTGAATAAATTTATTGCATTATTGACTACTGTGAGACTGTACTGTGCCTCATACTTGGCAGTCAAACTGGTTGTCTGGACAATTAGTATATTAAAAAATTATAAGATAGAAATGATAAACACGATGTCTAATCAATGATTTTATATAGCCAGTGGCAAGTATTTGATCACCAGTGCAACTCAAACAATTAACCAGAACGATTCTATAGAGTAGGTGATTGTGTTGAGTATTATCAATTTTGTTCTATTTGATCAGGTCTGTTTGGACTATTGTCATTTCCAATGCTAGTCTATTATATCTGATATTTGGATAATCTAGATACGGCCTAGAATTTCCATGATTCTCTTTTACTTGCAGGAATCAAACGGGTTATTTCTGGATTGGACTCAATGACCGAGCCACAGAAAGAAGTGAGTGTGAATCCAAACTAAAAACTGAAGTTAAATGACCATAGTCATCGTAAAAGACTATTAAAACTTATTAGTCTAAATACCTTTCAAAATATAAAAAGAAATATGACATTCAGTTCGTCTACAGTTAAATAAAACACATAAATACGTTAATGACGTCATAGTATCAGTCAGGTTTCCTACTTTGAAACCAGACAAATTCAACAGTAAAGTCGTTATTTCTTCATGTGCGCTTCAGGCGGTGCACATTTGCTATTTTGCGACAAAGAGTGCGTTGTCCAGTTTAACTCTAGTCAAGATCTCACAAGTTAAATGTAAACCAAATTTCATTCTTTGTCCACTGTATAAATTACAGGCCATTCTTGGAGCGATGGTTCGCCATTTGATTATGCTAACTGGGCAGACAAAGAACCTAATGATTGGAACCATCAGGAAGATTGTGTTCAATATTCTGTTCAAGCCAACAAATGGATGGATGATAACTGTTACTTAGGTCACAATTTCATTTGTCAATTACAGAAAGGTAAATTCTATTCAAATTAAATTCTCTATATAGTTCTTATTGAGTACAAATAATTCTATGTGCCAAGCACACAATCCTCATCAGGACAACTACCTTTGGTAAAGGGGGTTAACTTTCCAACATTGGGCTTAGAGTAGTTATTGACTAGGAGTGGGGAAGCGAGAATATTTTACAGTACGAATTTGTCCGGTGTTGTGGGACAGGTGTACCTAAAAGTGAATATTAAAATATTTTATCATTGTCTATATATCAATAAAGCGACGGAAATAGGTAATTCAAAAACAGTGTTTTATATTTATCTTAAGATAATACAAAGTAGATTTTCAGGCAGTGACATAGGCTACCGGAAATAAGTATTGTGGTTAAACATTACCAGGAGAAACTTGTATTACCTGCAAGATCTTTACTTTCACAGACAATATCCTGACAAAGCGATCACCATTTTGTTTACACTAATGATTACGCGATAAATGCAAGAGAAAATGTCCTGTGGAACTGGAATAGAAATCTAATATCAGGTTCGCCATCAATGAAATATGGAAAATTCCTTAAAGCTGGTGTCATTTGAATACTTTACCATATATTCCTTCCTTGTTATTATTAAAGAGATTGAAAATCGGGACCATCAAGTTTATTTTATGAAATGATACTCGAACCTGAAGTCGAGGTGTCATTCTGAAAAGTGATGTGGTTAAAAAAGGTTGAGCATTATCAACTGATAAATTAATTGATTGACAACTCATCCCGTGTATATCTCTAATGATCCACTTATATCTGACTGTATTTGTAGGTTTAACTCCACCAACCACTAATGTACCACCTACTGCTGTTACATGTAAGCTCCCAATGTTTCCTTGAATACTGTATTAACTGCATGAATGCACATCATTAGAGGCATAGCATAATGGAACTAAATGAATCATGCCAGATAGTAATGTTATATCGCTTGAATAGCTAAAGCTAATCAACACCGCGAAACAAACATTTGTAGAACAGAAATAAGTCTTTGGACTTCAACTTCCCAAACGATTTCATGATCAATCCAATAGCTTCATCGGCTTCCCAATCTACGATAGGAAATATATCTGAGATCCCCCAATCCATCGAAGAATGCTCACATTCTAGTGTCCATTGATTCAATTGGCCTCAGTTTGTCATTATAGTAACCTCATGACAACTCTTCGTTACAGCTGTAGAACAATGTGGAAACTCGTCCTGGTTGTTTTATGATAACTACTGTTATTACCTCAGTCCAGAACAAGGTTCAGATGCCAAGAAAAATTTCTACGATGCTGAACGATTCTGCAACTCCCAAGGAGCTCATCTGTCCAGTGTTCATTCTGCTGAAGAAAACGGCTTCCTTACAACTTTGGTATGTTTAGTCTAAAAAGACGAAAATAAACGTCCAAACTATAGTTTGATTGAAACTTAGCTCCTCGGGAATCCTTACTACTCAATAGTTCTGGTTATAAACTCTTGGTATTGATATTCTAAGGATAAGTTAAGGTTTTCGGGGATCCTTGTCTTGACTAACTTGTCAGTGATTTTACTTAGCTTCTCGAGGATCTCGTCTTTCAGATTGCCCTTGACCAACCATCTTGGCAATGGATGACAATAATGATAACTTTTTTTAGGATCCTGTCTATCAACTTGGTCCTTGACCACCTGAAAATATTGTTTTTATTGTAGATGAGTAAACACCATACAACAATGTTTTATATTGGCTTGAACGATCTAGATCTCGGCCCGTATAAGTATGTGTTTTCATGTTTAAACACCTTGTTAATCTATTAAATATATAGCATACTCCCCTTTCGCAAAATGGTGTAAATAAGGTTGAATTAAATATAGCTTGTGATCCATTCAAGGTTAAATTAATGCAAAAATAAACATCGGTAGAGCTACCTAGCCGAAGACGTCTCTGAATGACATCTGGTGTTCCAGTACGGAGCTTGTTATTTCTCACAATTCTATGAAGGGGGTGTGTTGAACATTTGCTCGCTAACATGAAGTTTTGATCTTTGCTTAATCCAATGAATTGTGGTGTATTTACAGATGGACGGATGGTTCTACTGTACGCTATTTAGCTTGGGGACCAAGTCAACCTAATGATGACAATGGCGGGGAACGCTGCGTTCAGATATATTCTAATAGAGGTTTGTGTTTGATTTAACAGTTGATTAAGTTGAATTTAAAATCAAACATATGACCGGAACACTACAAACGGAAGCCACTGTCGTTCAGTACCATGATTAAACCTGGCGCATAGCCCCTCTTCCAGCCTCCAGTCTCGAGTTTGTTTTAATTACAGGAGTGTGGGTCGATATACCATGTGGTATGGTCAATGGGTTTGTCTGTAAGAAATCCACAGCATTTAGTAAAATCATCACACCACCATCTATGGTTGTACAACAGGGAGGATGTCCATCTAAATTTACAGCAGCCCAGGGATGTAAGTACCCCAGATACCGAAATAAACATTGTTAGGCCAATAGTCGAGTTGACAATAACTTAATGGAAGTATTTCGCAGAAGTAGCAACTCTGACCAAAATACTAGTATTTAAATAGTTCAAGGTGCATTGAGACGATGCTACTTGTACATAATGGTTATAGTGTCAGAACTTTGCGACTAGGTTCGTCAATTCCATATCCAACATGGAGAGTTCGTTATATAATTTACATGTATGATTTAGCTTTTAGATTTTCTCTTAAAAATCCTCGTATTAGAAGTTATATTTTAGTAGATATTCTATTAAATAATTCCAAACAGCGTTGCCACAACCAAACCAATCTGATTAGAATGTTTATTTGGTATCTTGGCATTTTATTGAATAATTGATACAATAGTTTCTTGTCCTTTCTCCCGTGTTTTCCTTTCATCCGAGGCAATCTCTTTTCTTTCTTTGTCCCTTTAACATCATGTTACCCTTAACGGGACTTAAAGGAGATCTCTATTTTATAAGTGTATCGGGGACACTGATGGCATCAATTTGCACAATACCCTTATTCAATCTGTAGTACTTCGTAAGACCAGTATCAAATCGTCTTTGTCAGGGCATGTTCACTCTGCGACTGGGTTTTCAACTTTACATTCTCCCACATGGCAGAAATTATTTGGTAATATGTTTTGCTTATTAATCGTTATTCCTTATAAAGAGTTCGGATTGCATAAAAAGATAAAAATTTTACTTTTATATTTTATAACAATTAGTTAATTATTTAACAGAGTTATTGGTATTAATTCTATATATAATAGTTATTGAAGTAAATAATCGTATTGATTGATATCCTTTCAATCTCAGTAATACAATAACTACTACTTGTTGAGATTATTACTCGTGGTGTCCAACAATAAAACATTAAATCTGTACATTCATCAACATGCACTATTAGAAACTTAAAGGTATGAGGTATGTAGACTCTCTGAGTAACAGTAGCAGCCTTGGGGTCGCTGAAGCTCCAATACGGATACTAGCAGCAAAGCATCTTTTACGATATTGCCCAAACCCTTATTAGTGTACTATGGTTGCTGAGTTGCTTCAGGTGTTCAAAAAGAGTGATCATGAATTATGCATTATACACAATCTTCATGACACTTATTATAGCAGATAATCGTTAAGCGACATTTGGGGGAAGAGATCACATTAAATAACAATGCCAATTTAAATTGTTGAAACGTTGCATAAAATAATATTCAGGAGAGGTACACCATATAAATTGTGTTCTGTTATTATTAAAGCTAAAATGACCTCGAGGACAATAATGTTTTGTCTTTCCTCCGCTATACTGCCTCTGATAGGAGTTGATGATGCTGGTGTACTCTCTCAACAAGATAGACGCCATCATAGCGAATTTAATCTTAATTATATACTTGTAAAGCCATGCACCTTGACTTCCTATTCTTGTATTAAGAACTGATTGCTGCACAGTAAAAATCAATAAATCAATAAATCTGTGAAAGACCAGGTACATTATTATAGATTAATTTTCAATCGCGTGAAATGTTGCTTAGTAATCAACAGTAAATGGAATAGGATTACATACAACTTGACCCTACCTACCACCAAACGATTGGTTTCTATTGTTTTCGATTTTATTAAGTTAACGCCTTAAAACAATTTAACGAGAGGGCGTGTTCCGCCTTGTGTTTGACCTTAGAATTGTGTCTGATTTTTAACGAGATGGTGTGTTCCGCTCCTTAGCGTTATGTCTGAGAGGATTTTCGAAAGCTATTTTGAATCATCGACATCTTTCAGGATGAAAAAGCCAGGATTCCATCAAGATAGCTACATATAATGTTAGATTATAATAATATTAATGATATAACTTTGAACCCAAACATTCCAAGGAGGTAGTTAGATCGTGCCCTTTATGCTTTATGTCTTATATAGTCATATCTATCTATGAAAACTTTATCTTACAGCTAGTAAATGTTTCTATGTGGGAGGAGCTTTATCCAACTCTCCAGAGCACAAGATGAATTTCACTGATGCTCTGTCAAGTTGTAGTGCATTGGGGCCTGGTATTGAAATAGCAAGCATTAATTCTTATATTGAACAATGTACGTATTAATCATCATCACAATCATCATCTACAGCATCAATCGTCATTATTATCAGCAGCCGCAACATGAATCATCATCGTTTTCGTTGTCGTTGATGTTCATCAACTTCCTACTTCATTAGAAGCAACATCATTTACATCAAAAGCTGCAGTATTCATCATCATTAGCAGCAGTAATCAACTTCAGCAGCAGTATCGTCATCATCATCATCATTTATAGAAGATTTAGTACCATCATCACCTGTTTCATACGTACAATACATCTGGTAAGTTTTCAGTAGACATTTATGAAAATGTAAAGTTTGTAATTTCTTTATAAAGAATATCTTCACGTCCTTTTCTGGTAAGGGATAAGAATGATTACTTCAAAACTTGCAAAAAAATGTTATAGTTTTGAATTTATCATACAAATGAATGTATGTGATATGTTTGTTCTTGACCCTGCAGTGACAGTTACTATGATGATTAAGAATGCTGTCACCGGGATCTGGATTGGTTTAAATGATAGAAGAAGAAATGGATTGTTCGTGTGGCATGACAACACGGAAGTTGCTTTTACCAACTGGGGACGGAAGGAACCAAATGAGAATCTCAAAGACAAAACAGATCAAGTAAGCGAAAATCCAGCTTTATTGATCTAATCCGAGGTCTGTTTTCAGATAAAATTTCACCGGAAGGAGGGACAGTCTGAATATTTAGACCACTATTAACATTCCCACTTACATTACTGGTTTTAATACTAATAGGTTACTGGAATACCGGTTTTATTAACTATCAGGAAGATTGACGTATTGGGGTGTGTTTTTGGACACGATGTGGGTTACTATGAAACATGGGGTCTTTGGGGAACGTCTGCTTATCCTAAAGTTGAGCTATAGACATCAATACATATTTTATAATTGATTGTTAATATGTGTTGCAGCAAGATTGTGTAATGGTGATACCACGTGGAAGACGATCTGGTGGATATTGGGTGGATGCCGCCTGTTCGATGAAAAGAGGTTTCCTGTGTCAAACAAAACGAAGTAAGCAGTAAAGACATGGCGTAATAACCCTTATACCTTTAACTGTTCTGGTGAGGTTTTAGCTCTGCGTTCTTTAGTCAATATAATTCATTAACACCAATATGGAAGTTCTACACCATGGTATTAATTGTGATACTAGAAACATTATTGTGTGACCATCATGGTGCGAGTAATCACCATAAAGAGTAACAATCAATATTGTTTGAATACTTCATGTTCACCCAGTACTCCAGCCGCCCTTTCAGTAGCTGGGTATGGATAATACTGGAAAGATCCCTGCCATGAGGTTTGGCCAAGGACCAGCTGGTAGACAGGATCCTTTATCGTGAACCTTGTAAAGTTGTAATCCTTTTTCGTTCATTATTGAAATAGATGTCTTATGTATCTAAACTGACAAGATAACCTTTGTTATGCGACTAATTAGCATAATAGATCAAAATTCATAGCCATGTCGTTTTGACAGCATCAACATCATTCATCACGGTGCGACTGATCACCAGAATGAGACACAATCAGTATTTAGATCTATGAATTCATATTCCAATTTCCGATTGGACTTCATCACAGGAATGACAAATAAAAACTCCAAAATAATGTCGGCTTCGCCAGCATACAATCGGATCATAATCACTACATTTATTCAATTCGTTATTGTAGATCCTGTTTTAGCTAATCCTATCCCATCAAAACTCGGGTGTACAGTGACCGGATATCAGCGATATGACAGAAGTTGTTACAGTCTGAAAACAGATAAGAAGAATTGGCAGGATGCGCAGACTCAGTGCCAGCAAGATGGCGGTAACCTGGCATCTATATGGGATATATATGAGCAGGCCTTTGTATCGCTGCTATCTAAATCCATGAAGGCATATAGTTGGATTGGACTCAACGACCAAGTTGTAAGCTGTTGATTCTCATTCCTTAATCAAACATGAAAGGCACCAGCACTCCCCCCCCCCCCCTCCACTTCTACCCACTCTATACTAATGCCTACTACTCTTTGAAGATGATACTTGATGGGTTACATCTAAGTATAGAATTCTGTTTGAGTAAAGAGCCTCTTGAGGGTATATCTCTGTTAAAAGAAACACCATATGATTCTGATACAATACTCAATGACCTATATAAGTCATACCAGGTCTTTGATGAAATCCCCTACAGAGTTGGCAGGTGGAAAGTAATAACTTTTAGATTTTGAAACTTGGCCATTAAGAGAATATAATCATAGACCTACCAAGTGTCATAATTATACATCATAATCCCTGTATATTCCGATATATCTATAAAACTAAGTAATTATCCTTCAAACTACGTAAGCGGTTTTTTTTTCAATAATTACGTTGTATAATGGATTTATCGGATTATAGAGGGATTCTGTTTATGGCACCAGGTAAGTTCCTCGATTAATATTGGCCCATTTTGAGAAGTAATTTATGCATTCTAATGAATAGTATCTCTTTAAGCTATTTAAAGTGTTCATTATTGATGATTGTGATTCCAGAGCTCTGGAGACTATCACTGGAATGATAATTCACCTGTAACCTTCACTAACTGGGCATACAACGAACCATCAAAACGTGACGGAGAGGGATGCGTGGCTATGAAACTTAACGATAAATTTGATGATGTCTTTTGTAATTCATCTTTTCCTTACATCTGTAAAATAGTCGTTGGTGAGTGTTGGTCGAGTTATCACTTTTTACTTTATTAAACTTTAAAATCAATTGGCCATAAATATGTAAAAGTCACGACGTCATGTAAAATATAAAAAAATAGAGTTTAATAGAGGGCTATTCCTCTCGGATCTGCTTTGCCAATTTCTGACCCTTTTGAAGATTTCCTTTAGATATTGACGTTTACTAGCAGTACTAGCAATAGCTCCCAACAATTAGTGGTTTTTACAATTTACGACTGTCTCAGTCGTCGAGAGGTCCTACTTGTAATCCAGTGGTAACCCGTCTTAAAGATATCATAAAATCATGTAGATTCGAATATAACATATTATTCTGATAGATCTAGTCTCATATCACATCTTCAAATATCAAGCTATTACGAACTTTGTCTTATACCTTGACTGCAATAGCCAGTATTACTGTATCACGGAATGCAGCAATTTGATCGGATTGTGCGCTGCATTCAGTGGGACAAAAATACTGGCTATTGCTGTCAAGGTATAAGACGAAATTCGTAATAGCTTGCTCTTGTGAAGATGCTCCTATCAATGCACCGAAACATTTTACAAAGCTTTGATGTTTCAGAGGCAGCTAAACCCACAACAAAACCGGTCCAAGCAGCTTGTGGAAGTATATGGATCCCATATAAAGATCGATGTTTTAAAGATTTTTCCAATCGAAATATGAGCTGGGCTGACGCCAACACCAGGTGTAAACGTATGAGAGGAGATTTAATCAGTATTCACGATGAAGCAGAAGACTCCTTCGTCAAGACTTTGATAAAGTATCCTGATAGAGACATTTGGTTAGGACTCATCCGTGCCGAAAACGGTAAGTACAACATTCAAAATCGGCTTCATCATCCGTCCGACTCGTTTAGCACAAGAGGAGTGTGTCATATTTTCCCAATATTGGTAAGTATTCGTCCGGCCTGCTGCTATGCTCCTGCGACCACTTTCTATGGACCTGTTGATCTGATGATATGATGGTGATTACCAGTAGTATGTCATCCAGTACCCTGAGACCCTGTTCCTCGAGGGTTCCAAATTGAAAGAGACGAAGCTATCCTCTTGAAAACTTATCTTTATTGTACACTTTTGAGGCTTTTGTTTCCAGGTGGCTACCAAAACAGCGACAACACGCCTCTAAACTATGTCAACTGGGACGACGGGGAACCGTCTGATGCCAATAACACCATGCATCAAGACTGCGTGGCCAGAGTTACAGAGACTGGAAAATGGGACGATCTGACTTGCAACTTTAAAAAGGGGTTTATTTGTGTCAAAGTCATGGGTAAATAAGTTGATTTTCACTCAACGGAGAGTATCTTGTTGAGCATCCGGCAACTATCGACAGCTTCCATCGTTGCAGAGCACTTTCAAGACTTTAAAACGTTGGACTGATTCCTTGTTGCGAAAGATTCAGCATACGTTCTCACAACTTCAGACCAGTTGTATCAATGTAAAGCCTGGACATAGATTTGTCATGTTTACTCCGTTCATATTGTCCATTTTCGAGAGAACAAGTTGTTATTTAATCCATATTCAATTCATATATATATAATATCTTGTATATATATAGCATGTATATATATATCCTTTATTGATTCGCTATCAATGTTTAATTTCAGCAACAAGTAAAGTAAAACAATCATTGTATCCGGTAACAGTAAAACAGATAACCAATAGACCGATAACTGCTGGTCCAGTTCTTACAAACAAAGCTCTAAACCCATTTACTAACAGACCTGGTGAAAATATGAACCCAGCAACGTTACATAATCGGTTCTTTACGGTCGATACTGGCACCCGTTCTCCGTTCACAGATAATACCGGAAATGGAATCACGGCAGCTCCTCAAAAGCAACCGAGAAAAGGTAAACATAGTACGGTTAAAAAAAATGTTATGTTCTCACAGATAGCAAAATAATACGTTTTAACGCTACGTTCCCACAATTTGGAAAAAGTTACGTTCTTACAGTTAGCAAAACGTAACGTCCTCGCGCTGCGTTCTTATAGTTAGCAAAGCGTTTAGTTCTCGCGTTACGTTCTCACATTATGTTCTCACAGTTAGCAAAACGTAACGTTCTCACGCTGCGTTGTTATAGTTAGCAAAATGTTTCGTCCTCACAGTTAACGAAATGTTACGTTCTCACGTTGTGTTCTCATAGTGAGCAAAACGTTACATATTTACGCTACGTTCTTACAGTAAGCAAAATGTCACTTGCTCATGTCACGTTTTATACAGTTAGCAAAGTTCAACTTCGCTCACTGGTAATCAACAACTGTCTTTTTTATGCGACTTTTCTTTTCAGAAATAAAGCGTTTTGTTACTTTTTGATAACAGATAAAAGCTATAAGGTTTACTGCACCAAAACATTGATTACCGACAGTATACCCAAAAGTGCTAATAGATGGGGTCTGGACCTCTTGGTTCTTCAATTTTCAGCAGTATATTTAATCATTGCTCGTCTATTTTCACCTAATAAAGGGTGTGCTATGCTCTCGTATGGATTATTCTGCTTTCATCTTGTTTTGTCTATTAATCGATTTTGCTGTGTGGTAAAACTTTTCTTTGTCCTTGTTATATAAATGTCTTTTATAAGTGGTGCAAATGTATTTGTGTTCCAATTGAGACCTTTATTGAGTAATTTCAATCAATTTCCCTTTCTTTAACGCGATTTAAGTTTTAAAACGTGTTTGTTTCTTATTTCGTCTCAAACATATTCAGTTCTTCATATTAAGCCGTTATAGAAGTAGTGACCTAATGTTTATAGAACTCCCAGTGCGATCAATATCTATTATGCATCCTGTATTGACTTGGCTTATGGTTTGTTGTGGTAACCAAAATGTTTGTTATAAATGTTTACAGTTTAATCTATACATTTTACATCCGGTAAAAGATCGTAACAAGCCTAATGAGTCTGTATCAATGAGGCACGATCGATCAGTTCTTTCCCTTTTGTGAACCATTTTTCCCAAAACTTTCTGTTTTCGAGAGATATTTTGTCTGCCTTGCAGCATCTTCAACTATTACAAACATGGCCTTATCCTTGTAACTCTGAAAATGCAGCCATTTGATTGGATTGTAAGCCAGCAAATACAGTCAATCAGAAAAGTATATTAACAATGAGCCATAATGTTCACGGTATTTCTGTCAAGGCCTCTGATTGGTTGTATTCGCTGTCGTACAATCCAATTAAATAGCTGCATTCTGTGATACAAGAATAGCGGTTATTGCAGTCAAGATATAAGACAAAGTTCGTTTGAGCCTGACATTGTGAAGACGGGCTTTCAGTAAACCTATTAATATGACACGAATTGTTCATTAAAAGGAAGAGTTTCCCTGCGTAAGTATTGAGGGAGGGGGAGGGGGGGGGGGGGGGGGGTCATCACTTTCGGGGCAAATTTCGATTTCTGGTCCGTTACCCTTGGTTCCTTAAATTCCGGAATGGCTTTACAATTTAATTTTAGATAATGACGTTACTATTGCAAACACCTTTTAACTTGATCTAATTGTTATGTAGAAACGAGGCGGGGCAAATATTTTGATAAGTTCATATTTAAAAGGACACTGTTGCTATGTTGCGTTTTTATTATTTCAAATCATCATAGTAACTTTAACTGATAATTGTCTCCTAAAATTCTGCTATTGATTATAGATTATGTATATAACGTTAGGAGGTTTTAATCGCCCTCGTACACGCTTTTCCGATATAATTTTATCTACAAAGACACCGTTTTCAATAAGTTTTCCTTACTGCTTTTGACTGGATATTGATTGTTCTATACAGTGTTTCAAGAATTGATTCGATCAATCGATTTATCGATCTATTTTGATAAAAGAAAAATATAGTTGTTACTGTTTCAACAATTATACTTCTAATATGGTGAAGCTTTTGTCTGAATTCAAGGTTATAATCCTTTATTTCAACAGAACTTGTTGGAAAATTTAGAAATCGATTATTATATAGCGAGTCGACCGCCAGTTAAAAAGATTGTAAAGCAGTTAAAAATAAGCATGTGTATCGGGGATGCCGTCACAAACCGCGAAGGGCTGTATATTGTGATAAAGCATATTTGGCTATTAATGACGTCATGAAACAATAAGTTGAATTGGAACCGCAGACGTTTGATTGAAAGTTTTAATGGTGCAAATTCATGCCATCAGTGTCCCCGATGCACGTGAAACATTTAGAAAAACCTTAAAAACTCCCTTTAAATTGATATTTTTTATCATTTGATAACAAATTTTTCAAAACACTCTGGCACTTTAATGGTAGCGACTTGACAGATTGCGTAATATATTGTTTTCTATTTTTGTCTGGCCACTGAAGATCATTAATTATTGTTAGAATAATTATATCAACGAAACACGATATTCATTATTGATGAATGCATTACTTGTAGAAAAATATCGAACCAAGACCTGAATGTATTTTACTTTTGATTTAACGTAAATAAAAGATGTTTAGGTGTTAATATGCATTGTCATTCCGGCAAACATTTCAAATAGTCTACATAGCTAATATTGTTTATTTGGTTTTTTGGTTTGGAAACTCAGCATCTCTTTTGGGACTATAAATTAATGATTTGTCCGACATTAAGCATTGTCATCTCTTCAGAGAGCCCATAAAATTAATGGGATTTCAGTTTATCAACACGACAGTCCGTTCAATATGATTGATTCACTCAATCATATCTAATTATATACATGTATATTTACATATTCCAGTTTATGAAATGAAACCGAAATTACCGTGGTCGAAAGTTATTGTCTTGGAGAGGACAGTAATTTGACATACCCGTCCTCTAGGCCTGTAACTACATGAGGGAGGTGGCATTGCCCAAATATATATCTTTCGGGCCTCCATTACCTTCCCTTCTCCCTTTTCATGTTTTCTACGTTCATGTCCTAAATTGGGTTGTTTCTATTTTCAGGAAGCTCTTCCGGTTTATCAGATGGTGGTGTTGTAGGAATTGTTTTTGCCGTGTTATTTTCACTGATTGTGTCCTTTGTATTGTTATATTATCTATCTAAAAAGTACCAGTGGACCTTCAACTCGATCAGACACGCAAAAGGTTTTGATAATGCTTTGTATAACATCAACGAGGACACAGTTACTGTAACCAGTGATGCACAAAGCTAAATTTCAGTTATCTATTTAGCTGTCTGAATATTTGCTTTAGCAGTCGATAGAGCTCCATTACAGTAACTTGTTTAACTTTATCTTTGAGCTGTATTTACTTTACCAGTTCAAATTTCATAACCTATTTGGGATTCTAAATATTTGCCTCACCAGCTGATAGAGCTCAATTTCAGTTCTCTATATGGTTATGTAAATATTTTCTTTACAAGCTGATAGAATTCAATTACAACTATCCATATAGTTGTCTAAATATTTGCTTTATCAACTGATAGGGCTCAAATACATCTATCTATATAGATGTCCAGATATTTGTTTTATCAGCTGATAGAGCTCGATTTCGGTTATCTACATATATAGATTTTCAAAATATTTGCTTTGCCTCAATTTCAGTTATCTTTATAGTTGTCAAAATATTTGTTTTACCAACTGTTAGAGCTTAATGTTAACTATCCATCGAAATTCTCAAAATAAAAAATATACAATATAAAAGATATCGTGAAAGTGTAAACTATCGTCACATCCGAAATATTTTAACTGTCTTATTTCTAGTTATTATTCATATATAACGATTATTACGTTGAGGAAATTTTTTGATTTTTAAGATGTTTGTGTGTTTATGTGTACAAATAAAAAAAATCTATTAAAACTGATATCTGGCATATATTAGTAGCCTAATCCGAGTTAGGCCGAAACATCTGCCTCTATTCCAGCCTCTGATAGATATTTTGACAGTTGTCAGCTGGAGTAGCTAACATCTGTCCAAATAGCCATCAGAGGCTGGAATAAAGACAGATGTTTCGGTCATATTCCGAGTATGAAATGTCACGAAAAGAAGGACGAGATGAGGATCTTCATTGAGTTATGGTTAGTAGTGGTCAAACGCACATACCCCCCGTGCCCGATTGATACATTTGGAAAACGATGGGTTATTTTTCCTGAATTTTATGTTGTGTTTTAACCGTTTATATTAAAAGTAAACAAGTTCTGTCTTCAGTAATGTCAATCTGAAGAAACAGTCAACGATGACAAGAAAAAACGCAATGATGTACGGCCTTCTTACATATTACCCATTGAATGTTCAGAATGGTCGAAAAGAAACAATCACGAGAAAATATTCTTCGCTCAAATATAGTTTTTCGATTGTCCTTTTAATTGGCTCACTAGATCTTTTGGCTCTTATCTTAATTTTGGAACTTTTGATCTCTTCTCATCCCATTAAAACTATGAACAAATATTTATCAGTGAAGCTGTTTGTTGTTGAGTTGGTTACCTGGTCTGTTATATTTTATTTACCACGTAATTAACTTCCTATACATGGTTGCTCAAGCATTGCACATAATCCGTTGATAAATCATTAACGCAGGCCGTGTTGAGGCTCGCTGTCTGGACTTTTTTGAACTAAAGGAAGCATTGCTTGCTTTACCATCTTCTAGAACATAAACAACTCAACCAAATTAAGATATTTATTTTAAAGGACATTTTGAGCAATGGTACCTTAGTTTCAGCAACGGGAATTATTATCTCAGCTAATCAGTCATAATGTTCACAGCTCACCGTCTTTGATTTAGACTTTGCCATGCAGAAATAGAAAGTGAAGTTCCTATTTTTTGAAGGCGTGATGTGTTTTTTTCGTTCATTTATATTACTTATGAAGACTATTTACATATGTCCGTATGTCCAATACCAAAATCAACTCCTGAAAATGGCGAACCTGCCCCTGTGTAATTCTTGCCTACAGAGAGCATAATGAAAATTTACTGTAATCTCAAAACCATTTAAAACGTTCAAGCTCCCTCTCTGTTTGGACAAATATACCAAATAAACACTGTCTCCAAAAAGGTTTTCAGGTTGACGAAATCTTGCCGTTCAGTTAAAGTTCCGTTCATGAAATTGAGCCTAACCTGTGAGACTCAAAACAGTAACGAAACGAACCGCAAAAAGAAACCTGAAATTGAACAACATATTGGCAAAACTAGAGTATATAGCATTTAATGAATTTTTCACTTGAGGAAGTATATCAATCATAGATGAGTAAGTATTTCATATAATCTATAAAGAAGAATCTGCTACTGCTACCAAAGTTGAGCTCAAGTTGGAATTCTGCCTCATAATTTCTTCACTATGTGTATATTACAACACTTTATAATCGGCCCATGACAGTTCTTAATACGAAATAAAGAAATAATAGATAAGAACGTATTCAAGTTTAATAGATGGTGTATCTTTAATTAATCCCGAAACTATTTAACTTCTACCAGGTTATAACTTGAAAGATTATCGATTTTATCTGCGTTCAGACTAATAGAATATTGTTTTGTTCTTCAAGTACTGAACGTAATTAGGGACAGCTAGTCCGAAGCTCAAACTTATTTCATCCCTTCGTACTGTTGTCTGGTGTTATTTTCAGCCCTGCGATCAGTTATAGAGTTCTTGAACGAGTGCTGGATTTCATGTTTCCCTACTCTTGGCCTAACAGTAAGTCAGAAAGAGCCTGCCAAAGATGAATATAGCTGGCATCATTCAACAGCGCACATCATTTGTTGAAAAGCCTACCAGAAGCTAAGTAAAGGTGTGCTCAGATCGATCTTGCGACTGACAGTATATGACTGCTAATGAACATTCAACACTGATAGCAGCTTTTTAGCTTCTGGGAGAATATAAACAATATTTTTGACGTATTGAATAAAAAAAAAGCTTAATTACTTTTTAAAACAATCTTCAGGGTCAGTGGGTTTTGGACTATATGCTACAGGTATGTCGTGTTCTATAAAACTAATCAAGTTGTTTATAATTTGGTTGTCATAGCAACGTCAAGGTAAGCGTAAAAACCCGGGGATTTGATTTATTGGAACACAGCGTCTTGGAAAGAGCGTGAGAAAGAGATACATCGTAGCTGAATAAACTAAGACTAAAACTTAAGGTAGGTGGTCAAAATTTTAAAAAATATATTATTATTGGATGCTTATACTCAGAATGAAGTAAGACGAATAAATTTCCGAATCAAAATATCTATAAACATTGACTGCCAACAACTTCTACAACATTCTAATCTAGTCAAAATGACAAACTTGCGAAAAATCGGACAAAAATGGACAGCTTTCGTGGATAAACATACTTAAAGACTGACATATTCCTATCCAGACTGCAATACGCGCAAACGCTGATACAACTGAATTAAATGTCTTTACTGGAGCATTCAAGATGATAATACATATAGTACATTGACCGTATGAGACAATTTGATAGAGCTCATTTTCGGCTCTATTAGGAATGACAAATCCGTTGTCGGACAAATTAAATTCTTTATTTCGTACCAATCGGAGTATTTTTTTAGTATTATTGTTTGCCCGACGAATTTTGTCCCTACCAGTTCGCCAGATGTGATATTTTGAACCATTAATGAATTCAAGACATTACTAGGTTTTTTCTGATATCATTGTGAAAGAGAATATCCATAAAACACAAATGTCAAGATCAGTAAAACATGAACGAAGGGATTGCAGGAAAACAAAATAGAAGTCGGAAAAAAATGGAATTTATTTGTAGTAATTGTATTAAGGAAATGCTATGATAAATGAGATATATCACGTGACTACAGGTCGGAAATAACAAGGTGAATATATTGATTATATTAAATATCAGCCAATTCTTCTGACACATTGGTTGATATATCTGATTTCATAATGTATTTGACTCATACCGTCAACACCTGTTTCAGATTGAAATATTTTATCAGGACAAATCGAAGCCGAATTAAAACTCTAAACGAGCAAAAAGTCAATAACAATAATATTCTTCAGTAGTAGAATCGACTAGATCCCTTCTTATGCTATCGACGGGGGGTGGGGGGCAGACGAGTGCCCCGGCGTACGTATGCGATATTAATGGGCACTAGTCATGGTGGGATATCAGGGGTCCCCCCCCCCAAGAAAATGTACTAGTGTAAGAAGCCGGAGAATGCATCTAACGCGATTTTGGAAGTAAAAGTAAAGAAAACCTTCTCATTTTTTACGGCCCGAGGGGTGGGGCATTGCCCAAAAACACACGCAAGATCTTTTGTGAAAGAAAAATTGTTTTTTTCTTCTTATCATTACATTTCTTTCTTAATTGTTGTGTTTTGTTGTTTTCAGAAAATGGCTGCTTTCATCACAAAATGTTTAATTTCATCATTGGCAATTATCCTAATCCTTCAAGTGCAAGGTATGTCATCACTGTATCTTTATTTAAAATGATTTTGCGAAGATAGTGGAAAAGTTTTCCAGATTTCTAATTTTCCAAAGAATCTTTAAGGTGCACACCATACAGCCCAAAGACCAAGGTATTCTTTCCTAGGTATAATTTATTTATTACGAATTTTTGATAATGAAAATTTTCCATACCGTCTTAAGTGTTCCATTCTATATAATGGGTCGTCTTAAATATATGTCGGAAACAATATAATGTTTTTTGTTCTTTTAAGTTTTGTTGGGAGATACAACTGAAGCTACTTCTATGGCTACGGAAGCATCGACTGCTGCTGCCACAGGCTCCACTGTAGCGACCACAATGAGTAGCGGCAACGGTGATGAGACGACCACAGATAATGGTGCTGTCTTGAACCGGGTCTCGTTGTTTTGTTTAGTACCTGTTTTCTACGCCTATCTTCTAGCCTAATGACTTCTTCATTTACATTCATACTTTGGAAGTCAATCGATTCGTTTCCCAGAATAACTGTATCAAATAATCAATATTAGCTATCTGTGGACCCCTGAAAGGACAACTGAGCTCTCAAACATCCCAAATACTCTGGGATCATGTAAGGATGATGCACTCTGCTCTGTTAAGCTTTTATTCAATATTCTAATGGAACCGAACCAATTGTCTTCTTGAGCTTCAATATCATCAATATCACGTCAAATATGGAAACATCAAAACGACTCAGACTAGCTACTTTTTCCAGATATCCAGTATTGAACGCCGAATGCATATGCATGATATCACATTAGCTTCGAATGGTTGTGCCAATGAAATATTCCTTTCCATTTCAAACTTTCTAAGTGGTCAATGACTGCTTTTCTAACAAAATTTTGCCTAATATTAGTATTGTTGTACTGCTTGTAGTTCTAGCTATTTAGCTATTGTATAAGTCGATTTGAGGTTTCTGATATTGCCCTTTTGGAAGATACAGGCCATAGATTCGCAAAATATAGGAGTTGAGTGTCAACTCAGCATTCATAAAACTACCAACGATTCATCTTTCTTTATACATATATTGTATTCATGGCACCTTAAAAATACTAATAGCAGCGGACCAGTCTTAACTCAAAATAGTGGATTTGGTGTATTTTCTTAATGACTGATACACAGATCGCTATATTTTTGTTCTCAAAGATCTAGAAACACTAACGAAATACATAAAACGGGTTATAGTCTGCGTTTACGTTTTTTGAAACCATGGCTTGTATTTTTTCATAATGGTTGGTTGTAATGTATCATACTAAGAACAATTGCGTTTGCCAAATATGAAGCTGGTTATAAACAACCAGTGGATGGTTATTGCACGCAAATGTTTTTTTTTGAAAATGTACATCGTCATCAATTTCACATGTCATGTTAAATGCAGTATTTTAGAATTTTCATTTTTAAGTTCCTTCACATTGAAGATTATTTTGAAATATTTTGTAGTAGAATGTGTGATGGTATTGTGAGAGACTTATTCCAGACGGGAGTGTCTGGCATACTTCGGACTGCCAGACAAGCCTGGATTTGGCACTCCCAGATTGTCCGAGACTTCAGCAACTCAAACGATACCAAACCACATTCTAATTTCCACTTTAAACGTCTATTTTTGTAGAAATTCCCCTTTGTTATAATATAATAATTGAAAGATCTGAATTAAAGTAGTCTTTAATTAACGGGATATAAATGTAATCTAAAGTCAATTCCGATTAATCATGAGTTGCTGCCTTTCAAAATAAGGGTGCGAGTAACTTTTTGAGACATCTGAATTGTGGTGGGTCGTGGATATTTTATGGTGTATGATTTTGATTATCTGTCAATTGAATCCATAAATATCCAGTAAACTGAAAGAATTGTTCTATTTTCTGTTATTACGTAGATGTAATTTCAACCTGAAATCAAAGATTTTCCAAGCAAAGTTTTAAATTTTGAAAAACCGGTCGATCGTGGAAAATTATTTAGTTTATCATCAGAATTTTTGAAATCAGTGAAAAAATGTAGCCGAATTGAATGTCTCACTAAACATTTTCCGATAAAAATGTATTGCATGCTTATAGTTCAACATGAAAATTATAACTCTTATGAAATAGTTTTCGTGTGAATTATTGTGAAACTGAGACATGTGTTTCTGAGATAAAATTGCAAAATTAGGCTTGGCATCACCTAACTGATATTCTGCAAAAATGTCTGATCCGTCCAAAAGAATTCTAAATCAGTAGTACGGTTATAAAATAATGAAATGTGTCTTTACTCGCCAGAGCTGTGATATTTCTATGTAATAATCTATTGTTTGTTTGTTTGTTTATTTATATATATGTCATAAAATAGTGTGATCTTGTTGATTTGTTGTGTTGATGCATTAAATAATATATAGTGTAATGTTAATTTCTTTTTTTTTATAAACTGATTGGTTGGTTCCCGTGGGGGTCCTTTATCGTTTGTCTTTCTACCCCTTAAATGGACAGATGCGTCGTTTTTGGATGTTGATTTGGGTCTTGAATATATGTAAACAGTATTCAGAAGTAACTAGAAACTTACGAAAATCGCATAATTCCTTCAAAAACACCTCAACTAGGAATTTCTTTTCCTATTTCTATAGATGTCTTTTTCATATATATGGCTGTGTCTAAAACAACGACTTGCCTTTTTATCTTTCAAACGCGGATAATTCTGAACACACGTGGAATTGAAGACACAAATTCCGACTGCGAGCTGTGAACACTATAACTGATTGTTTAAGTTTAAAAAAAAATCCGTTTCTGATACCAAAGTATGATCGGTCAAAAAAAATGGCGCATCTGTCCCTCAAAGTAATCATCGCGAATTTCCCATTGTCGCCATCAACCGACCATATATCATAGTGATGACCTGCTACATTCAATTTTGTACATTGAAGTCTGGTTATTCGAGACATGACGCAAACGATCCGACGTGAAAGTTCCGTTAGCGTGTTTAAATTCCGCAATAGTCATCAATATATTACATTGATAGATAAACCAATGATGTGGCCTTTCGGAGGGGTGGGGATTGGGGGCAGGGAGGATATTGGCCCCACAGAAAGAGGCTAGCCCGGCTTTGTAATTTTTTTATCATATTACGAATTGAAAGTATGGTCTGTGAACACCTGTAAAATTGTGTGGCACCTGCTCGGCCCCTTCACCTGATGTAGTCATGAAATAAGTCCAATAGATTTTACCAGATTTTTACATTCAAATTAAATAACAATATTAGATTTACTTTTTTACAATTTATTTACATCACAGAAAAATAAAAACAATAAATAGATAGGCTAATAAATAAATACAAATAAATAAGAAATTTCCTGAAATACTCTGTAAGTAATTAACATTGTCGACAAGATTTTGGACAGGTGACCAACATGAAATTAGGATTCCTAGCACACTGGTCTTCGTTCGACCATTTCTCACATTTCTCATTCTTATCTTCGCAATCAGCTGAAAATATAATTAGTAATCAATAAAATAAAGGGATGATGTACTTTACCCGTTGACTCGTGTTGACATCTGATAGAACATAAGAGCCTTCTAAATATCAGTGTAAACTTTCTACTTTTTCACAAATATATCTGCAGTAGGCCTACATTCCAGAATTCAAATCTAACACAAGTGTCGTGGAAATGCATGCATGGTTCTAATGACAGAAGTATTGTGTTAAGACGAATAAATTCCATACCTTTATCCGCTGCCATTTGCTCCTCTGTAGCTGGAACATAAAAAATAGCACAATGATAAAGCATGAAAGACATGAATTTTATTTTATAATTAAATTGAATAAAAATATACTGCAGCAAACATGTTCAATTTGAATGTTGTTTATGATAATTGTACATTCGATCAAAGCCCTAGGCGTGATAATCGTGCTGTGTACATTTGGGACACGTTAAGGTGCTCTCACAGATTACCAGTTGCGTATGGTTGCGAAAGTTCGAAAGATATGACAGTTATTCGTATTCGCAAAAATACGCAAACGGTGATTGCTATGGTGTGAGGGCACTTTAATTAATGCTTATGCTCATAACTCCTAATATTATAAAAACATTTACTTACGTTTGCAAATACCACAAGACTTTTGGCACTCTCTTTCCATAAAGTTGGCATTAATCTTACATTGTCCACCCTTACTCCACGCCTTACAATCTTTATTCTTATCTTCACATTTCATTTTCTTTTCTCCTACAAATATAGAAAATGAGCGTATTTTGTCATTTATCTATCCCAGTCGTAAGCACGTCTATATAAATCGAAACAGAGTCTTAACCGACTGTTCTTCTTATAAAAAGCTGCAACGACATCCCCCCCCCCCCCCCTCTTTATCTCTCTCCATCCCTTACTTTCAAATTTCTAAATATTGTACATAGAATAAGTATTGCCAGTGAGCAATTTTCTTGAAAACTATTATGATGTCATTTGTGGTTAATGAAAGATATTCACTAACCTACACACAGATCATCTTCACAAGGTAAATCTTTACAATCTTCATGAGAACAAGCTTCTCCACCAATTTCAAACACCTTTTCTCCCCCATTGTTACCCCTGATAACAAAACATAAATATTTATTGCATAATTTTTAGAGGCTAGGCATACTCATCACAAACTGTCGACAACTATGAATGTACAATGGTGAACCATTCCCTTAGTATCGTATGTTTTATGCAGGATTATATATACAGTTATATACTGTACTCAACACGACATATGGATCGGAGCATAACGCGGAAATGATCCCTAGCTTCGTATATTTTCAATATTGGACAGGAAAAAAATCAAGATGCAAATTCAAGTTAGGACTCCGTACTAAGTCTGAATAATATATACACTACACGAATTGGTGAAAGGGTTAAATGAATGCTACAACTTACCAAGGTAAGTAATTACAAACAATCCACCAGGCACCACGAGCAGCATTGGTTAAATATGGACAGGTTTTGTAGGCGCACCCAATTTTGGTGGTGTCGTGCCATGCAAGCTAAAATAAACAATGAAGCGGACATGTCAATACTTTTTCTATGTTGCCGATCTTGAACTTAACCTTCTGAAAAGTTTTGTATTGCATTTGTCGCTTACTTCACATCCTTTCAGATTTGAAGTAAGCGACAAATGCAATACAAAACTAATATCTAGAGCCACAGTTTTACCTTCACCGGCTTTAAATGTGGTCCTGACTTCCTGTCAAGGACTCTCATTGACTGTTTTAGAATACAATTCAATCAAATCACTGAATCTACAAACTGCTGTGATACAAGAAATGTGGCTATTGCAGTCAAAGGTTTAAGACAAGTTCGTAAAAGCTTGACATTCTGATGATGTGAAAATCCCTTACCTGTGTGTAGTGGCAACTATTAAAAGAAGCACAGCGACCAGATCCGTAAGAATGGTCCCTCTTTTCAGCGTACCAGGCATCGAAAGCGTCTTTAATGTACTCTTCAGTTGTAAAAGGTTTGGGCGGTTTGTTCCATGCGAGATTTTCTCCTCGTCCTTTGTGTTCATAAACACACCGATTAGCCCAAATTTCAGAAGCTTCGGCTAGTTTATCATCCCAGTGCTGGAAATAATAAATTGAATAGTGTTTCGGCAATATCTGCATGGGAAAATTAAGAATTTAGGCAGTAATCATAACTCCATGAACCATCAGAGCTATGTAGAAACGTTTCATTGATACACAGAAAGAATTTTCTCATTAGTTCATAAATGCTTATTTTGGTATCTAGTTATTTTTATATAAAGCGTGGGACGAATTTGTGGAAAGACTTACCGTACCGTACCGTAGCTAATATTTATCTTTTGGTATATTTATGATACTCTAAATGGAACCGCGTTCCTGCTGGTTGACAATACAACAATTTTAAATGACTTGACGAATGCCATTAATCGACTTGAGAACCCTTTCAGATAGTCAAGATAACCTATTATGTTTATTTCGTTTTTCCCCAGTTTAAGTTCTCCTTCGACCTTTAAGCTTTCAGCTCTTTAATGTTCTCGGTTTGTCACTCGCGCATCTCTTCCACGAATATGTATACTTACTAATTTAAACATATTAGTGGCTCCCAGTTTACTTCTATGCTCGTTATGAAGAGTTAAAATCTGTGTTTTGGCTTCTTCTGTCATTTCACAATAAATAACTGGTAACATCAGCAACATCAGCAACATAAACATCATGATTCTGAATGGTTGATTAAGTATAGGATGACAAATTAACTAAAATAAGATAAAAACATAACACCATCTCCGACAGATAACTCAAAATAAAAACCTTAGCATATGAACAAAAAAAGCATGTTCCTGAAGGACGGTTGGCTGATTATCCACATTCCGCTTTTGCTTTATTGTGAAAGCATCGGTAGGGTTTGAATAACTACCGTACTACTCATGCTAAAGGAACCTGCAAAAACCCATACATTGTTAAACAATGGATAAAGGGTTTGGAAATGATTCCAGTTTTTTATGAAGATTGCTCACTTTCCTCTATTGATACATAATGAATGGTACGAAATGAGTACTTACGGAAAATTCAAACTGTAGTGGATAAATACAAGGCTGAAATGCTGACTATAGGTATCATGGCATGTTTTTATACAATAAGGTTCATCAATCACAGCTGAACTTGTCAAAATATTCATTATCAATAATTAACAATTTATAATTAATTTCTTTCATGACTAATTAGAGAATTTCATTGAACTTTCAGAAATCTAGTCCGACGACCTTGAGAAAAAGAAATGAACTATTATTATTAATATTATTATTTGAGATTTTTTTTTATCGATAGGGGTCGTAATTCCTTGTGGCATTTTGGAAGTGTCGTGACATTTCATGAATCAGAATATGTTTTTGATCGGTTATCTATGGGGGTAGGGCTGTCGTGATGTTTAAGGTACTGTAGAACAATTGAGGATAGCTTCATGCAAGTGGAGAAACGATAATATGGATTGAATAATGATCAAGTCTATGTTTCATAAAATTTATTTGAGAAGTCTGTAGAGTCTGTAAAGCTCTATTACCATTTTAAAACGTTCCTGTTGTCTCTAAATTGCACGCAATCTGTACACCTCGTACATTGGATGGTTAAAAAGTTCTAAACCTAAGAGAGATATCACTTCTTGACATTGACAAGTATACTCATTTAATCATACACATAAGAACTGCAACTGTAGGGTTATTATTGTCATTTTACTATCTTGTGAACCTACTCGCAATATTGGTTCTAAAGCACTTGATAGCGGTTCAGAAACATGCCAGTTTCCTAGCGTCCCGTAATATTTTCCCATTATAGTCATGCTCGATTTGGCTCGTGAAAGTTCCACTGGGAGAAATCGCGAAGAGTTTCTGAATGCTGCTATATTTTGATAAACCAATTTCTCCCCATCTCTCACCATTTCCCTTTAAAGTTATTTTGTTTATTTTGGGTATTGCCTTATGATTTCATTCTACTATTCTACCCCAAAGTAGTAGGGGTTCACATTTCGTTAATAATAAACATTAAACGTTCACTTTCTATTAAGGCTTTCACCCTTCTTTATTCATTATTCAAATATGTAATTTTCTATTCACATTGTGTAATCCCCTAGTGCCAAATAAGTTTTAATATTAAGTGTTTTGTTGTAAAGGAACAGAAAGATAAACGTAAAACAGTGACATACAGTCCACACATAGTCAAATCAAGCTGTCATTCCTCATGATTCACAACGTACCGGGTATTGGACAATAATTAGTCCATATTTCATTTTCATAATGACATAATAAACTGTATAAATACTACTAGCATAGTACTATTACTGTCAATTAAATTATTATTATTAATTGTTATTAAATAGTACTTCATTAAACCCCCTGAACCTTTATGAGTCACGCTAAATGTGTTTACTCACAGCAGGAGGTTATCTTCCTATATCTCCTTCTCAATTCGCTCTATTTTTTTTCAATTCAACCCCTTCAAAATCTGTCCCTGCTTTATTCGTCCCTATTCAGTTTTCTTTACATTTCGATTATTGATTCAACTGCAAGACTTGTCATTTTCGTTGTCAGTCACCATGAACTGACTGGGGAGAACCGGGCCTCAGACTGAAGTCGAGTTCAAACCAGGAACAACATAAATTCTTGTGGGTTTAAATTTAAAAGAGAGGAAAAGTAGAAAGAGTAGAAATAATTTACTATTGTTTGGTCGGCTTTTGTCCCATTCTGATCACAGAAAATATACCATTGTTCCAAACAAACTGATAGCTAGATGGTCACACTAGTTTGATCGGCTCGAATTTGGCTATTCGCCACACTATCGCCATATCATATTTCGATTCTGGCGATTCGCCACTTCATATTTCGCCATATCATTTTTCGCTATAACTTTTTGGCTATCTGTTACACTTTGCCATATCATGTTTCGCTAAATCATTTTGACCATTCGTTAAATCATATTTTGTCATATCATTTTTGCTATTTGCCACACTGTCGTCCTAACATATTTTGCCATATTATGTTTCGCCATATCATGTTTCGATTGTGGCTATTCGCCACACTGTCGCCATATCATGTTTCGATCCTGGCTATTTATAGCCATATCATGTTTCGATAGTGGCTATTCGCCACACTGTCGCCATATCGTGTTTCGATTATGGCTATTAGCCATATCATGTTTCGCCATATCAATTTGGATATTTACAACACTCGAAACATATCATCTTTCGCTACATCTTTTTGACTACTTGTTATACTTGCCATATTATGTGTCGCCAAATCATTTTGACCATTGCCCCATTGTCGTCAAATCATTTTTTGTCATATTACTTTTGCTATCCGTTACACTTTCGCCTTATCTTCGTCATATTATGTTCGTCATGTTATTTTGGCTATTCGCCACACTGTCGCCATATCAGGTTTTGCAATATCAATTAGGTTATTTGTCACACTTTACACGATATATCATTTTATGCCATATGATTTTAGCTATTCGACACAATGTCGCTATGTCATTATGTAAAATTATTTTGGCTATGCCGGTGGTGCAATATTTGCTTCACCATATTGCTCATTATTACACTGAGACTATATAATTTTAAAACTATTCCTATCTTGAAATGCGGGTGAGAGTTCATATCGATGTGACCTTGACATTGGCTCCAAATTCCAATCAACCGATTTCGATCTATTTATAGCATAGTATACTTTCGGTTCCAGTTGTTCTTGATAACTGTAAGGGCGGTTAGGGCGAATTCGTTGAAGTTTTACAACATGATCACGCCGCCTTGCCATCTGAAACGCCATTGCATTTCGTTTCTTTTTCTGCTTTTCCCTGCAAGATAGATTGCGGCAGATTTTTGACACAAATATCATCCAATACATTTAAAGCACCCCCCCCCCCCCCCACCCCTATTAATATTTGTTTTTTACCCAGAGACCTGAGAAGGTTTTATGAGTGTTTAATGCCAGTGTCATGGCAAACTTCCCCTCATAATAAACTGTGGTGTTGTCCACCCTTGCCATGTTTGGGGTAACATGTGGGACGTAAAGCGTCAATTCATTTCTTTTGATATAACAGAAGAGGTAGGCTACTTACTGTCGACAAACACAAGTTATAGAAATAGCCACGCCGACTGTAAGTATACATAATACAGTTATAATGATACACAAACAAATTGTGTTACACTTGATTGTCGAAGATGATGTTTTCAAAGTCGTATGTTCGGTCGTCGTCGTATCCGTTATGACATAACTGAACGGATCAGAATCTGTGTATATATGGCCTTCCCCAGAAATTTCGTTATTCGGGTACTCTTGATCAGCAAATTCATCATATATCTTCAATAGACTGGAATGATTGGAATTAAATCCGATACACTGGTTTGGACATTCGAAACACACATTCGTAAGCACCTCGTGGAATTTACTACATAATGACGTCATTAAACAGGAATTTATAGTGGAAACCATTTCAGAACAGGTTATGTTATACATTGGAAATGTAGAGACTTGGCTTAAGTGGACATTAACACAGTTTTGAATAATGAGTATCCTCTGGTAGCAGGATAACTTTATATTCGAACAATACATTGTATATAGCGTCAGATTCCATAATGGTGGGCACGGGGCAGTCATTAAAAATCGATGTATGGTTGTATTGCTGAACATCTTTCATTGAGCTGCTGAGTTTCTGCTCTGGAAAAACAAAAATATAACTTGATTGTCAAGTGCACCTAACGAAAAGAGCAAAGCTAATCGCAACGTTTTAAAATCTGAACGCAAGGCATCAACGCTCTGTTAACTTTATATATTTTGACCACAGAACAATACAGATACTCCAAGCACAGTTATCTGTGTCTATGAGCAAATTTGTTAGATTTGATCATTTTGGTGGCGTTATTTCCAGATAATGCGACCTAATGCCCACCGCTGCATGTTGATGGAATCACACAACTATCGTGTTTCGAAGCTGTTTTGAAAATCAAAACTGAACGAAGGGTTGGCTCTGTTTTGCGAGTGCAAGTATAGTTTTGAAATAGATGTAAACTACACTTCCAGATCTGCTAATGATATATTCAGTCTGAAAATTCCACCCGGCAGCTGTTTAAATAGGGCAAGTATTTCATTTGGCTTCTTGTCAAAAGTCGTACATCAGTTCTCTGTTGATAAAAAGTTTAAATTTTCATTTAAAAAACGTCTCAATTACTCTGGCAAATTTGCGTGTTAATTATTACTTAATTTTGGTGAAAAGTAAGAAAACATGCACGTTGAAGAGCTCAACATCAACAATCGATCGTTCTCAAGGAAGATTTTCCACCCATCTCTGTTAGTCACAATGTTGAAACGTTAGGTACCTTTTATATGATTTTGCCTGCAGAATGAAGCTCATTTATGTTACGTATAGTGTTTTTATGTAATCATTTTTTTTCTTCTGAACGAGTCACATTGTTGTAACAGTAATAGTTTTTTACTGTTTCGTCTGCTGTCTGTTCTACGTAAAATAGCACTGAAACACTGTTGTCCATTGGCCAATCAATTTGTAACGTTATGTACCGATTTCGTGGTTTTTGTATAAGGAGCAATTAAGTCGCTGCTCCTATAATTTTACGTAGTGTTTTTTATGGTTTTGTCTACTAGTCGAGTTGCTCTGCTTTAACTCAAAGCTTTTTTATCCATCGAACCAGTCACATTTCTATAAGTGACGTTTTCGTGTTTTTTGTCTACTGAACGAGTCGCGTAATAGTGCGCATTGTATTTTTCTACTAAAAGAGTCACAAAGTTACGTTACGTGGTTTTAGTCTACTGTACGCGCGACTGTATTGAAACGTTTCGTAACTTTCATAGTTTTTCGCGTTTTTTGTTTTTTTTCGGGTTTTTTGGGGTTTTTTTTAAATGAACGAGATGAGTTAAAAGCCACCGAAAAAGGTAAGCGGACCTGCCCAGTGAAGTAAATATTGTTCTTACCTTTCCTCCATTAGGTATCGGCCCCAATAATCTGTTATCCACAGTGAGAAATGATGAAATTTTTCTTCACACAAAGCCTTCTATCCCTCACCTATTCACATTGAGTTATGAGAATTTCAAATACGACCTCTAAATACACAACCTAAGTAATATTACCTGTACGCCAATTTTTGGTGTAAGTAACAGTATGTTTAAAGATCTTTGCCGTGCACTCAATATTATATTCATTGAATAAGTTTAATTTTCAAGATACTGTAAGGAACTTTATAGCATTCGCACATGTATTTGAGAATCTTATAGCTTATAATATTTGAACAAGTCAGGAAATTTGAAGAACAACCATATCTAGCCAAATAGTATTTCAGATAGTCATGATCAGGTCATATATGGGGAAAACTTGAATTAGCAAAACCACTACTTTAATTTTTGCTGCATGCCTCTTTCAAGTAAACCAGATGTCATATATTCAACACGCTCAAAACTATTGCTATTACTACAACTCTTGACTAATAAGGGTTGTGGTTTAAACGACTGTAAATTTTCAGATGGAAGCAGACTTTATTGCTATCATATAACTTTGTCGGAGTTGCTTCCCTTGAAATATTCCCATCTTTATAATAGGCTAATGCAATGTGAAAATGGACTCAGTTTGCTGTAGTCTGTATTTATCTTCTTCGGCTTTGCTGTCCCTGAAAACAATGAAGCATGCGTCTATCGGAAATTTAACAAAACATCAATATTTTTTTTTACAAGGATAAAACGTTTTCTTGTCAACAGCTGACCCATCTCTTTATTTACATTAGGTATCCTGCCTAGCAAACAATCCCTGAACAGTAGTTGTCGACAGTGATAGTACACGGATTTTGTCTACTAAGGGATGAAGAGGAATGCAATCGAGAGACAGGTAGGGTAAAAATTCGGGGACAGAAATGAAATGAAATGAATGGAGTTTTACGTCCTACTTTTCTGCACCATGTGGGCTAATGAAGACGGCCAACGCCATGCAGGGTGCAATGAGGGAAATTTTGCCAGGACAGCGGCATTAGCCTGCTCTTCTTTCGATTTCCAACTGTCGAGGGATCTTTAACGTGCACAGCGTGTAGCACACGGGGCCTCGGTTTATTGTCCCATCCGAACGACTAGACGCTTTTTCCATGTCAGCCCCTGCATCACTGACAGGGGGAAACCGGGTTGAAAAATCCGAAGGTATTATCCCGACCTATGCCGGGATTGAACCCTGGACCTTCAGGTTAGCGAGCAAGGGTCTAACTCACTGAGCCACCGCGGCTCCCGGGACAGAAATGAAGAGAAGGCAAATAAAATGAAAAGTCTGTAGAGGGGAAAGAGACGAGGAAAGGTGACAAATAGGAAGGAGCTGCAGTGGGTGTAGACAATAGGTAGAATGAATAGACAGTGGCTGTAAGGGGGGGGAGGGTAGGCTGAATGGGGGTGGGTGTAGAACAGAAAGAGATTTTGCGATAGGGAAATTGAATAGGAAGGAAAGGGATGTTAAAGACTTAAGTCAACAAGATCAAAAAAGAAGTAGAAAGAGAGAAATACAGGGAGTGGTGGTAAATGAAGAAGTTTTGACAGAGTATAGCTTATCCGTAGTATTAAGGAAGAGACATCGGGATATTCGAGTGGATGGTAGCTGAAGTAGCCTCAGTGGTCAAGTAAATTGCAGAAAATTACTTCCCTTGAAGTAAAACGTATGTTAATCGTTACTATTACAAGTTTAGATTCGAATTCGAAAAAATCGGCAGACTTCGGTCTTAGACTATTGATATATTATTATTGATAATAATATTGTAAAATAAGAACGGATATTTCTAGACTAAAGGGTGTATATGCATATTACTTGTGACAAAAATTCTCGTTAAAATTAATAATTCGATTTGATTTGATTGACAGATCGTCTTAACAAAATTTGATTGCGGCTAATCATACGAAATATTAGATCGCAAAAGAGGTTCTTTTGACTTGCAATTTGCAACACGATATAGACTACGTTGGACTTTGATCTCGAGTGCTTGATGGATAGGATCATATCGAGTTTCTTCTGGTTAATGGATTTATGGGAGGTAACTCTGTAAATTCTAAACAAATCGGAAGGATGCTATCGGCATTTCGATTTAATCACTGCTTGGAATTGACTGAAATTCATGTTATCGGTCTTTCGACACGTGTTCAGATTACAAAATCCTTATCAGAGCAATATTTGGGAAAGGAGGTTTACTTGCTGAACTTTTACTAAAGTTTTACTTAAGTACTGAGATAGGTGCCGCTAAACTATTACACAAACAGTGGGCCTATTTCTGATGTGATCAGCGACACGGAGTATCGTGTGACAGACATTCCAACTGGACGTTCTTTTCAGTGTCAGTGACGGAGCCAAAGGGGGGCAGAGGGGTCCAAAGGCATAGTTTCAGGCAAAAATATCTTAATTTGGCTATTCGGGCAACCTCAGGTATTTCGCCGAGTCCACCGACGACCTTTCGAGTGGAGCACACTTACAGACTGCGCGCGTTCGAAAATTAAATAAGAACAGGTTAAAAGCAACGCCCTGGCACAATAAGTTCCAACACTGCATAATCTGTCTGTACAGCCCGTATATACATCTCTAAGACATAGTTCGTAATAGCTTGACATATTGGGAGCAGGGAGCAGAAAAGTACAACCCATGCTTCCTTTTCATTTATTTCTTAATAAAATAAGAACAAAAATATAGACAAATTTAACCAGATTCGATTTCCATTTTCTTTGGGCTTTTCTAGTATCACATTACTACATCTCTTCACCAGGTTAATTGAAAGGAAAGCAGTTTTCCGAGGTTATAATGGAACTAGATCATACCAAACTCGTGTCCAGCTTGCTAGTTGAGTACATAACGGGTCGAAAACAGAAAAAGCAATTAAAAGAAAGGTAAGAATCGAGAGCACATTATCACATGTTTTTACTTTTTGATTATCTTCTTCACTTTAATCTATGCGATCGCGACCATTCCATCGTAGAATCTGAAATAGAAATATAACAATACATGTATTTAACACAAAATGGGATGAAAGGATGCACTCCAGTCATGCCTCTTCAAAACGTACAAACTTTTTGTATATTCTACCGTATTTCACCTAAGAAGGTATCCTCTGTTTTGGAGATTTAGATGACATTATTATGATATTCACGTGATCTTCAAACAGTTAATTCGCTTTTACATCTGGTTTGTAATGTAATACTGAACACACGCATGAACGTCGTGACCATAATATCAGTCCGGGCTACTCCTTAGTATCAAAAAGGTCACTGACTTATACGAAGCAACTGGGAAGGAAGTAGCAGCTTCGGGAAATTTGCTAGCCTGGTTAAGTTATAGGCAAGTGGTGGATCCTTGGAACCTCAAGTGTTAGGCTATGCTTTGGTGTAATCTGTGTCAAAAGGTTTCGCCAAGGACCATCTGGTAAAAGGATACTCATAACTGAAAATATTATCCGTGTAAAATTATTAACATTTAAGATGGTTGACTATAAACCATGTGATAGAAAAGTTCTTGGAAACCCAAGTTATTGTCCTTTAAAGATGATTTTAAATATATTTTCAGATAGTTGAAGGAAATCCATGGGGTTTTCTAACTTAGTTGGAAAAGTGTTCCGGGAAACTTATGGCTTTTATTTACTCTTTTCCAGAACCAAGTCCAACGGCCCTGACACTTAAGTAGTCCCCACCCCAGAAAAAAGCAGGATAGCATGTGGCAGGCGTTCCTGTTATTAAACAATTTGAAAGGACCATTTGTCATCACCAGGCTGGAAGATTTTATTGGACCTCTCTATAGAATCTACTCACCATTAGGACAATATGGACAACATTCTCCGGGGCGTTTAATAGCATTTGCACACGCCAGGGGCTCACATGGTGTCACATCGCACAACGTTTCCCCTCCATTGTCTGGACAGTAACATGAAATACATTCCGTTTCTACTATTATAGATCCCTTCTGATAGATCTTCCCATCTGTATGAGCACATCCATATTCTAAACATTTCGGACAACACGATTTGAACATCTTGTCGAATTTCAGACAGTTGACCTCCTTTTGACAGTCCTTGACAGAGCAGGTCACCCTACCCCCGTGTCTCGAGCAATGACATGTCATACAAGGTTCGGGTTTAAACCGTTTTCCAGGCGATATTGTCATATTTCCGTATGAACATGTCCTCTCGATAGACAGTGATCGAGCAGATATCCATATAATTTGAATCAGAAATACACAAATCACTAAAATGTGGCCGACAGTCCAGTGTTTCTCCATTGTGTTGAAGATTACGAGTAAAGTATGATGTGCCACTCCTGTATTGGTGTAAACTTTATTTATATTCAACCGTTAACCGCGGTGTATTACAGCAAACATTTCTATATATTCATTCGAAACCTGTTTACAGTTTAGTTCTCTGACTCAGTTAACCAACAATCTAACACGATAGAGTTTCCGCTCTCATGTCGATTCATTCGTAAAACATGTCATTCCTGCATGTGCATGCTCGTGAGACCAAATTTATATTTCAAGGTCAGTGTATATCCAGTTTGAAATTAAATATTCCTGATGTGTATGCACATGTCAAAGGTCATAAGAAACTGATAAGATTATTTCTCTGAAACTGGTATCAATTTGGCAAACCCATTTCCAAAGTGGCTGTGCTTCGAAAGAATTTAAAATGCCCTTCCTTTAGCGACATCTGCCCCCTATACTTGGTGTTTTAAACTTCAAGTAGCTTATAATTTATAGAATTAATAGCCATAGCAAAAACGTTTCGGTCATGTTGCCCTTCAATAGGTGCGTATGGGGTAACGCACTTTACAAATGCGATGAAGAGAGAATTCACTAACACAATGTTTCGGGTATGTTTTTCCTTACCAAGTGGTATGTTGAAATACATAGAAAGAGTTATGGTCAAGTTGCCCTTTTAGAAAAAAAAGAATTAGACCATACAAATGATTCTCGAATGCAACGTTTTGGGCATACCGCTCTCCATGAGGTATGTATGGTATTTCAGTCGGTAACATGGTGTTAAAAGTTTCAAAGGAATGAAGGTTGGCTCCAATTTATCAGAAATTCCAAGAATAACTGAAATGATGCGTAGGTCTCTAAAGATGCTTTTAGAATAAACTTGTTATTCACAGGTTAAAGGGATGCTGTAGTATATTTTTTCTTAGCTATACCAATTTTATAGTAATTTGTCTAGTTAAATGGATTAAATTGCTACTGCGAAAATCAAAAGGTATTACGAACTCCTTCACGTTGTGAAATGGCGGAAGTGACATCGCGTTCGTAATTTACATTCTTCCAAATGGCTGAATTCGAGTTAATATTTGAACAACTATACAGATAGTTGAAATTGAGCTCTATCTGTCGGTAAAATATCGGTAAGACTACGTTGAAGAGACTGACAATAAGCTCTATCAGTAAATTTTTAGACGACAATATAACTTTAAGTTAGTTAGTTTCTTGCAAAAACTACTGGTTTCTTAAAGAATGTGCTATATATCTTGCTTAAATTAGGCATCCTTGTTAGAGTACAGTGGCGGCTCCAAAGGGGGTGACTATGGGGCCATTGCTCCCTCGGCCACAAAGAGAATGAAAAATGAAGTGAAAGGCAAAATGGAAGTAGGAAAAAGAGAAGTCATTATTTGTTACTTGATAGAGGAAGAAAGCCTTTGAAATACATAAAGATTTCTAATTTAAGCCCTATATTTTCAAAATTTTGTGGGGTGAAAAGAGTCGTCTATATTTATCAAAATAAGGGGAATACCATCTTGAAAATAACCAAGATAACATTTAACATTAGGAATTTATTGGAAATATCTAAACAGATTTAAAACATATTAAACCTCGGGTAAGTCAGTTTAATCCATCAGAAATTGGCGGTTTAAAAAAAAAACAGACGCGATAAACCTGAAGAAGATGTGTTCATGCTAAACATACCGAGATATCAGCTGAAATATTTCTTTTTGTAACTTCCTGCCACAATTTCCTGATAAAATGTGTTTTACGCTCTACTGTTCTGTAACTTATAAAATGTATTCTCTATATATATGGCGGAGTCTCAAGAAAGGCGAGTCGTCATTTTAACTTTCAAACATGGATAATTCTGAACACACATGGAATTGACGGCTCGAATGTAGATCATTACTGATTAGCTTAGCTCAGAGATTCCCTTTTCTGATTAAGGTTAATCAAATGGTTGGTGAAGCTGTCGCTTTAATTTGAATGTAATAAAGATATGATAATAGACACTTTAACCAATGTCTGTTATATCTTATTATCTGTATTGTCATATCATAATAGAAAAAGATAAATCACTGCAGATTGAGTGGCTGACTACATTATAGACTCTTCTATACATGTTTACTTCTTATTACAAAACATTTATCTTGAAGTCTTAATTACACGAGCGTGCTCATATGATATACCATGGTGCGTAATATAGTTATATAACTCATAAATGTATACACACAATTTGGTCGGGAGTGCCGTCCGTGACGGCGCCAGTCTCCCGAGACCGGGGTACATATAGGGGACAGCCGTCGAGGATTAGATTTTAAATGCAGAAGCTCTGTGGAAGCTAATTTTTCTACAGGGGCAAATGCTCCTTGTACCCCAAACTCGCGCCGCCACTGAGTGTCGTCATCTCTACAGCTTGTGATTTTCCATTTGAGATTTGTCACATCAAAAGCCCTTTTTGGGAGTCTACTTAGAAAAAAATGCTTATTTTGGTTTGTTAAATCAGCGTCCCTTTCAGAACGTCCATGGGCGTCTGCACAAACTAAAAGGAGCAAATGACGGGAATTTAATGAGGTCCGTCTGAGTTATTAGACTTGAATACCTAAACGGTTTAACTTGTAGACTTGAAGAATTTGGGATATCAATCAAATCTAAATGGAGAAAAAAAATGACCTGGCACCAGCTTCCAGTAATTTGTAAACAGGAGAATATGGCGGAATTCCAATTCAATGTTAAAGAGAATGTCAGGAGGAATTAACTAGAATTTTGGCACTCCCTTAATTACAATGGGTTGCATATCGTACATAGTAATCCACATAGTAATCCACGAAACGCTGATGTACAGCCAAAACACGTTAACCTATCACAAAAAAACCTAAGTTAATTTGACCTATATCATCAAAACACGTTAGCAACAGGGCAATATAATTATACACATTAACCTATCACCAAAAACACATTAAACTATCACCATAACACATTAGCAACAGGGCAACCTATCACTTAAACTTACTTTTACTTCAATAATGATGCCAGTCACTCGAATCTTAGGGTACAAATACACGATATACTGACTTAATAGGGGAAAACTGTCGAGGACGAGATTCAAAATACGGCAGTTCTGTGGAGCGCATAGACACAAGCCTCCCATGGACAGTCTGAGGAAGCCCTACATCACCTTATGGTGATATCAACATGTTATTGTGATATCAGTCCCTTATTGTGAATACTACTTATTGTGATAACAAGGCTTGGTAACACTGCATCCCTGCATGTTCAATGTGATAAGGTTTTTAGGAATGGAATCATTATTTAGTGAACAAAAATCTTTTATAGTACATATAATTTTTATGTTTCATATTATGTTTAGTGTTTTATGTACCCTGGATTGAATATATAACAAGTAAAACCCACACCTAATATTAGCATTAAATATCAGGTTAACATTTCTAACTAACATGAAAATAGACAAATAAATACTTTTTTTCAAGAAAATTTTATTCCAAATAGTTCTAATAAAAAATTAAAGTGTAAAATAACAAAAACAACAAAATAAGTAAAATTAAGTAGGTATAATCAACAAAGACTTTCTGCACATTTGAGGAAGATTGAGGTAGTTAAAGGGGCAGTATGAACAATTTTTAATATTAAAAACATACCTTCAGAATAACTTATGCATTTGTTATAACTATGTTGAGGGACATATTTCTCTAGTTTTTGAGGTAAAGTTTTCATAAATTTGAGCAAAACAATTTTTTGACCTATAAAAAAAAACAGACTGCCCCTTAAAAATATGTCTTATTTTACCCTTGAACACAATTTAACACAGGTTTATATAGTCCCAATTATTCTTCTACTTCACAACAAAATATACTGTTTGTGTTTTTGTTTTGAATTGTACCCCAATGTGCATAATATCTTTGCTCAACAATAAATTGTTGGATTTATTGGCTGTCTATGGATTCTATTTTAAGTATTCAGGATAACCTTTACATGCTTTTTCCATCATAGTCAAAAACTCAGGCACCCCTTTCTGAAAGAAGATAATTAACTTGTTAGAGGTCATATATCCTGCATCAGCTCCAAATTGTATAACTTGATGCATATGATGTTTATGCTGATCTACAAGAGGCTCAGGTATAAATCAAGAAAGTATGTTGCCATCAGAGCAGCCACTAGAGTTAAAGTAAAAGAAAAGTTCCTCACCTTGGCAACCCAGTTGATTAACCAAGTTGGTATTGCACCTTTTGGGTCATCATAATACTGCATAAATGCTGCAAGCAAAAGTAAATTTGATTCATAAAATTGCCTATGAAATAGAGCAAATATTAAAATATTTCAGAATACACATGTCCCATAGAATAGGATATGTCCCATAGAATAGGATCTTTGCTAACTAATTAATTGGATATTTATGAATGTGTTGAAAATTTGCTAATGCATCGTTAATGGATAGGGATTTTGCTAAGGGACAGGGAATTTGCTACTAGATTTCTAATGGATAGATTAATGAGTATTTGCTAATGAACAGAGTATTTTTGCTAATGAATAGAATATTTGCTAATGAATTAAGCCTTTCCTAATGGATTGAGTACATTTTGCTAATGGATAGAGTATATTTTGTCAATGGCTAGAGTATATTTTGCTAATGGATAGAGTATATTTTGCTAATGGATAGAGTATATTTTGCCAATGGATAGAGCATATTTTGCTAATTGATAGAGTATTCGCTAGCAAACTAGTAAGTAAAATTACCTTTGGTCCCATTTTTTCCATCTGTCATTAAAGCAGCACTTTGTTTAAAATCTGAAACTCGTATAACACCCGATTTTTCTGGTATTTTTGATGAACTATCACTTTCTGATAAAACAACCCAAACTTTACTACCATGTGATTCTAACTCACGTAGCTCTCTTTGATATACATACTGCATTTTAGTTAAGGGATTTAATACAGGACTGGACCTGGGTGAGACCAAAAGAAGGAGGGAGGTGTCTTTCTGTGTTCTGTGATAAAAACTTATCAAAATAGTTGGTTGTGAAAAATGTACTGCAATAGCCTAATTTAATACCTACATGTATAATGACTAGATCTCATCTTATATGGCCAACAGGTATTGGATACAGATTCCTTATCAGGTCATCTAGTATTGAAATACAGGAGTAAAGTAATACCCAGTACCATAACTTACTGAACAGTCTAAGCGGGAATATTCCAGTAAAATACTTTCATCGCTTATTTTCATTTTGTAAAGGATACATCTCTATTCCACATAGGAAATGGATAATTAACATTCCAATATATTAACTTTTTCTCCCCATCTTCAATTTCTTCTAGTTCTAAAAACACAATACAAACATTGTAGTTTAAAAATGGAACAAAAATTTCTCTTCCAAAATAACTTCAAATCTCTTTTAATTACTATAAAACACAAAATATTCTAAAAGAATTAGGTTAAAAAAATCTGTATCAAAATATGTTCACTTTACTAAAAATATTGATCAGTTCAATGCCAACATTTAATAGACAAGTTCTTTAAATGTTCTGATAACTAACCAATCATTCAGTCCAAAAATGCGAGTCTCCTTCAAAATATATGTTCTGATTAGGCTAGGCCTTAGCTTGATGAGAATAGTGCAACCAATACGGTTATGACAGTGCACCTCTAAATAATGGATAATACAGTCGAGTAACCTAATTTCGTGGAAACCTATTATTCGTGGATTTCCGGAAAGGATTAATAATTTACATGAGCGACCTTGCGCGTCCTCCGCATTAGTTTGTTTTGATAAACATGGGTTTTCTCTACAATATCAGCTAGTAGAATGAATCCAGTAGTTTCAAGCAAGGTAAAATGTATTAATGTATACTTTGACAAATACAAAATGGCGGATTTCACTTATTACCAAACGTCACCATTTTTTATCGGCCGAATTTCATTATAATCCCGAACGTTAATCGGAATTCCAAGTGTTGTCTGCTAGAATATAATCCAACGAATGAAGTCACGTGATCAACTAGCGGATTCCATGTCGGCAGAAAACTTCTATGGAACACAAAGTGGACCATATTCTTATGTTGTTTCAGTGACTTTTAGCAATAAATCACGCTACGTATCTTATTTTGTCAGTCACTATTTTTTTTTTAAATCGTGCTTCTTTGAATGAATTATCACTAGTTATAATGAATTGATATTAAAGATAAATACTAAGAGAAGTTAATTATATCACCCGGTATCCATACAACGTGTTTTTCTAGACTTATTTATAGATAAAACATTGTACATGAAAAATAGGTGACGCATTCTGCCGCCGTTCTCGAGTTGGTTGCTCATGAAATATGGGTCAAAGTGAAGGATTCATTAAGAAAATCGAAATAAACCAATTTTAATTATTTTGTAGAATATCTGAGGAAACATCTAAGACATAAATTTTTTTTTCGTTTTTTTAACTTTGACGAAATTCGGTGTTGAATCCTTATATCCACGAAAATAGGTTACACCACTGTAAATGTAGAAAATACCTTTAGCATATGTATCCCAAGTTTTACGGTATTTTAGATCCATATAAACATCAGCACAAGTTTCAGGCAAAACATCTTTCAAAATACCATAGATTTTGTACACATACAAGCCTGATTCCTGAGAAAGAGAAGATTTAGAATTGACAAGGCCTCAGTCTGACAATAGAATTTTTGAAAAAAAAATTCCACATGAGTTCAGGAGTTTAGCTATCCCATAACTACAGTACATGTTAATGAGAAAATCATTTCTAAATTTTTATCAGATCGCCAGGCTACCTACCTCATTATACAGTTTGTAGATCTTCACATCATGTGACTCGGTAAAAAATTCAAAGCCTTCAGTTTGTGGATTCTCAAGCTCCTTAACTGCATTCTCAAATTCTAATGCCGAGAATCCTAACGGCGTTGCTGGAAACACCGACACCATTTCAAACGTTCAAAGTATGCAAATAAAAACTTCCTAATGTTCGTTCCTCAATTTAACATAGTCAAATAAAATATATGCCTTTTTAAAGTTTACAATGATCTTAAAACAATACATTGATTGAGATAATCATAACATGTAAAAACTTGAAAACTTGACAGTTATTTGTTTTGGTTTTGTTTACTTCCGGTTAGAATTGTAGAGTAAGACGCGAGAAATGTTTTTATGTTATTTCTACTACCACTCACACAAGAAACGCCCCACCACTGAATAGTAATAATAAAAACAAAACATTAGACTCTACACATATGACATAATAAAATGAATTGAATAGAAAATGGTTTAATATCCAACAATCACACAAGCTGGACATCCTCACTCAATCAAGTCTCCCCTTTTTTCATATAATTTTTAAATGCCTTATGCAGTAACTTTGTCTTTGAATGGAATCACGCTGCAATGATGAGTTTTGTTGCTTGCCCATATGAGTTCATTAGAAAGGCAAACTTCGGCTATCATCGATGATTTTCGGCTGTGAAAAGACTATTGGGTTAGCTCCCTTTTGAAAATGGCTGACAAAAATTAATTTTTTCTTCAAGTTATTAATGTTTTATAATTTACAGACTGATTTAGTGAAAGAACAAATATGTCGTTGGAAGAACTTGATCAGGTTAGTTTTGTAACGGAAAACAGACAAGAGAAGAGGGAGGGTCAGTTCCCAAACTATAAAAAATAGCAATCTCCAAATTACACTGAGCTGGAGGGTGGGGTGGGGATAAAAAAAAAAAACTAGTTTAATCAAGACGAAGTGTTTCAACAAACTGTAAGGTGGAGGGGCAGAAAAGATGCCACAATTGCCAAGGGGAGAACAATCCGAGGCTGCCAAGCTGGGTCAGTTGCATTTCTGCAAATTAATTAACTCTTATCAAAGCTGCTTTTCTTTGCAAGATGAAATAGACCTACAGCATAGTGGGATGGCAAACCTCCAATTCATCCCATAGGATCTTGCATATACCTATGTTCTTTGGCAAAGTATGGTGTAAAACTGCAACAAATCTCATTTATTAACTGTTAACTCATTTCTTTTAGGAACCATTTAGTGTCCATGAGTTTGTCGAAAGGTTGGCATGGAAGACAATGGGATCAAAAGCTGGCAGCAATCCAGAAGATTTCGATCCCATGAAACTGCATACAGCATTTGAAAAAATGATTGGTGATTTACAGAAGAAAAATGAAGACAAACAAAAGAGAATTGAACAGTTGGAAAATTCCTGCAAAGAGGAGGAGAAGAAACATTGGCAACGTGTTATGGAATTACAGAAAAAAAATCAGGTTTGTATTTTCAGAAATACTTGTACTTGACTTCCAGTTTTATAAAAGTAAACGAATTCAAGATTAAAAAAAAAGGTTTGTTTTGAGGCATTTCTTTGGATAAATTCTTGTGTTTCTAATTTTCAGGCTCTCTACACAAACTTCCAAAAACTGGATGAAAGAATCAGTTATGTAGCAACAAAAGTGGTTCACTTGGGAGATCAGCTAGAAGGAGTTAATACACCAAGAGCAAGGGCTGTTGAGGCTCAAAGATTGATGAATTATTTAGCTGAATTTCTCTCTGGTGAAGCCTTGAAATCTGCCATTCTTACTGATCCTTTTCAAGTAGGTCATCTACAGTGCACAATTGTATTATTATTTAAAATATGAAACTGTTGGTTAAAATGTTTTTTAGAACCGCACAGGTTTTGCATTTGCTTTTGATATATTGATTTTGATTATTAAATATTTTCTATGCATACTGTCAGCAATATTCTGTATTTATCTGCCATCCTTACTTGTCACTAAGGCCAATTTCCCTTGAATATCATCTACATTGTTGTAGATTCTGAAGATAGCTGAAAGTGAATTCCATCAGCTGGTATTAATAATATTAACACTTTTTTTTTATATGACAGCTCCAGCTTGCAGCTGATATTATACAGAAGTTACATTTGATAGCTCTAGAACTACCTGTTGGTGGGAAGTAAGTCCTAGATTTCTTCAAGATTATATCAATTATACATATCTTCTAAAGGTTTTGCTCTTAGAAAGATATTCTTCAGCTTATAACCTTGAAAATAGTGATGAATGTGACTTCTGATAAAATCCTTTCTCCCAGTGTTCAAAAATCTAAGGGTTTTTGTTTTTTACATTAATGCTAATAGAGGAACTAAACCTTTTGTTATGAACTTCATTTGGCCAAAGCTCTTGCAAAATCAGTTTTTTTTTTAATTTTCATGAAGACATACTCCCTGTAAATTGGAGCTTTCTGATACTTTATATTCAGGTTTGATAGAGCTCGGCAGAAAATAGCAGAGAAGTATGACAACATTGAAAGAGAATTAATTGGTGAATTTAAAAATGCGCACAGAGAAAAAGATTTAAAGAAAATGAAGAAAATAGCATCTGTTATGACAAACTTCAAGGTAATAATACTTAGCCCTGAGTTACCAGTAAAGAGATGAGAATATCATTGTATTCAAAGTATTCAAAATTTAATGATTCCAGCCATCCATATCACTTGTCAGAGAGAATGTCTGACTTTCAGTTTCTTTACAGTTAAAATCAACAAATTAAAATTGGAAAGTTTTCAAGTTTTAACATCTGTTGTTATCAGAAAGAAAGTTATTGACAGTGTGGAAGCTGAAGAATACCGACACTCTAGGCCTTTAATCCAATAAATAGAAAATTGGATCATTAAGATTTGTTAGATGAGTGATTTATACAATCTATTATTTTCAGGGATATGGACAGTGTATTGATGCCTTCATTACAGAAAGTCAGAGGGTGATTATTTTATATACATCATAAGAACAATATCTTGTTATGTCACATCATGTCCAACATGTTGGAATTAATACTTATGAAACTTGTAAAATTTCTTGTCAAATGGGGCTGAGAATATGTAATGTAGCTAATATTGTTTTATATGTTTTACAGAATGCATTTTTAAAACCCAATATATTTGACGATGTTTTACCACTTTGTGAAAAAACCAATGAAGTTGTCCATGCTGTTTTTGTCAATCCGGAAAACGTCATGGGCAAATTTGTTCAGAATATTTTTCAAACCAAAATACAGGTAAGATGTAAATGAATTAAAATAATCAGTAAACTTAGTATGATCGGCCTGGAGAAATTATATTTGAAAAGATAATAGCACAGAGCTTTAGTCAGATATGACTGGTAAATACAATCAAAGCAATAATTAGAACTCTAGTATGACATGTTTGGTAAATACAGAAAATACAATATTATCAACCTAATGAATAATTACTCTATTTATAGAATCATATTAGTAAAGAATTAGGAGATCGGTCTGACCCAGTACATTATTTGAAAAACTTGAATGATCTGTACAGTAGGTGAGTACATAGATTAAGATTGAGAAACTGCTTTGTGTTCAGTTGAAAGAAAATAAAACATGATACATCAATATTTTACAAGTATATCAACTTAAATGTTTTTTTGTACCTAAGCAAATGATGTCAATATTCTATCACTCTAACTAACTGAGCTACAATCTTTCCTCTTTGTATATGTTTGTCTTACAACAAGTCAACTTTGGATACGGATTACATCATCAAATCATCAAAACATAGGACATTTTGCAAATTTCTTAATTTAATTTGATGAAAATTGGCCAAGTCATTACTCTGAATTGACAGTTTAGACCAGGGAATGCCAATACTACAATCTGACTTGTTATTTGTTTCAGAACAACGAAGTTAATAGGAGAGTTATCTGGATTTAAGTTTGGTAATGATAGTTCTTTATTAAATAAATTAACACGAGGTATTTTCCAGTCTCATCTTGACAGCTATATAGAGTAAGTTGTTATTGATAGTTACCTGTATCACTTATTAAAATGGATATCCATTGTTGAGTTAGTCTGCATATAGCAAATAAATATGTTTAAAAGTATTTCTTGTTATGAATATTGTTATTATCTGTACAACAGGTTTGGAATTTAAGGTGGAATATCTGAAATTCTGAATTTTAAGTAGCATGTGTATACAAACAAATTTAAAGAATCACAAAGAGTTTTGACACATGCTTTCAATCTTCATTAAGCAACTGCCAACTGCTCCTTGAAAAAATCTGCTTTGTTGTCAGTCTAATTATTACAAATTGAAAGCTTTCGAAATGTGGATGTACACTCTTTCTAAGTTTGATTGAAATAAGCAAATTTAAATGAGTCCAAAATCTTGATATGTAACTGTTAATATTTCAGTATTGAGACACGATATTTACGAGATAGATGTACAATATTACTTCATCGCTACTATGAGAGTAAGGAACATCAGAAAAAACAGATCCAGTCTGGAGGGTAAGTTAGAATGAGAATAAGGAGGGGTGCAGGGAGGGAGGAAAGGGTATTGTAGGATTTTGAGGAGACTGGTGCCATAGTTTATTTAAAGAACTTCTTGGAAGATTGGCTTGCTGTGTCTGTATGTTTTTGGGGTTGGGGCTCGGATAGATCATTGAGATTTTTGCTTGCTCCTGGGTTCAATCTCCTCATAGGTTGAGATGATAAACTCCCCTTTTACATTCATCAACTATAGACCTTATTCATGCGAAAGCCATATCGAATCCAAAACAAGGCTTGTAACACACACAAAAAATTGGCTTGGATCACTGAGGAAAGACCATTTTTTTGGCCCAATTTCTGGCTGTTCAATGGCGTCATATAGACTATTCTATTATACAAACATCGTTTGCATTGTGTTATGAGTCTCGCATTCAATAATTCCAAAACAAGACAAAAAAAATTTCTATTGGACTAATGTTTTATTACAGTATTCATGATTTAAAACGAGATATTCAGGCAAAGATTGGTAAAGCTAATATAAATATTGGACCAGCAATAGAAGATTATGGTGGAGAAATATTCCTATCAGAAGTTGATGCTATAAATATACTTCAGGAAACTAAGATGGCTTTTAAACGCTGTCAAATGGTATGTCTTAAAAATTTCTGATATGCTATTGGTTAATTTAACAGGTTGTCTCTCTTCCCTGTTGGAGTCGGAGAGCCTGACGAAGGTTTATAATGACTAACTAAGCCTTTTTTTATTGCTAAAGCGTTTTTTAATGGGAGAAGTTTCACATCAAGCTAGGTAGGTAGATGACAAGTAGATTGGTTCAAATGGATAAGTTTTGCATCTGAGCTCAAGAGACTGAAAAAGCAACTGCTCTTCAAAGAAAGACAACTCTCATGAAAGTTGGTATTTTAAGACCACAATTACAACATGATAGAAATGTATTATCATATATTGAATATATTTTTTCAGTTATCAAATCCATCTGACCTTGGAAAGAATGCAGCTAAAATATTTGATGTGCTGTCTCAGTATTTGGTCATAGAACATATAGATTATGCTTTAGAATTAGGACTTCAAGGTAATATAAATCTTCTGCAAGGCTATTAGACAATGTTCATCTTAACTGCATCAATCAGACATTTGCTACAACATGTGCACATTAAAGATTTAGTGAAAGTATGGAAATGAAAATAATGTTAAATTTCTCTCTTGCACTCATTATGGTGTATTCCTTCTTCATTGTTCCATTCAAGATCAGATTTTAAGATTTGAATTAGTTGAAATGGTTTAAATATTTATAAAATTAGTCTCTTATAATGTTTACCTTTCAGCCATTCCATTGTCCGACCCTAAAACAGAACCAGAGATTTATTACTTTGATGTGATTAACCAGGCCAACTCATTGTTTCAATTTGTGGAAAAACAATTCATGGATAGCCTAGTTCCTCTTATCTTGTAAGTTATTTATTTCTTGTAATACATTATCCTTAATTCAAGAAAAAATCTGTAAAACAAGAATATAAATTGACCTGGCCTTAAATAATTGAAATATTTTCTAAAGACCTTTTATTTTTCAATTCAGGTCGTCTCCAATGCATGGGGTTTGTTTAAAACGGAAACGTGAGTTAAGGGAAATGTTAGAAACCAAAATAGATGTGGGAGTTGATAGAGCATTGAATTCTATCATTGGTTGGATACGACATATTTTATCAACTGAACAGAAGAAGACAGATTTTAAACCAGAGACAGATGATGCTCCTATGTTGATGTTATCACCTGTAAGTAATTTTATATTTATTTTGCACATAATAGAAACTATACTGGTAGAAGGAGTTTAGCATTTACTCAGCTTCTAGGTTTCGGGAAAAAAAGTACCTCCAATCACTTGGGGTCAGGTGTGATCATATGATATTTCTAACAATTCCTTTTTGACAGGCATGTGAGAAAGTGGTAAAGTTTTTAACCAAACAAGCTCGATCAATCAGAAGAAGTGTGGATGGTAAAAATATAGATGTTGTTATGATGGAGTTAGGAAAACGATTTCATCGCTTGATCTACGAACATGTTCTACAGTTTCAGTATAATATTATTGGTAAGGCTTATATTTGAAGTAACTCTAAATTTGTTACAATTCATTAAAGGGATTGTAAAGAGTCTTGGACCCTGATAGTATCGATTTGCACCATTCCAATATTCATTCAGACATCAGTGGTTCCTGAAATTCCACCAAAACTAAGTGTTTGATGTATTGCAATAGAGACATCACAAAAGACATAATATTAGTGAAATGCAGGAACCACAGACTTTTGAATGAAAATTAGAATAGTGCAAATTGATGCTATTGGTTGGTGTCTCATACATATAAAAAGTTTAAATAACCTGATTTAACCTTGATTTTCCTAGTTTTATTATTTAGGACTTTACGGTATTTTCTAGGTGCTATGTTAGTAATCTGTGATGTTAATGAATATAGAAAAGTAGTGAAAGAAGAGTTCCAAGTGCCGTTGTTATCACGATTATTTGAGAAGCTCCATGGTTTATGTAATTTATTAGTTGTTGTTCCTGAAAACCTGAAAACTATTATAACTGGGGATCAGCTGGTAAATATGACTATTATCCTATGTATCAATAGGCTTAGGAACTGATATTCTCTGGTTTTAAGTGGCACTGCATCTTATTTCATCATTTCATAAAGTTTAGTTGCTAAAGGTACCATTTTCTAATTGCAATGTTGCAACAGACAACATGTGATAATGTCAATGGTTTTGATTTCTCTTCAGATTGTTGAATACTTTAACCTGTATATTTCCAATCACTGGGACCTGTTCCCAAGTTGAGACATTTGTACTTTTCTTTGGAGGAATTTGATGTCTCACTGGCCTTGAAAAAAAAATATCCAACTACAGTATATATCGTTTTTGCTTGAATTTTTATGGTAACCCACTCATATAGATCTTGTGAATTTTCCCTCTGAGGATATTTTTTTTCTGTTGAATTTGAAACCACTTCTAAATCTAAAAAAATTTTTATTTTCAGATTGAGTTAGATGAAGCTGTTGTTTTATCGTTTTTAGAAAGACGCAGTGATTATAGGACAGCTAAAATAGCAAGCTTGATTAAACGATGAAATTGTTTCATCAATAGTCCACAAAATTTATCACAATCTTAATAAATCTGTTAGATTCAGACACAGATGTGGATTGTGGATTTCCAGACACAGGCGTTTTTTATGGAAAGGAAAGCCCATTCATACAAATAAAAGTTTGACATGTTCCATGAGAAAAATTGTTTCTTTTGTAGTGTTCAGTCAGACAAATGTTACGTTGCATATTCTACTGAACGAGTCATTTAATATCAATATGTTACTATAGACAAAACAAACAATGAATTTTGAATTCTGTGTTATGAAAGTAAAATGCAGGCAAGTGTCCTCTATTTTCTACAACTTTGATTGTTGATTTCATCAATCTCCACCCCTCTCAGATTTAAAGCATAGCCAAAGTTCGTCAATCATATTTTATTTTTATAGTCACAAGCCTCTGCTTTAAGTATTATCTTCACTTGTTATGTTACTTTTGCACTGTTATTTAGAAAATTGCTGAATCTAAAACTTGCAGAATCTAGGTATCTGTAAATTGTTGCTAATTGAATTATGCTCCAATTGTCTTCATATAATTTGAAATCTTTATGTTATAGTCTAAAAATAGCCAATATTGAATGCTTTGTTGAAAAATACATGTCCTAATTTGATGTTTGAAAAATTAGTGGACATTTGTCATTATTTGTTTCTATCATGAAAGGAAACTGTTTATTTGTTGTTATGTTGTTTATTATGTGCAATATATTTCCTCCATTATACGTTATACCCAAATAAACAATATTATAATCAAATAGCCTTGTTTCTCTAAAGGCTTTTCATTTTGAATGAAAATATAAAAGGCAAATGACACTTTCCCTGCCAATTCCTTCATTCAACTCTTATTTCTTTGACCAAATTAGATATAGGACTTCATTTCATTCGAATAAGGTGCAGAATAGTAGGATGTAAAACTCCTTATTTTAAATCATGAAGTTTTACACTGTTTCGATCTGAGTGTTGGTTTCAATGACGTCTATAAATTATTCATTGGTTCGTTTCATGGAATGATTAAATAATTGTTGTCTGTATCTAAAAGGGGGAGATAATTCAACAGGATAAGACAAAGAAAATCGAGTCTAATTGAAAACGACTATAGCAATTATGACTGGATAACTGGAATGAGAAAAATGGCGTCGCCCTTACGATTTTCATGTTGAAAATTTTTCCGAATAAAAAGGTCCTAATTAACGTAAGACATGAGTAAATATGTGGTATTCTATCTCCCCATCGTACCCTTTATCTTTTTTTGCATGACTGGTATAAAATTTTATTGTTTCCCTGGGTTTTCGATGATACCGATCGGTCACGTTTTTTTTGTTTACAAATTACATTACAATACCCATGATACGAATGATTAGTGTTGAGCCTATTCCCAACGTGATATTGCATCTACAATCACATTTGGCATCCTATGTTAATGTAATGGTTAAACTCTTAAGTACAAAGTGACTTGTTACATGTTACGGCTGTCTACTATATAAGCAACAGATATGTGTGGTCTGCAGTAACTATAAAGGAATTATGACTGCTGCAACACTATCATTTGCCCTTAATGTGTTCTTCCCAATAATGACACTTTCAGTAAACAAGAAACAAAAAACAGGGTACAGGTAATACAAGTTCAGCCTAATATTCTCTCTGTCTTTAGTAAAAACCAGCTATTATCAGCTCAGCATAATAAATTTTCTGTTATTTTACAGGCTTTGGCATAAATCTGGTGTAATATATTGAAATAGAGTGATTGTTAAAAGTAAACAGAATTTAGAATGGCAGATCGTGGCAGTTATGGTAAGTGTAATTAATTTACAAATTTTTGATGTATTGAAACCAGTTCATTTGAAAGATCAATTTGCAGTATTATAATTCCCAATTGATTGATAGTAGCCTATTACTGAATTAAATAGAATGTGAATATAAAACTAGTTGTTACTTATTTCTAGGAAGGGGAGAAGATTATGACTCTGAAGAAGATGTAAGTAGCTAGCCATTGTATTTAATTAAAAGGAATTTAAAGCCATATTCACTTTTCATTGGGACTTTTCAAAATTTAGGACTTCGCATCTATTCAAAGTGCATGCATATTCAGTACTTCACCTTGAATGTTTTATGGAGGAGTTAAAAATACCTCAACAGGTTCTAATTTTAAAATTAAAGCAAAGTACCCCTCATTGCACACTTAAAAGCTGATTGTTAAAATTGTTAAAATAATCATGAAAATTTGTTATTTACATCAAAAGTTATTAGTAGATTATGAAATAAATACTTGTGTTACAGGACAATGATTTCCACCGTAAAGTTCAGCTACAACAGCAATTAATACAAGCTGAACAGATGGAGAAAGTTGACCGACAGAAAGAGGTGCTTGGATTACAACAGCAGGCATTGTTACAACAGCAAGATGATGATTTAATGCAGAAAGTTTATCAACAACAGCAGATGATGAACAGAGATCAACCTCAAATGATGGCTCCACCACAACACTTACAACAAGGTAAGTCAATCTGTGTAGGATGATAAGACATTATTTCAAACCTGAAGCATATGACTGTTAGCATTATGTGACATCATTTGAAAATGTTTGTCACAGACCACTTGTGTGAACGTATTATTTTTGCAGAACAGCCACAAATCTTTAAAGAGTTAAATTTCACATAGCTGATGGTGCTTATTTGGTTTGATTACAATTTAGATACCGTAATGGATTTTTATTCTGAAAAATTGATACAGATTTAATGATATTTTATTTTAGTAATGAATATCCCAGCTGGGTCAGGACCCCCTACATCTGCCCCCCAACCACCACCACTGATGTCACTTAATACACAGGGTGGTATTCCACCACCGACACAACCCATGATGGTTTCAGGACCAGGGTCACAAGGAGCTATGGCCCCTAGTCAACAACAGATGCCACCAGGTGGCCCACCTCCAGGTAAGTCATTGGAAGTAAATTCTATGCCAATGATCAATTTTAATAATAAATAACAAGCTTAATTACGCTTTTATGATTATCTCAGGTTTCCAAATCTCTATAAATTGGGTTAAATTGTTTTTCTATTTTAGGTTTGCAGATGCCACAAGGAATGCAGGGTCCTCAAGGCATGGGAGGACCACCCCAAGGAATTGGAGCCCCGCCTGGACCTCCTCAAGGTATAGGAGGGCCACCCCAGAGCATAGGAGTGCCACCCCAGAACATGGGAGTGCCTCCTGGCCCACCTCAAGGAATGGGAGGGCCACCTCAAAGCATGGGAGGACCCCCTCAAAACATGGGAGGTCCACCTCAAAACATTGGAGGCCCCCCTGCACCTCCTCAGATGATGGGTAGACCTCCAGGACCGCCACAAGGAATGGGTGGTCCACCTCAAGGAATGGGAGGGCCACAAGGACCACCTCAAAGAATGGGGGGACCTCCATCAGGCCCGCAAGGATCTGGAATGGGAGGACCACCGATGGGTATGGATGGACCACCAAGAGGAATGGACAGACCCCCACAAAGAGAAAGTGGACCACAGAGAATCAGTCCTCGAGGAACATCTGGGGGACAGTCCAGACAACCACAGCCTTTGATGGAAAAGAACATTCCTCCACCGGTCAGTTATTGTGGTTTTTTTGGGGGGGGGGGGGGGGGGGGGCTACAGGTTGTTGGGATTGCACAATCATGTGAACATATGTTCTATTTCAAATCATTCACAAGGACAGCTGAATAGGAAATAAAATGTTCTTAATAGAATATGTGGACAAAGCATGAATTCATGGATTGAGAACAAATCTTTGCTCTGAACACAAGAATCATTCTTCAGCTCCAATCAGATATAACAAGTTCAAGTATATATGTACAAGTACAGCCATCTAAGCAACCTTTAGATTCTTTGTAACTATGCTAATCTTTTTGATGAATTCTCTTTTTGCCGTTTGTCTTTCTTTTTCTCAAATATCAAACTACCTGTAACTATGAATATTACAGGTCGAGAGACCACCAGGACAGAAAGAAATGAAACTACCAGTGGCTTTAGAGAAAATGCTGGAATTCAAAACAGCTCGAGCTGAAGAAGTGGGCTTTAGTCTGGATGAGTTGGAGAAAACTAGCAAAGGTCAGATGCCATTTTTTACATTCAAAATCGGCAACTATTTGTTACTTGAGTTTTTTGGCTTAACTCTGAAAGAAGAACAACTGATGATATCACCAAATGCATAGGATATAATTGACAGCTGTGACACAACAAGAAAATGCATAATATGGAGTCTGTTTCATACTCACATTAACGTGGATGATCAAAGTTACAGATGTGATGAGTGTGGATTTATACTTGAACCAATATCACCATAACTTTAACTTCATGTATTGTTTAATTTAGATGATGATAAGGAGGATAATGAAGATGATGATGACAATGATGATGCTCCAGAAGAAATACCAGGCGCCAATGATGATCAACAGCCAGAGGAAGAGGAAGAAGAGGAGGTTATTGAGAAGCCACCACAACCTTCAAAAAAAGAGGTATGAACACATGCTATTACTCATGAACATGGATTGTCAGCCTGGCGTGGAATCTTTCCACTAGGAGCCTTAGTGGCTTAGTAAGGTCAACTTAGTTTCCCCTTGTTAGTGAAGTAGGTCAAAGATACTGATTTTGAATCTCAGCCTCAACAGTTGTCCTCCTGTTAAGTCAGTCTGCCCACATTCTCGAAAGTATGGCGATGAGACCAGACTCAAGTTACCATTCTGTGACTGCTTTTTATACACTTTGTTTCAGTCTAAAAATAAACGACGTAAGAAGAAGAAGAAGAAAGCCAAGAAGAATCGTCAATTGAAATCATTTGACAGACAATCTGACGAGGAGGAGGAAAAGGATGAAGATGTTCAAGTCGAGTAAGTCATAATTTTAGCATTCTGTAACAAGGTGAATAACTGTTATCTGCTACACAAGTCCCCTTCATTGTTAAAATATTTCTAATGCTCCTGGCATTAATTTTAAGTTTCAAACAGACAAATACTCCAGAGCTTCCATGAATTATTTTTTTTCTTTTTCAGTTATGATTTAAACATTCATATTGCATGAGCTTTACATAGAATTGAATTTTTTTATTTAGGTTCTGTTAGTCGAAACATCTTGTTTATTGGCAGGAGGGTGCTTTTTAGCAATTTAACTATTTACATGTACATTATTTTCATTGCTTCAAATAGTTTTGAAAAATGTTAAAGAAAGTTGAAATGTTTAAAAATGTTAATTGTTGAAACTTTTCATTTTTTGTAGATATGTACAAGAACAGTTAGAACTGGAACCATCAGATCCAAACTATTTTGTCTTCTCCAGAATATTCGAAGCTTTCAAGGTAAAGTACACTCTCTTTCTTTAGTCTTATTCTGGACATAAAGTGGTTTACAGTTTATTGACAGCATTTACAGGTTTTTTAGAGGTTGACGTCTTCCGAATGATTCCTTAGAAAAAACAAATTGATGGCATGATGAAAACAAAAAAAACATATAGTATTGTGTACAATTGGAGAAAAGATTATCTCACAGCTCAATGCTATTTTAAGTTATTCTTAACTTTTCATCAATGATTTTTGTAGATTTCGGAACCAGAAAAAATTAAAGACACCAGTAAGCCAGATTCTGGGAAGAAAGATGGAGAAAAGAAAGATGAATCAAAGAAAGAAAAAACAGGACTTGAGGATGATGAAGATGATGTAAGTTGAATTTTTTTTTTTTTTTGATGAATGGAAATGTAGTGGCATGCTTTATTTTCAATAAAAGTATTCAATGTATGCCAAAGTGCAAAAATCTGTCTTTAACATGATGTAAGAAAAATCTTTTTTCATTACTAGGTCTAATGAGAGAATTTGAATTTTCCACAATATCTTGGGATGAGTATTATATCCGCCAGCCTTATTAGATGCTGTGAGTGCACTCTTTCCACCTAGTATTGTGATATTTGGTGTAGAATTTGATAATAGCAGAGAGGTTTTTTAAGGAAAGTTAAAATGCCACAGCTAGTGCCTGTGAGAGTTAACTTATTGTCCACTATAATCCTTCCACCACTAAAGCAGCTTTACAATTATTATAACTTTTAGGATGAAATGCCAAATCAGGATAATGAGCAGAAGATTTCAAAGAAGAAATTAAAAAAGATGACCAGGTTAAGTGTAGCTCAGTTAAAACAGTTGGTAACAAGACCTGATGTAGTAGAGATGCAGGATGTTACAGCTCGTGATCCTAGATTACTTGTACACTTAAAGGTAAGAAATAGGTCTTACAATAGAGTTCATGCAGGTTAATTAGTTTTCCATGATTTTCTTACCTCTACACTTCATTCCAAGGCATCAACCTAGTACTCTAGAGGGTGTAGCCCTTCTTAGCAATGTTTTCATGTGCACTTAAATAATTAGACTACAGTTAATCAATTTTTCTTAAATTCTTTACTCTCTCATGTGATATGGGTATGATAGTGAACAGTTCATTAGTTAGTGTTATTTAATATATAATCACTGACACTCCTGTGTATTGTTTTACTATCGGAATATCCTTGAGGTGTTTAGAAAGAGAACCACTGCTACTTAGATGTATACCATAATAAATATTATTTTCAGGCTACAAGAAACTCAGTTCCAGTACCAAGACATTGGTCATATAAACGTAAATATCTACAGGGAAAACGAGGTATTGAAAAACAACCATTTGAATTGCCAGACTTTATCAAATCTACAGGAATAGAAGAAATGAGAGCTGCTCTAGCAGAAAAGGTCAGTATTTTATAGCAGACCAAAGAAATGATCCTGGAATGGGCAACCTATGTTTATTTAGCAACGGTACGATATGGCTAGATGTGGATAATCATTATACTGTTGCTATAATGGAGGAATATGGAGGCAACCTAAGGACTAGTAGATAATAGAAGAAGAATACTTTTGGGCCATTCAAGATAGTTCCAAATGACAAACAGTTGGAAATCAAAAACAAGCAGTCTAATGCTGCTTTACTGGCAGACTGTGGCATTGCTGTTTTTCAATCGCCCAATAAAGTGCAGAAAAGTAGGACATAAAACTCCATTCATTTCATTTCATTATTTCCAAATGACAAAGATAAAAACTTTGAACTTTTATTAAATTTTAATTTTTATTTACATTTTTAGGAAGACCAGAAAACAATGAAATCTAAAATGAGAGAAAGAGTTAGACCTAAAATGGGTAAAATAGACATTGATTATCAGAAACTACACGATGCTTTTTTCCGATATCAAACTAAACCTAAGATGACAATTCATGGTGATTTGTATTATGAGGTAAGAGGAACCAGTTTGTCTTTGCTTTGTCTTTATCTTTGAAAGGCTGTAAATAATAAGCCAAGATTAAGTCTTTTTGTCAAGCATTCTGATTGGCTGTATTTGCTGGCATACAATCCAATCAAGTCACTGCATTCTGTGTGATACAAGAATGGTGGCTATTGCTGTCAAGATACAGTTCATAATAGCTTGACATTGGGAAGATGCTGAACCACTTGCTAACCCTGATCAATTGCAGGATTTAGTTGGCCTAAGTTTTCCAACAATTGAAAAATTACAATTGCCAGCAGCTACCATCAGTTGCTTGTGCTCTACCTAATATGAAATCACTACAAGAAGTTGAAAATATTGTGCGACTACTTTGAATGACTTCGATTTTAAGTTTGTTTTTCCAATTTTAGGGTAAAGAATTTGAAACAAGATTACGAGAGAAGAAACCTGGCAATATATCAGATGATTTAAGAATTGCTCTTGGTATGCCAGTTGGTGGGGTAAGCATATCAAAACACTTCTAAAATGTCTTGTTCGTGCATCGTGTTTCACCAACTTTCAACTCAAATTAAAACCAGACTTAAGAAATACTGCAAAAATATTGTTATAACAGAGCTGAAACAATATTCTGACAAGAGCTTTATTAACACAAGAGCTTTATTAACACAAGAGCTTTATTAACACAAGAGCTTTATTAACACAAGAGCTTAAAATAATAGGTTAAAGAGGTAATAATAGGCATATGGACTCTTCAAAAGACATGCTGAGTTGACAAACCCTGTCATAAAGTGTTCTCAGGTGTTCTTGAAGAGTGAGCATGCTATTTTTCGCTATAGATACTTCTTCAACAGTAGCTTTTTGATTAAAATGTTTTATGCAACTCTACATTATTTGTAGAATTCAGAGAAAGTGCCACCACCATGGTTGATAGCTATGCAGAGATATGGACCTCCTCCCTCCTACCCTAATCTAAAAATACCAGGATTAAATGCTGGAATACCAGAGGTAATGTCTTCAATGATCAATATATTCATTTATTATTTACTTTTAGCTTTTAATGCATAATAGTTTTTATCTCTATAATAAATAACTTTTGTAAAATCAATTTAATTTGATCACTGCTAGGAGTCTATTTATATTTTGTCTTCATTGGCACAGAAGTAGACAATAAAATCCATCGTTTTGTTTTTGTAGAACTGTACATTTGGTTACCATGCAGGAGGTTGGGGGAAGCCCCCAGTAGATGAGACTGGTAAACCTCTGTATGGTGATGTTTTTGGTACACAGAATATTGACATAGTGGTAAGTAATACAATTGTTTAATTAAAAATCATTAGTTAACCTCAATGTGTCCCCTTTCACCTTTTCTGAGTTCAAAATTTCAAATGATTGGAAAGTGGTCATTTTTAGTTTTGATTTAAACCACTTCTATTTCCAGTTTAATATTTGAATTCAAGCTTTGTGTAACAAGAGTTGCTTTCTGTGTGCTCATGGAATTCAAGTTCAAGAGTTTTTTTTCAAATTCAGTCTGTCATTGTACATCTTGGACAGATTAGTATACAATCTGAAATTCAAAAACCATCAATAGGATTTTGAATTCTGTTTTTTTTTTTCAAAATAAGACTACGTGTGAATGAAGCTCGGTATGGATAAGACTATATTTTTTTTAACATCCAACAGGCTCCAGTAGAGGAAGATGATCTAGATAAATCATTATGGGGTGAAATGGAGTCTGAATCAGAATCAGAGGAAGAGTCTGAAGAATCAGAAGAAGAAGATGATACTGGATTAATAACACCATCAGAAGGGTAAGCATTACTGTCCTCATCTTCACAATGTCAAGCTATTACAAACTGTGTCTTATACTTTGACTGCAATAGCCACCTTTGTAGTCTCACAGAAGTTTTTAATGCAGTGATTTGATTGGATTGTACACTAGCAAATACCAACTTACCCACAAATGCCAAGAATGTTTTGACGAAATATAGGTTTTTGATTATATTTTATGGTTTTATATAAACGAAAAGTATGTAGGGACTAGAAAACGTTAATTTTATAATGAAATTTTGTAGATTGATAACCCCAAGTGGAATGACATCAATACCAATTGGAGTGGAAACACCAGAAATGATAGAGTTGAGAAAACGACGAATAGAAGATGCCATGGACCAGGGTGGAGACACTCCAGCTCTGTATCAAGTTTTACCAGAGAAGAAACAGTCTGTGGGTGGTGCTATGATGGGCTCTTCACATGGTTACGATATTCCTGCTGTAAGTCTTCAACTTATATTTTATTGATACATTAGTCAAAGGGTTTTCAATTGGAATTCAACTTTTTAGTGACAACTGTAAATGTACATATTAAATCATCTTTGTAAAGAGATCAAGGAGCACTTTCAAGCTAGAAAAGAGTTTACATACTAAAAATTTAAAAGCTCTTTAAAAATTGAAATCAAGATTTCTGTTGTAAGAGCTAAGGAAGTGAAACTACTGAATAAGAGCAAAAGGTCAATTTCAAGAATACCCTTCTGTATTGTCTGTTTTTGTTACAGCTTGGCAAGAAACCTGGAGAAAAATTGACAGTGGAGGGCATTGAAGTGACCTTGAACCCAGAAGAACTTGACCTTGACACAGCGGCCATGCAAGCTAAATATGAACAGACGGTTAGAGAACAGCAATCACAACTGGAAAAAGAAGATTTAAGTGACATGGTTGCTGAACATGCTGCCAAACAAAAGGTTTGTATCATTGTTACTAATATTCTAACAGAAGTCTTCATTGTATATTCCTACTATGTATGATAAAGTTTTAATTTCCAAGAACGCCAAATGCAAGAAGGACAATCATAAACTATGGTCTTAACATTTAACCAAAGGCAAGAAACATAAACTATCAGAATTATGTCCTTTCCGAGAGTGTATTGGTTCTGCTTAACATTAGCTATTGAACTTTATCTAAATTGTTTTCTTTTTTCAGAAACGGAAAAACAAGCAAAGCGACAGTGGAAAATCTGCCAAAAAATACAAAGAATTTAAATTTTAAAAACTTTATTGAAAGACAATATGTAAATAGTTTGAGAAAATCATTTTAATACTGTCATTGTACTTGTTCCTTCACCATCTCTCACTGACTTGGATCATTCTACAGAAACAGAGAGGCTGATATAGCTCATCACAATCATGATAGATAAAATTAGTATATCTATGAAGGAGTTGTTTTATTTTATCTTGTGTTTCTCAAGGAGACAACCAAGATTCAAGATCACCACACAACCATATTCAAGATCACCAGATTTTAGAACTCAGGATCTCCATTTGTGACCAAGCAAATCACCACTTAAAGATTTTCGAACACTCTGACTGCTACAAAACAAATTACCCTGTGTATTGTTAGAGTTACATGATTGTCTTGTGCCACATAAGTGGGTTTTATGCCAAATCAGTAGAGCTGATTTCCTGTAAATGGCCTTGACTGTCATTCTGAACATAATGTCAGGTGATTTTTCGAGTAAAACGTAAAACTGAGAGGAATTCAGGTCCTGATCGTCGACTCAGTACAGTCTCACAGTCAAACTTCTCTCTTCCAACCAAATCATGTATTTCATCTACAAAAAAGAATATAAAAGATTTTGAGTATGTCTCTAAAATTACTAAGAAAGATTCTGATTGGTTCCTTCAAAAGGCTTGCCAAGTTTTAATTTCCACCCCTACACAGAAAATAATAATAAGCCTATTAATATAGCGCCTGTAGAAGAATGCCTATGAATAAGACCTATGAATACTAACCTTGATTATTTTCTTTAATGATAACTAAGTAGAAGATGCCATTATCAGACAATAGTTTTTCTATTTTTGGTAACAGTCTGTCAGTGACCTCACGACCTTTCACCCCACCGGCCCACGATGCTGAAATATCTGGCGTACCCACCTAAAAATAGTTAAAGAATCTCTGTGCCATATATACAATTTGATTATCTCTTAAAATAATGGCTAATCAGTCACCACTGTCAGGTCTGAAAAATGAAATAATGCAGTCTTACATCCTTCTTTTCTGCACCTTGTGGGTTAATGTATACAGACAATTGCATGCAGTGTACAATATTGCAATGAGAGCAGCGTCAGCCTACTCTTTTGTCAAGGGATGCTTAACACTCACAGACTGTAGTTATTGTTACTGTTTAAGCAAAATCACACTCACACGATGTACGATCTTCGTTAGCCCAGGACAAAAAAGTAGAAAGAATATAAAACGTCAAAGTTCTTTTACTGTGTAATATACATCAGAAGTATTATTATAATATTAGATTAACATCCAAAATCTTGTCTATGTTTCAAAAAGAAAAGTAATATAGTTTTACCTCACTTGATGGTGTAACTACATATGGAGGATTGAATAACAGAGTATCAACTTGATGTTCTAGTCTATCTTCAATTCCACTCACCTACAATACAGAAACATATATCTCAATCTTTTACCTTTTAATACACAGTTGTCAAAATTAAATGTCTTATTCCTGAGCTTAAAATAAGCTTAAGTGTCTAGTAATAGATTACCTACCAAATCACACAGAATTGTCTGTATATTTACACCATTTTGTTGGGCTGTGAGTCCAGTTAGCTCTACTGCAGCAGGGTTGATATCTGTAGAACTGGAATATAAGAAAAACAAGAATTACAAACAGCTGCTAAGCTTTTCTGCATTAGATGAGGGACCGTAGTTATCAGAAATTGAACTAAATATATAGACATTGAAGGCATTGTAAAGAAGCGTTCTAAAAATTGTATGTGTATCAGGGACATTGAGTCTAGCATTGATTTGCACCATTCCAATGGTCAGATTGTGTTTCTTGCAATTCCACTAGAACTTAATGTTTTATGACATGGCATAGCTATCACAAAAGACTCTTATTAAATATTATTAGCAGTGTTAATCATTGAACACTTAGTTTATGTGAAATTGCAAGAGCACCTGATGCCTGACTGACTATAATTTGTGAATAAAGGAAGATGTATTTACATGAAATAAGCTGGTATATTGAGAATCTGAGCTAGAAATGTTAAACATACTCCACTACCACAGCCGATTTCTACACAGATTGATGGTCTGAAAATAATATATATTTATAAACAATGGTATTGATATATTGCAGTCTGAATAAATGCTCTGTAGGGCATATGCTCAAGTAAGTATCTATCTGGAAAAATGCTCAGTGGAATATGTAAATTTGTGCTGAGAAATTGCCTTGTTAGTTTCAATCTGGTGAGCAGCTGTTGGGTGAGTAACTGTCTGTACCCCTGCCTAGGACACAGAGTAATTTTTTTGATCGAATTGAAACCACAAATTACAAAGAAAACATTTTGGCATTCTAGCATTTCTTTTCACCAACTGGTCATTGACCAAACCTCTTGAGACCTATCTTAGATTGTCCATACAAAATATCTGCCTATCTTTTAACAATTATGCTAAATTAAGACCAACACACCTCAAATTATTCAGGAAATCTATGTCTTTCTCAAGTGAATCTAGTAATAAAAATGTGTCTTCAGCAGGTTCATAAATCTTTTCAAAATCTCCTGACTTTAAATGGCTAATATCAGGGGTGGGAAACTTGGATTTCTTCATTTTGTATTTTGCTGTTTGGGTGGTTGTAGACCTACTGGAAAAAAATCAGGGGTAAGGCAAAATGAATGCAGTGGATATTTCATCACATTTATCTAACCTTAATAAATTCAAACTTGATAAAAATCCACTGTTACCAACTAATTAATTAACAGTGTTGAAGAAAAATAGATATGCCACTGTCCTGGCATTGTGCCTTGTGGCAAACATCTTCCCCATCTTGACTTGAGATGTTTCCAATATTCATTCGCCTAGTACTAGTAGCAGGCCTAAATGGAGACGTTATTTGTAACTTATTGAAAAGTAACCATTTTAACATTTTGCGTAACATTTCAATCCCAATCAGTCATATCATCTAAGGTTTCGAGTTTAAAATGACAGATGACTAGTCTATACCATGAGTTTGTTTACCTCACTCTTCAATATGGAGGTTAAAATTCTTATATCTTTATGGTGGCTCATCGATACAGTAATGCAGTATTTAAGTTTGCTTTCTAATGTACAGTGGTGTATGACCTGGTAGGATACTGATTTAACCAAAGAATGAGGAAATACAAATTATTGAGAGAGTTTTAATATCAATATAAAAGATGATATCTTACTCCTTTTATTCTAATGTTATAAACTCGGTTTGAAAAGATGTGATATCAATGTTTGCATTTCTGGAATTCCGTAGATAGAAGGGGAATTCCTACCAAATCTTTTTCCGGTGGGGACACCCCCTCAATCCACCAATCAAAATCGAGTATGTCTATTAATAATTAAAGATGGCTGGCGAAGGTGTTGTTTACTGAATTTGTTGACGTCCTCTAACCGTAAATGTCGTAATTCTTGTCAAAGGATGGAGTGCCAGTTGACAGATCGACAAAATTTATTTAAATTATGGTCGGCATTCACCACCAAGGTTAGAAGAATGCATATTTTTTCTCATGGCTTTTCAATATTTGAAATCACCTTATTCAACATTAAGTAACATTAATTTACGTCAATAAAACAACCAAGTCCAAGATGTCGTATGTCAGTGATTCAGTCATTGATTGTCAGCTGCAAGAAAAAAGCTGTTTTATGTTCTTCTGAGATGCAGTCTAATAGTCATGGCAATATGTACTACAGTATGCATCTTTTATGGATATTTTTGTACTTTTTAGTAGCCTACCTACCTTATTAGTACATTGGTGACTTAGACTATAAAAGTATTAAAAGATTGAGGCACAACAACAAAGTTTACAAAGTGACATTTCAAATATAAACCAAAAGAATTCTTTGTTATGCTTCATAGAAGTTTGCTTAATGACCACAAATCTGATTTAACATGCAAATATTATTATAACTTATTACTAGATGAATTATTAATTAGTAAATTAGTATTTTTTATCAAATTAACAGACCATTAGAGATCTAATCAATAATCAATTAAGTTGATCAAGGCTGAACATTGTTCCTGTCAATGACATTGCTTGGCACAATATGGCTGATTGTCAGGAACAGTTTAATTCTATTGTTAGAAACCTTAGACACATTTATGATTATTCTTGTCAATTTGTGCAGGTTCGCCATTCCTTTGACTAGTAGTAGTAGCTACTTAATTTCAGATTGAGACCATTGAGAGTTAGCAAAGCTAACCTAATCAGTAATAGTGTTTGCAGGACTTAAATTTCATGTGTTTCAAAGTTTCCAAGACAACTGTTTGTTTTTTTAGGCACTGTTATTTATAAAAAAGACAGAAATAGAGAAATAGAAAGTGAAATTCATAGTTTGAGATATTTTTGAAGGAATTATGTGATTTCCGTACATTTCTAGTACTTCTGAAGACTTTTATACAAATATAAAGTCCCAAGTAAATACCTAAAAATAGTGAATCTGTCCCATTAATATACTTTGGGCTAGTAAAGATAAAGATAGATCTTTTATATGCAACATCATGGCCCTCATGGCCCAGGTCAAATTGCAGATTATAATTAACTGGATACTGTGAAAACATATATTTTTCTGAACACCAAATTTCATGGATTTGTCCTATGCATATTCATGAGATTGTAAATTCACAGGTCATCATCTTGGGTTTTCCTAAACATAGAGCTAAACATTGTCTGCGTCAAACTTATTCTTATCCTTAATATTTTGACAAAATGAAAATTTTGATAAATCGAATACTAGTGCTCAAACAGTTGTTACGAGCAGATATCCTTGAGCACTATTTTCAGATGTCTGGATAAGCAAATATGAAACACTGATCTATTTATCCAGTGGAGAAATATTTGAAAAATCTGATCTTCAGTCTTGTCATCTGACCAGTTAAATTTCAAGTACACTCTGGAAATGGAATGGTAATTTTTCTAACATCTTTTTAGGGTGACAAGGCGGCTTTAGATAAATTTTTAGAATTTTTCATCAGAACACACAAAGAATATTTAGATTTAGAATTTAAATATTTAAACCAAGGGTGAGTTCAATTTATTTATTTTGATTAAATGTTATTACCCCTCCATTATCTAAAGTAATCCGATATTGACAGTATTTTTATAATCTTGCACTGAAAATGTCATCATTACTTTGACTTGAATATAAAATTCATTGCTATCTGCTTTGCACTTTTGGTGTTTGTTACCTTTAAAAAATCAATCAGGATTAGGTAGACGGCCTAAAATGAAAAAGTTCATTTTCTTTTTTCTACTTTCATTTTCAGATTTTGTGAAGAAGGACCTCATCTGACGTTACTACCTGAGAGAATACTGGAAGTTATAGGAAATTATTTATTAAAATCTACTGATGAGTTTATTAATAGTTTTGATATTGATTCCCTCAGCTTCGTAGAATCTCTGGTTAAATGTCTTATTATTATCTGTAGGTAAGATCAAGTTTAAAAATGTCAGTATCTCTAATCAGGAAATTATCTTGGAATTGGAAAGAGAATTTTAGGCCTTGTCGTGTGAATTTTATATGCAGGAGTGTTAGTTAATGACAAGTATGTCACTATATGATACATATCACACTATGCTATAATACAATGGTATGAGCTTAAAGATGAAATGCTTTCATACATTTGGAATTTAAGGTTGTAATATTGTGGTTAAGCAATGTTACGAAAGCACAGGCACAGGCATGTAGGCGTAACCTCTAGTGATAGAGCAATGTTTGTGAAGTTAGTTTAAAAGAATGATATAGAATATTTGAAATGCAAATCCATTATCTTCTGAACCTGAAATATATAAGAAGAATACTGGTTCCAACAGGAACATAAATAACCATGGAAATCATAATAAACATTTTCACTGGTGAAACTGAGGAATTGTCCTATATTAAATGAAAAGGAAAATGCGTATTTCATATAAAAAATATATAAAATTTATTAAGTGAAAATAGTATACATGTATGATGTGTATCTTTGTTTGTCTTGTATGCCTGATATTACCAAGTATCCATACATTACCACTCAATACGATACACATATTATGACATGTCAATTCACCGATAGATCTATATATATATATTTTGAAGAAATTGCTTGAAATTGGGCGTATGAAATTAGGAACTGGCGTATTTGACAGACATATAGTGTTATTAAAAATAATAAAATTGTTATAGACTCAATGTTTCTGTTATTTTCAGGAACTATGATAATGTTCCGTTGGTGGCCTCATGTGATTTTGTTGCTCATACTGTTTTGATATCTTCATCTACCATTGATAAGGTTTGTTGTTTGTCATTATTTTTTGGAGGAGGTGGGGGGGGGGGGATTTTTCTGTATTTTTTTACTACATTAGCAAATGATTTGAGAGATGTCAGTTAGCTACAGTAAAACTTATATTCTCTTTCCTTGCTCATACATCCAGTTATCTGTGTAGCTTATTATAGCATCTATTTAATTATGACTGTTATTAATTGTCTTGTAATTACGTCTTGGTTTTTCAGATTTGTAAAGAACCAGGAGAAGAAAAATACCCACAGCCTAAATTGTTATCTTTTATTCAACATGTTACACATTTTTTAGAGTGCCTTTACGACCCCTATTTTGTTTGGAGGAAAAGATTGAAAAGGTATGTTTCATTTGTGAACCCCTCATTAAACCATTCAGCATGTAATGTTTAAACGTTCCATTGATGTGTGTTAAACTTGCTTGAAAACACAAGTATATTACAGTTCTAAACCAAGCTGGATGAAGTTGTTAATCATCTGAAACAGAAACTAGTGGGAACAGAAATGTCCTCATAGCCATAAAAATATATTTTATGATTTTAGGTGGAAAATAGACAAATCTCAATTTGAATATAAACCAGCTTTTCTACATAATGAAGTTGTTCCATTTTTTCATGGTAAGTAATTACAATATATTATGATAAAGATTGTCCAATTAATAACAATACATTTGAATCATCATTTTGATTTATTTTCAATTTTAGAATGTTTCCAAAAAGAAAACCTGCCAACCACCATTCAGATTCAAGTTTTACATTTATTTGGTGCCATAATATCAGGGGTCCTAGTAAGTTTCTTATGTTTTCGTCAGTAATTTTTATTTGATTAAATGCTGATTCCAAAGCTGTTGTTCATTTCAGGCTCTGCTGTTTTGTCCTCAGACTCTGCTGTTTTGTCCCCAGGCTCTGCTGTTTTGTCCCCAGGCTCTACCGTATTGTCTGTAACTTCCATACCTCCTGCTAGGATTCTATAATTAAATATATTTATAATTTAATGTTTTTGTTCTGAATTTTCAGCATAATGCCTTAAAAGCGATAACTCCTGCCACATTAGATGTTTTATTGACTGTGTTATCCAGTGAAAGAGTGGGAGAAGCTGATTCTAACCAGGATTTTATTAGACTAAAGGATCTAGTCTTGAAATGTATTGTAAGATTGGTGCATGTTATACACTGTTGTAGTCCTGATCAGGTATGTCCTTTTGTCAAATTGAAGTTTTTCTTCATTAGGCCAATGATAATCATTACACAACGAGAGAAATTTTAAAGGAGAACTACATAAGCCCACTATTTTGCTCAATTGTAGAATGGACATTATTTGAATTTGAAAAAACCTTTTTTCATATCAGCTGGTTCAATGTGCCTCACTGACAGGAGAATAAAATAGATTAGAAAAAATATTTTTGGAAAGAGCATTGGTTCCATACATGACATCTTTTGCTTTGTTATGACGAACAACTGGTGGTTGCAGCTTCTAATCTCAGTCGACCTGTGAAAAACAGATAACCCTAAATAAGTCATCTTCATTCATAATGCCAGTCAACCAGCTGTATATGTGTGCAGATATTCCTGGGAAAGATCAATGCCAAGAGGATTAGCCAAGTTGTTGCCCTTGTAAAATATTGGTTTTTTCTTTTAACCTTATTATCTGTAACTGTAATATTTTAGCGTCAGATAGAAGTGAGTGAAGTTATGGAAGGGTATATGAATGTTTTACAGAATATACAATCACACCTCCCTAATGATAGTCAACTTCAACTTACAATGATCTGTAAGTTATAATATTTATATACATTACTTGACACTGTTTTAATATTGTTGGGTGATATGTGAATATTGTAATATGCTGTATGATGGGTATAATAAGCTTGAAGTATCTAAATTAAAGATATTTCACTGATATATCTCAATATATATATATATTACTCATACATAGATTGTATACTGTAACTTAAATCTTGTGTATTACAATTCTTGTATCTTCTTACACAGCATAGTGATTACCAGTTTGCTAGTAAGACAATGAAAGCAACTCTCATACAGCTAAGTTGTGAGTTGTTTTCGGTGCTTAAGACCACTTTCATTTTTCACAATCATACACAACTGGTAATTGCTTTGATGTGATGTGAGGGCACTTTATCCAATCATAATTCTTAGTGTTTTCTTTTATTTAACAGTAATAATGTTTCTGACAACAAGTTGGAAAGCTAATGTTTAAGATGTTTCTGAGTCAAAGCTCTCTGTTGAAGAATGTCAATTAAACTCTCTTAATACACCATCACAACTTTGTCTAAATTACAGGATCCTGCTGTGTAATTATTGATGTCATTATATTTAATATTTCAGCAACTGTAAATGAAATGTTAGGTTGTAATGATAGAGATACACTACAGGTTCTACTCGTTAATGATGGAACTTTTCATTCCTTTATATCATTATTACATCAAACTACTGTAAGTTGTCATTCCAGATTGATTTCTTCTTGAACTAGTTTTTTGTCTAAAAGACATCTCTAGACAAAGTAATATTTGAAGCCCAGCTTTTTTGCGTCTTGTAATTCATTGATCATGAAAAATATCATTTTCTTCCTTCTATTGCTCTTGGTAATTATTGTTTATGCAGATTTTAAACGATCTCACCAATAGGTGCTATGGAGCAAACTGGATACTATCTCAGTGAGCTGCCAAAAATTGCTAAATCTAACTTTGTAATTCTATTTAATTTTTGTTATAGTTAACTGGTAAAAGTGCTCAACATTTAGCTATATCTGTGATTCAAGTTTTACAAACTATTTTATATGGTTCTCAGCAGGCCAAGGTAAGGTTAGATACATGTCAGGACAGCAGCATTAACTTACTGATATTTGATTTTTGTGTACAGCCCACAGAGCCATAGTTTATTGTGCCATCTGAATGACTAGATGCTATTTTCATGTCATCCCCTCCAACCTGTAAGACTGACAAGACTGGGTGGAAAAAATACGAAGGTATCATCTTGACATATTCCAGAACCAAATCCTGGCCTGGTATTCTGGAAAAGATCTTAGCGCTAGGACATCCTAAGGTCTTCTAACACTGTTATTAGGATGTCCTAGCACTAAGATCGTTTGAGAATACAGGTTCTGAAGCTATACAATAATGAGATATCAATGGAAAAAAGATACAAATTTTATTTCAGAGTGGTGTGGATTATATCAAATTTCTAGAAGCCTTAAAAAGTTTGGGTGAACCATCACAAGAATTACTGTGTTCTCTGTTAAATTTGGTATGTATGATATTTATAAAAAAAATTGTGTAAGATGTTTTGTGCTATTTAACCCTAGTAATATTACTCCCCAAAGTTTATGTTTTTATCCTTTAAGTTGATTATTAAGCCCAAATTATATTTTAATGTTGATAAATCATTCATTTAGGTTGTAGAAGATTGTTATGTAGAAAAAGACAAATTTATCGTGCATAATACCCAAGTTGGTGTGATATTACTGCAATGGCTGCCTGATATTCACTCACATGATCTCCAAATATGGTTGTCAAATGAGTTAAAATGTCTGTGTGGATGGGGACATAGAAATCGTATGAGTTGTTGTACCAATGGTATGGTCGGTACAATATTGTCTGTTTTAAAAAGACGGAAACAAATAGTTCATAAAGCAGTCAGTAAGTAATCATATTCTTATTCTAAACCTATCAAGATGTCTAAAATCACTTGCTCATTTTGATCTACCAGGGTTAATGTTTATAGTCTCCTTTACAACCAAAACATCGCTTCCAAAAGTGTATGAAAGTGACATTGACGTCAACATGTTTTCAAGCGATATGATTTTCTAAAACAATGATAATGATTTTCATAAGTTAACTATGCCAATTTCTTTAATTATTCTGTTATTAGGAAATTTAATTAAGTTGCTGGAGTCATTAGGAACGTACAGTATTCAAAGCGACGAAATCAAACAATTAATATCATTATTGAGACTGGATGATGAAGGTTTACAGGTTAGTTTATCCAGATATTCTTTATGTCTTGTCTTGGACTGAAAAGATTTTTATAATTCTAATGCATCAGAAATAAAGAGCAGATATTTTCTAGACAAATGATTTTTGATTCTTATTTTGTTCTTGTCAAGCTTTAGTTTTAAGTTGTAACTTTGTTTGAAATAACTATTTTCTAGATGCCATACTGTACTAGAATAATGCGAGCAATATCAACAATGGCCAGACGAGACGGAAAGGATGGTGCATTACATTTTTTTGACATTCAACACAAATCAGATGTGAGTTCTATATTATTTATAATTGTGTTTTTTGTTGTTTTGCAAGGATCTGGTTGTGCTGATGGAATGTAAAATGAGATGTAGTATATCAGTGTTGCTAGCTGACAGGAAAAAAACGTTCGGTCCTTTGGCAATAAACATAATTGCTGTGTGACACAGGCAGTGTCAAAGAGACTTCAACAATTAGAAATAGCAATAAAGTGGGAAAACCTACCTTACTTAAATTGAACATTATATGGCCTATTGTCATTGTCTTCAGAGGGTACAGAAAAGTAGATCATAAAATTTCATTTTATTCTAGGGTATTGTATTACCAAGTATAAAGAAATGGCCAGGTCCTGGTTACACGTTTCACTGCTGGGTTTGTCTTGATACAGAACTAGATTTATCAGCTTATCAACTCCCAAAAACTTTATTATTCCGTCGTCAGCTATATAAGTAAGTCAGATGAAAGTTTGAGAGTTCCAGGGTTTGAGAGAAATCCTTTTGGTGTACAGTATTCTTCAAAATTTAAGTTATTATCCTTGTAAAATCTTTGCTTGAGGTTTGATCAACTATCAGCTGGTAGATAGAATCCTTGATAAGCAAATTTGTCATCCTTCTATAATCTTTACCCAGAGGTTTTGTCAAGGACCAGCTGGAAGAAGTGGTAGAGAGAACCGAAGTTGTAGACCTTGTGATTTTTTTGCCAAGAGGTTTGGATAATCCACAAGAATTTTCTCCAATCATTTAGTGATGTAAATTTGTTTCTAGTTTTACAGGTTGTCACGGTAACGGAATAGAAGCTTTTATAACCCCAGCTAATGTCCTGGTTTTAGCTGTTTATAATAAAAAAGAGTATTTTACTGTTTCTGTTGATGATTTTCCTATTACAGATAGTCATTGGGTATGTCTTTATTTACTGAAGAGCTCATTTTATCAAAGAGAGGCATAGTGTATAAAAGAATTTAGTATTGAATCAACCAACAGTGAATGAAGGCTTTGTATCCTATTTTTGTCATCAAAATCTCTGATTGAGACAACATTAAGGAAGATGAAATGAAAATTGTATTCGGCATATAAACAGATGGCTGTACTCTTTAGTTTTGTATGTATTGGCTTTTGATTTCTGCTGTTGTTGACAATATTTCATTATGAAATATAAAAAACAACCTTCCATAGTCAACTTACTGGCAGTACACTTTTATTTTGTGTATCTTCCCTGTATCTTCCCTGTCTGACCAGACATGAAGCAAGTCTCTGTATTGTTGATGTATGTATGCTTGTTATTACAGCATTCCATAGATATAAGTCACACAAGTTCCAGAAGACCATTCACTCAGAGTCAGATTGCAGTATATATTGATGGCCGACAAAAACTCTTGACACAGTTTAAATTTCCCAATCTTGCTGAGGTAAGGGTGTTTTGGTTTTTTTTTTAACTGAATGATTTATCCAATTACGGTATATTACTAGGTAATTATCTGCCTGGTTTCTCCTCTATGAAGTTAATTTGAGTTACCCTTTCATAAAACCAAGTGTAGGACAGTTAGTCGACAGTGAGTATTTGTCCAGTGAGCAAGTGTATGGTGAGCAGCTATCCATAAGACAGTCATCAAGAAGTGGTTTTCTTTACATCTCTATCACCAAAAAGTATTTTTTTATTTTCATTTCAGTCATTAACTAACAATAGAATTGGTTCACCAGGTGGCACTACTGTAGATGATCTTTACCTAGAATCACCTGCTACCACTCCAACAGCCGCTGAACCTAAACTACCCTCAACTTTTAAACGTTTCTTTAACGTGGGTGGCAAGTCAACATCTGTACAAGCCAATATGAATGGGATACCAACAGGTTTACAAGATGATATTCTAGGACCAGCTATTCCACTTCATGGTCAAATAGGGTCCATCTGTATCTTTCATGATGCCATTTCTCATAATCAGGCCAAGAGTTTATTTTCTTTTGGTAAGTTTTAGGATTGTGGTATATTAAACCATTCTGATTGTGACATTTATGGGCAACTAAGGTTTGGAAAACCTCTTGGCATTGCTTTCTTCTGAATTATCAGTACCCATTTACAACTGGGTTCAGTCTAATTAAAATTTCCTTCCGTTTTATATTATCTTATATTTTTAATATATCCATTTAGTTAGGCCCTCTTGAACATTAAATTAATATTTTGACCTAACCTGATTAACTCTGCGTCACAAAATGCCAGAACTGGAGAGGGTAGAAATTTGATTGGTTAAAGCAGACATCATTGAGTCAAAAGATCAATTTGATGAATGTTCAAGAGGGCTGTTGTTAAACTCTGAGGTGTCTATATTTAAAATATATTTTGATAAAACTGCATCTGGTTTGTTAAGAAAAGAGATGACTCAATGACACCCAACTTTCATCTGCCATTGTTATCAGAAAATGTGACTGACTGAGCTATTATCTACAAGCAGCAACAATCTTAAGCTCTAAGCCCTAAATTTGCTCTCTGATTTCAGAACTGTTGGGGCAACTTTACTATGCTAAATTTAATGCCTATATTTTTCAGGACCCAATCACATGTCATTGTTTGATGGAGTAACTGATCTTCAGGATTTACCCAATAAACTAGTCTGCTATTACAACGCTAAGGTAAGATTTACTTCACTTCATTCTGGGATTCAAGAAAAATTAGAAACAAAATTCCGAAGTCTCCTGATAGTGAATGTGTGATAAAAAATTCCATGAAAATGGACGAAAAGAAGTTCCCATGCTACATAATGACATGGACCAACAAAAGAGTGAATGCCTATTTTTCTCTGTTTACAGGCATGTAAAGATGATATATGTGTCGATTTATCATATAACAGACATCATGGTCAGTACAGTGGTAATAAATGTGTCACTTGGGATATCAAGGTAATTTTGTTTACTCTTCTGCACTTATATTGACGTAAAGTGTAAATTGAGAATTAACAGATGAAATAATACAAGGGATGACTTTTTCGTGGTATTATTTGTGTCTTAAATAATAAATAGTCTTCAGAACTACTAGAAATGTACAAAAAACATATAATTCCATCAAAAATATCCCGAACGATGAATTTCACTTTCTATTTCTATATATTTCTTTCTATATATGAGTCTCAAGAAAAACAAGTTGTCAAATTTAACATTCCATTCCACATAAGTTTATTTATATTGTAAACTATATATTTACAGGATGTTATAAACTGTATTGGTGGTGTTCAAGTATTGTTTCCTCTGTTAGAACATGTTGATAAAATATTACCTAGTAAACCAGATACCCCGGATTCTAATAAAACTATCATGGATACCTCCACCCATGAAGAAACAGATGAATGGGTCGTTGTTCCTAGTAGTTCTTATGCTGGTAAGATATTTTTGGAAATAATTCTCCATTTCTTTAAATAGCTGCAGGGAAGCATTTGTCTGATTCTATGTTTTGTACTTTCATTTCGTTTTGTATATTTCTCTTCATAACAATCTGAGTTGATATTTAAGTACTTACTTTTTACATGGACACCTTCGTTTACCAATTTGTACGATCTCATCTGGCTAAAATTATGTTTCCATGGTTACATCTATTAATTTTTTTCTTTCTATTAAAAACGTTTTGGTTTATTTCAGATTCTAAACTAGAACAGAATCAGGTGGCAGCATTCCTCACCATGATTCGGAGCATACTACACACAAAAATTGTCAATCAGGACCATTTTGTCTTTAATCAGGGGGCTGCTACTATTGGTGCTCTTTTACAAAAGGTAAGTTGACAGACAGAGGACTTCAGATGGGTAGCTTGGGTAGAGTGAGTGGCTGGTATGGTACTGCATGTGACCAGAAGAAACCAAATAGATAGACTAGTGCTTATTAACTCAACTAGCATACTAAGGATTATATAGAGTTAGTGCCTTCTCAGTTTTTACTTTGGTTGGAGTCAGACAGGGCTGACAGAAAAAGTGTCTAGTGACTCTCATCCTTCAGATGAGGCAATAAGGCTGACCCACAACCCATGCACATTAAAGATCCTCCAACAGTTGAGTAGTAACAATGTTCTGGCAATTTCCCCTATTGCACACTGTATTTCCCATCAGTATCCCAATCTGATAAAAGATATTTGATTTTACTATAGGTTGATCCGAAGCTAATAGATGTAAATGTATTGATGGCCGTACAATTGTTAAAAGAATCATTTTTTCATAATAAACAGTTACTCTACCATCTTTATCAATATGTATTGTTTGACTTTCGAATCTGGAGTAAGAGTGATTTCCCTGTCAGAATTGGTAAGTTTTATATCATATGATCAGCTTAATAAGTTTGATATATCATTTACAAATTATTATATATCAAAATCTCAATAACATTTTGTTGTTGCACTACCAATTGTGGACTATATGTCAGCCTGTCTGTTCTCTCACAATGGCTCGTAAACAATCTAGAAGGCACAATTCTGGACGGATTTTGATGAAAACTTGGTGTATATGTTTATTTTCACCTAAGAAAGAACACCATTGAAAAAAAATAAATTATTGACCTTGTTCTGGAAAAGCGACCAGTTATTAGCTATTAAACACTCGGGAAGGTACAATTCTTGCCAGATTTTGACAAAACTTGGGTAATATAGCTCATTTCAAAATTAAGTAAAATTTTTAACTGTCAGCCAATAAGCTGTTTTTTTAAGTTATGTTTTATGACATCTTAAATATCATGCTCAATTAATGAATTATTTCTCGGTTATTTCCAGGTCATATCCAATATTTAAACACCATAATAAAAGATGATAGGAAATATTTCCGTAAAAAATATGGCGTGCAATATATATTAGATGTTATTAAAACATATTATAAGTAAGTATTAGTGGTTGATTTCAATTGATAGAGAACACTAAGAATTGTAAACCAGTATGATCTGCTGATATCTTACAATTCTTTGACATCCCAACTATCCTAATATCTTAAAAATTGTAATCCAATTCCAAAGATAGAGGTTGCAGAAACAGACTAGAAAAAGCATTTTTATTTATTGCATATTATTTTAATAGTAAATTTTTTATTTATTTTTTTTCTTTGTTTGTTTTTTGTCTATTCTGTCATCAATTCTTTTTTATTCATTCATTTTTTTATCTCAGTAATAAAGAAGAAGATGGTAAAACTATACGTGTTTCATTGATAAATCTGATTAAATATTATATAACTCATGATATCACAGGGGATGAATGCTCTCAACTTATTGCCTTTTTAATCACTGTTAAAGAAGAAGTTTTGGTGAGGCATTGCTGGTTTTATTTTTATCAGAGACTCCTTATTTCATAGTTAACCTGGAATTCCTTAGTTCCATAATACGAGGAAGTGTTTATGTGAATAGTGTAAAGTTATTAAAATGATGAGGCTAAGCATAATTCATGCTTGTTAAGAAAAGTATCGGAACAGCTTAAAATTAAAGATTAGGCTAGTGTTTATGAACTCTAACATAGCCTTGCTCTTGCTTAAAAGTAGAATGTAATGCTGCATTTGATCCCTCTTGGTTAAATTTGAAGTGGGTAATTTGATACCTCTCAAAGAGAGTGTTGATGCAAAAAAAGAAGAAATTATGTTATTTTTTTTATTTTCAGTTATGTGAAATGTTAGATTTGTTTTTATCTTTGTTAACCAGCCAGAGAAAATATGATCAGTTTTTTTTAATCATGTTTGAACCTGAGATGGCTGAGCTGATCTATGTTCTACTGACCTACGAAAATTACTCTGTTGTTTTTTATGAAAAAGTTGTTAAAGTAAGTTAAGTTTTACTGTCAAATTGTTGAGTATAGTGAAATCAATTTTTACATAGGGTCTTGATTTTTATGGATGTTTCGGCTTGAAGATTGCTATAGCCCCATTGGTTACATCGTTGAGCTTTGGGGTCATTTGCTCGGTCACTTTGAACAAATGGCGTGGTATACCTTTGATTATTCACTGCAGCGTACATAAAGAACAGGAAGGACATTGTCAAGATGTTAAGCTCAAGAACCTAACTTGTAATATGGCTGTACTTGTCTCAGCTTTCTTCCAAGTTTTATACAAAATAATGATTATTTTTAGGTTTTATATTATCTGTTAAAATCTGATAAAGTTTATGAGAAGAGTAAAAACAGATTACGCCTAGCTGATGTCGGCCATCTTGGATTGGTTTCTATGATGTCTGAATATGATATTAATACTCCAATGTTTAAAAAATTTGTAGAGCAGGTTGCTCTCACTGGTAAGACTGCATTAATTTTAGGTTATCTTTTTGGGTAGTTAGAATGAAATAAAGAGTATTTTACTTGTCTTTACCTGAGTGTTCTAATGAAGACAATGTATATAGAACACCATGATTAACATTTTTTCAGGACAGCAGCATCTTTCTGTCTTCTGTATTTCAAAGTATCTTTAACATCCTCAGCCTGTTGCACATGGGGCTTTGTTTTATTCCTCTTTAAAACTCCTTTTTTCATGTCAGCCTGCATCATTAGTAGAGAGAAACCAAGTTGAAAAATGTTTTTAATTCTAATTTCAACTATATAGGTGAAAATGTGTGGACATTGTTATAAACTGTAAATATTTTGATGTAGGTGCAGATGATAAATTGTATGGAACGAGCCTGTTTCGTAACATTTTTATGTATATATTGTTTATTTAAAAAGAAAGTATGTACCTTTTTTATTTCAGATTCGCCACAAAGTTACATGTCAATCCTAGCAGTGGTAACTTTGATACATAATAGTGGTCTGGATGTTAAATTAGAGGCCAGTAGGCAGGTAAGATTATTAAATTTAGATTTCAAAAGGATCAACTTAGATGTAGTTTATATAAAATACAAGGCGAATCAATTACCTGATTTTTACTTGAAATGTTATACAGATATTTGAAATTGATCTCTTTTCTTTCAGCTTTTATCAATTTTGGTTTCAAAACCATCTGCTGCTAAACTCATCGCTAGACAACTTGGTTGGCAGGAATCGATCACACGTCTATTTGGAATGGAAACAAAGGTGAAACCTCGCGATGAAAACAAGGACACCCCTCAATCTCACTCTGTTTTGTCAAAATTAGAAGAGGAAGTTGACTCGAATATGTCAGATGATGTAATAGATTTATTGGGGATGAAATCAGATATCAACAAACATTGCCAACAGAACGATATCAACAGTATACAGTGTACTTCTACACCAGTGGCTATAAATAGTAACAATTCAAATCGGCCTATAGATCTAGATGTACAAGAAGTAAATTTTGATTTGGAAGATCTACCATCAAAATCTCCTGGTACTCCAATGTTTTTGGCAGCTCAGCAATTTGAAGATCTAAATTGTTCTGAAGATGATCGATCCACCATGAGTCGAAGTTCGAGTGCAAGTATTGAGGATTTAAGTGCAATAGGTCAGAGACGGGACCGACAGAATTCTTTAAGTCAAAGTCGAAGCAGTTTTTCAATCTACTCAAGTGACAGTAACTCAGATTTAAATTTAGCTGCTGCTCCATCCAGACGTGACTCAATGATCCAGTCTGAAAATGTTCAACGTGCATTGGATAATCTGGGCTTACAGAGAATTTATATTAAAGATACAATTGAACAGTCAGAAGAACTCTGTCAAAATCTTTTAATTGTTTTATTGACTTTGATGTGGAAAGGGGTAGATAACTCTGATCCTAATGCTTGGAAGGTAAGTGTTTTGAAAAATTTGATTTAACTTGCCCCAACCTCAGGTCTGTATCTTTGGTGATTTTTATGTAAGATTGAAAAATCATCTTCAGATAGTGCCCGCTTCTCAAAAACTTCACTTGGTTATGACAATGTAAATTGTACAAATATTGTGATCCATTGTGTACACCATATAAGCTAATAATGACAATGTAAATTGTGGAAACTTTGTTTATCAGTAAGGTTGTGTATTATTATTTTTAGTTGTAATTGGTTCTAATGGAACCCAATCAAAAGCAGAAACGTAGAACATAAAAGATTTTAGTTTAATTTTGGTATCTATTTGTAGGAGAGAGGTCAAGTTTTTGCATCACTAGATATTATAAACTGTAGTCATGTTTTAGTTCGACCTAAAGATGAATTAAAACGTCGTCTGTTGGAGATGATGCTTCATTCCTGTGCTTCTGATATCAATGATTCAGGTAGAGTCACTTTACATTTCGTTCCTGTATTCATCTTGATCAGGTTTCCGAAGAAATTTTAGATGGTTTTTGTCCCATAGTATTATATCTGTCTCTGTTCTGTTGATAAATTTTTACACTTTTTCAAATTTTCATTGAGAGTATATATAATTCAATGAAAAAAGACTCATTATAAGTGAAAACATTTAGGAGTGATTTTAAGAAAAAAAGCCAGAAAGTTTTGTCAGTTGGACATGACTGGCAAATATAAACTCCTGCTAGGTCCATAGTATTTTGTGTTGAGTTTTTACATAATTATTTATGTCCTGCTATTTATTGAAAAATCAATGTTTTATTCTGCAGCCCAAGCTATGGCCTCCCACACTATGAATGCTCTACAACTAATACAGATTGTTCATCATTTCCTAACAGACGCCGAGGAGGACCCCAGTGACCTGAGATACAGTGAACGGGTTAGTATAGAATAGTAACTATGTGAACTCTCTGAAATAGATTGACATCCTTAATTACAAATAAACCTTATTATCTATGTGAACTCTTTGACTGGAATGTTGACAGACCTAAATAAACATTATTAGCTGTGGGAACTCTCTAAAAGAGAAATCTGATTAAACATAAATATCTGGGATGAAGAGATGAATAAGTTGGCAGGTGTCATTGTGTGTTTGAATGATCCAGTCTTGCCTTGCCCACAACCCCAGTGACAGTACAACTGACAGTACACCTCAAATTAAAATAGTGTTTAATCTTGAACTCAAGAGTGAAATTGATTATTTACAGATATTGGATGAATCTATGTCATTGTTAGATATATTTGGTGTATGGGATGTAGAACTAGCTAGTAGGTGGAAAGAAATGGTCCACCTTGGTCTAAGTATATTATTACAATGTGCTAAACATCATACCCTTGACGTAAGTTTAGATGTTCTTTTATATCTAGTGTTTTATATTTTATTATATAACTTGTAAGTCGCATTCCAATTCAGATCTCATTGTTGACAGCTTTAAGTTTTCAAGGTTTTTTAACATAGCCAAAACACATCAAAATCTGCTTGATAATATCCTTGCATTTTTATGAATCTGGAAGGCTAAAGCAGATTAATGAGATCCCAGATGATTTTAAAGTTGAGGTTGTTATTTGAACCTTTAGGGTTATTGCCCTTGCAGTTTCACTCTTCACATGAAATGGATGAAGTGGAATGGATAGCTGAAATATAGCTCTATCAGCTTGGGAAGGAAATAATAAGACCAATATCACTTTACTCTTTCAGTTATGTGCTGTGGCCACGGCTAAACTTCATATGTTAGTTCAAACAAAACTTATCAGTAGCTCTGCTGAAGCTTCTTTTCTGATTGGTTCTTTAAATACCATGATATTACAGGCTGTTCGAGGTACGTAGACTTGTTCTATTTGTACACTTATATTTTGGAACAATAAAAATGTTTTTTCAACACAAACCTTTATATTTCTGAAAATAATTTCATGAAATAGAAACAAAATTTACTTTGAGTTGAATTCGACATAAAAGCCATGAGGATGATGTCATGGCAAGCTCACTGAAGCCACTTGGCAAACAGGCTTTTCAATTCAGCATCTTTTCACTTTTATCTTCATATTAGTTGGTTTTAACAAGAGTAGGGGTGCACACTATAATTGTACTGTTTTATTTTTGTTTATATTCTTCCAGAAAATACAGACAACTATTCCTTTTTAATCCCAGTTTTAAAAGCTTTGATAGACAAAGCTCATGATTTGATGAATTTAGACAATTACCTCCCCTCTTTACCATCGACCAATCAGAGTCCAACATTCTTCGATGATTTTAAGACATATTGCCAATCTGAAGAGTGGAAAACTTTTATACAGAATTATGTAAGTTGGACTTGTTTCTCTATCTCTATGTGGAAATATATTGCTCTAATATGAACACTTTGTGGCTATTTGATGCAAAGTTATTGTCCTTGTGTCACTGCAGTTTTTCTAGATTACAATGAAACCAATAGTCAACAAGTCCAGAATAAAATATATTGACATCTTTATTATAGTTATTTACCCATATATTCTGCCCAGTATAGCTACAACTCCTTATATTTAAGATATCAATGATTTTCATTTCACGTCTGTTCCAGATCAATCCCCAGATGTCTCATTTTATGGAGTTAAGTTTTGAAGAGAACCAGGTAACAGTGGGACAGTATTGGATGGATTGTCACGAGGCCATGATGATCAATGTCCATAAACGGAATCTTGAGATCGGCAATAGTCGACTGAAATTTCAGGTAGGTGTTCAGGTCTGTTACTGTTACCTACACTTTTGCACAAATTTTAAGAACTTTGTTAAATGAATGAGTGGTATAACACTTTTTTCTTGATAAAATTTATTTAACAAAAGCTTTTTTTCCTGTTCCTTAATCATTATATTTTCCTTTTTTGCCTGAAAGTTATGTTTTAATGAGACAATAAACTGAGATCTTGTGAGAACAGGCTGGGCTTGTAAATGATCCATGGACAGATGGAAATTCAAAACAGGTGCTATACGATCTGGCAAAATTTTCTTTCTTGCACACATTGCATGTCATTTCATGCTTTTATTAGCCCTTTCAGTAGCAGAAAAATAGAGACTCTGTTTAATATTTCAGAGTCAGATAGTTGATGTGTTTAGATTAAAATCTGCTCAAGAAATAAAACGATTTCATAACGTCACAGCCCAGCTTCGTAATCAACATTTATCTACCTTACGCAAGTGGAGAGCAACTAAACGTTTTTTCACTGGTGAACGGGGAGCATGGAAGGACAGGTAGGGCTAGAGAAAACAGAAGAATTTGTAACATATCTTAAAAACGTCAAACAAAGCTAGGTCAACAAAAATATTGGATATTATCTTCTAAATATTCACATTGTAAAAATTTTTTACCTGGGCAAAAATATTAATTGTTTTAAAATGATATTTTTTCTCTTCAGAACCGATGAAGAAGTACATCATTGGAAACTGTCGAACCAGGAGAATTTCTCCAGGATGAAAGTTAAAATGATTCAGAATTATAATTTTGATCCTCATATCGGTGCTAGTAGTCAAAGAGATAACATAGGTCAGTGAGTGGGGTAGGGAGTAAGGTAAAGAGGGGTGGTGGTGTTCTGTATTTCAGGGAAGGGTCCAGGTCAGCATTATTCAGGTGATGAATTCCAGTTTAGGGAGGAAGGGGTCTATCAATGTTTTGATATGTCATTTTTCCTCATCATTCAAGTCAAAACAGGTTAAAACTGGTTTCAAAAATCCTTTTGCCGTGGACCAGCTGGTGGACAGGAGCCTGATGAATGCAAGATACTGTTGTTGACGACAAGGATCAGCTGATCTTTACACTGCCTTTCTATGATCAAACCCTATCCACATCCTATTGACATGATGGATTGCCGCTGTAACAATGTTGAGCCCTTCTATCTCCCCCTGACTCTATTTTCAAGCTCTATCTCATGATATCTGTATTCTTTTGGCTTTTCTTATAGGATTGACAGAAGCTGAATATCAACAAGAGCTACAAAACTTGAAGGTTTCCAAGGAAGCACTGGTATCCAAGGAAAATATAGCAGACGATGGTTTAGGAGATGAAGATTGGAATGTCATCAGCTCTTCAAGGTAGGAGAATCTCAAACTCTTACTGGCATACCACTATGTCAGAGTGTTGTCCTTTTTTGCAATAATATTTGTTCGACAATAGCCTACTTCAATATTTTATTTCAATTGATTTTTAGCACTGCCCAAGAAGAGTTCTCTGGTAAGGAAAAGTTGGTGTTTTCAGAGGATTGTGACCTTGTGACTCTGGTAGAGGTCATTAAAGGTCGTTTAGAGGTCACAACAACACATGTTTATTTCTTTGACTGCAGTCTCAATAAATCAGAAGGTTTGTTTCATTTTTGTCATGTAAGAAACTTTTTTTTTTATTAAACTCAATATGGAGGTTGTGGAGCTGTTCAGATGAAACGACAAATGCCACTGATTGTGCACATCAAAGAATTGTTAGTCTATTTGTGTGAAAACTATAGAAAAGAAAGAGAAAACTTCATTTTATTTCAATTGATTTTATTTCAGGTGGAGAAGATTTTAAGTGGGCCTTAAATCAACTAAGAGAGATACATTTTAGACGTTACAATCTACGCCGTAGTGCTTTAGAGATGTTTTTAATTGATCAAACTAACTACTTTCTTAATTTCACCGAGAAGGTTTGGAACCAATATTTAATACATTTTTAGGCTTTAAAAACCATTGTGTTTGTAATATCAGAATTTTTGAAATAAACTGTGTTAATGATTTTAGTGTTTGCAATAAAGGTCATTGGTAAATTTAGTCTCTTTGCAATAAAGCATGTTTTTTTAATTTTAGAGAGTTCGTAATAAAGTCTACAGTAGAATATTGAGTCTCCGTCCCAGTAATTTGAATTATTATGGAACACGATCACCAGCTGAACTTTTGAGAGCATCTGGTCTAACTCAGGTAACAAGCTTTAACTGTTTAATATCATTTGTTACTGTCACTATAAACATAATAGCTGGTGTATTTCATAGGGCAGAGAATGCTTACTCTTGCCATAGACAACAAACTGCCTCAATTTCTTGAATCTTGAATAAGCCAAGATAGCTATTAGAGTCAAATTAAGTTTTAAAGCTACTGGTGAGTGTATGTTATCTTGTTATCTAGCTGTTTAAATATTTTGTAGAAATGGGTGAATTGTGAGCTGTCTAATTTTGACTATTTGATGCAGTTGAACACGATAGCTGGTAGAACATATAATGATCTTAGCCAGTACCCTGTGGTAAGTTTAGACCCTAGTAGATTCATTGTTTGACATTTTGTTTAAGCCAACCTTAGATCACCTGCTTATTTCTGTTGTAATGAGGAAAAAAGAACAGACTTAGTATTGACTTACTGGCAGTACTGAAATTGAATACCACAGAGTTTCTTTTGTTGTGAGATTTTTTCCTCTCCATTGTAATTTAATACGTTTTCTACCATGGTTGCTTTATGGCGTTATTTTCTAACCAAACACAGCATGTGGGATAGCACATGTCGTTTTAAGCTATCCCACAATTCGTCAGTGTTATCTGAAAATGGGTCTGAAATGACAGGCTTATATTTTGAATTTTCTAGTTTCCATGGATACTGAAAGATTATACGTCTGAAAGTTTAGATTTAAGCAATGAAAATATTTACAGAAATTTATCCAAGCCAATGGGAGCAGTTAATCCTAAAAATGAAGCTGATGTTATAGAGAAGTATGAATTTTAGTTATATCTTGGCCCTTTTTAACAATACTTTTAACAGAGAGAGAAAGAAGATATTAAGAAATACAGATTGATTTATAAAACTTTAAAACAATATTAATGTTTGACCAAGCAGACGTCAGCAGTATGAGATGAGCATTTGTCATTTTGAATCAAATTTCTTTCCAGATATGAAACATTTGAAGACCCGAGTGGTACAATAGAGAAATTTCATTATGGTACTCACTATTCCAATGCGGCTGGTGTTATACATTATATGGTTAGAATGGAACCCTTCACAACTCTACACATACAGTTACAGAGTGGCAAGTTAGTAGCCATAATCTCAAATTACTAGAAACTTTCGAGTGTATTACTTTGGTATATTTAGACCATAATTAAGTAGCACTCAAATGGTTAGTTCTGAACATGTTTGTCTTTTCCAATTCTGGCTTCAATGGAAGTAAGGAAACCATATTTGTCAACATTCAAAATTTACCCTTCTACCCCTTCTCCGCCATTTTGAAATCCGTCTGCTCCTGCTTTTTTTCCCACAGGTGGAACACATTCTGAACCCTGTTCCAGATTGTACGTCTGGTTGATTCCCTGAATCCCGACCATGCCGAGCTCATCAATCAATTTCCTTTTCTATTCTTGATATTCAAATTATCGACATGTTGTTACGTTGTAGGTTTGATGTAGCTGACAGGCAGTTTCATTCCATTCCTGGTAGTTGGCAGTCACCATGGGACAACCCTAACGATGTCAAAGAATTGATTCCAGAATTCTTTTACTTGCCAGAATTTCTGCAAAATATTAACGGTAAGTTAAGGCAGATTACAAATCTCTGGGCACTAGGTAACTAGCCCCCCCACAACACTTCAATGAAAGCGGGTCTCAGCAAAATCTTATGTGAGCCACCCATATTTGATTTTTGCTGTTACCCTCATGTAATTCTGATTTAGAAGGAAGGTTGTAAGACATTTCTTTATGAATATTGTCAGTCTACATGTAAATACAACCATCATTGATCCTTTATTTGTTTTAGATTTTGATTTGGGTAAACTACAGTTAACTAAGGAACAAATAAACGATGTTGTTTTACCGAAATGGGCAGCTACTCCTGAAGAATTTATTTATAAACATAGACTGGCCTTGGTAAGTCAAGATTCAGATTTAAACTTATGTTGTTGAACAATTTAGGCACTTGCTCGGTGTACTTTAGCTGGTCAACATTTGTCCAAAGTCCTCCTCAACTAGGCATTCTCTGTTGTAATTGAATTTCCTTCATTGCACACTGCATTAGTTGAACCTAAAGTAGAAAAATGACATGTAAAAGCACTTACATCCTCTTCTCTTACTATTTATCTTCTCTCCCATCTTTTGTATAAAATGAGTTTTGGTTCTTATGTAAATGGTTACAAAGTAAATGAAATTACTAAACAGAAGATGGTAATATTGTGATTCTATATTTTAGGAATCAGATTATGTATCTAGTAACCTACATGACTGGATAGATCTAATATTCGGATACAAACAAAAAGGTCAGGCTGCAGTGGATGCTGTCAATGTTTTTTACTTCTGTACTTATGAAGGTTAGTCCAATCTTTTCATATACACGACTGAAACGACACATTTTTCTAGGTTTCTGGCCTCCATTTCACAAAAACTTACGCCCACTCATGAGTCATAAATGTGATTTTTACAGTCAGCAGGTACATTTTTCAAATTTGAATTATGATATTTTTTTAAAAATCAGGGTTCAGGGTGCTGTTCTGATTTTCTCATTTTTATTTTGTGGAAAATTTCTTTCTGGTCATAATTTTGTGACTTATTACTTTGATCATACAACTATTAGTTTACAGATGTGACAGAAAATGAATCTTATAAAATTTCTTTTCAAAAGGAAAAATCAGTTATAAAAGACTCCTTTGAAGAAAACTATTATAAGCCTTTTGTTTGAAATGATTGGCATGTAATACTTTAATATCTGTGACTTCGTTTATTGAAGATCTTCAGTAAAAATAAAACTGAAACAAAATAGTTCAGATACGTCAATGTCAATTTTAATAATGTTTAGATATTAAAAAAGCACTTTTATTTTATTTCTGTCCTGGTACATTGTAAAAGCAACATGTTTGGACCCATTAGACGCATTGGTTCACACCAAATAAATGAAAAGACAGAATTAGAAAGTGTTATTTGTAGGTGCTGTGGACCTGGATGCTGTGAAAAATCCTCAAGAAAGAAAAGCTCTGGAAGGGATGATCAACAATTTTGGACAAACGCCAACTCAGTTGTTAAAGGTGAATATTGAATAATCAATTTTGCAAACAAATATGGGAATAAAGTTCAGGAAAAAAAATCTTTTGCCTTGAAAAATCTGGAGAAGAGCCGTGGAAAAGCGGTAGTAGATTACACATGTATATATTCAGTTTACATCAAAACAAGAAACTCACCCAAGTTAAGATCGAAGAATGTCTTGTTATAATGATTCATAATAGTTTTTAGCTGGATAACTTTTCAAACCTTTAAGATACTCAACCTTTGATCTTTATGACAATTAGAAAGTTTGAATTTTTATAATTTCAGGAACCTCATCCAAAACGTCTATCAATAGAAGAAGCCAATATTAAAGCCACGAAATCATCCAAACCACTTAATCTGTTTTATTTTGTTAAAGATCTCACTACTTTCTTTGTTGAGGTGGGTTACTAGAGCTAATTTTGAGCAACATTGCCTGGTTTGAAATGGTAGAAATATTCGAAAAGTTCACTGAGTCAAGCTAGTCTTCCCCACTTTCAGTAATCCATCTCTATAGTTTCCTATCACAATGTTTTTGTTATTCAATAGAGACCACTTATATAAAAATGTTTTCAAGAAATCTTTTGTCTTTCTTTTGGTAACCTATTGATATAAGACTTGTATAAAGAAAAATGCAAAAAATAGCTGAGGTTCTCTATAGCATCTTGAGTGTATGAATTCTCATGTGCTGAAACAAGTCTTGATGCTTTCTTGGAGAGTGCAGAACACTAAGCTCTAAGCGGTTCCATTTTCTGCAGACATCTGACTTGGTCATCCATTTTCTTCTTTGTTTATCATACCTTGTTCTCATGTTTCTCTTCAACATTACAGGTGTCATCTGATACAGATCCTCTTGTCTATGTCAATGTACCAAGAAATCAGGCACGGTCTATTATACAACATGGTACTCCTGATAGTATGGTAACTATTTATTATAGACTAGACAGTTGTGTTTACCATGCCCAGTTCAAATTGGCTTAGTTTCTGATGCAGTGCATACAGTGATGCAGGTCAGATAAACAGACATTGAAGAAAGCTCCAGTTTGTTTGAATGACACAATAAAGTGATGCACTATGTGCATAGTCTGTACATGCTCCCCTTGACAGTCAGATTCCCTCACTGCATGACATTACTCATTTTCATTTACAAAAGCAAGTGCATAAAAATAGGATATAAAACTCAATTTTGTTAAATTTCATGATATTTTGTTTTATGTTTACTCTTGCCATTCATCCAGATCACAGTGACAGAGAATGGTATTATTGGAATACATGGTTGGTTGCCCTATGATAAATCAGTTCCGAATTATTATACCTTTGATAAAGATCCAACTTTACAAAGTTCTAAGTAAGTGTTGATATATAAATCTATCTCAGTTCGTACGAGACAATATGTGTATAACTATAACACGTAAGGTTATTGAAGATTCTGTTTACTAGTCATCTGCACGTTTTGATTATTATTTGGACAAAACGTCAGTTCCTGAAGATCCTGTCTACTAGCTAGACTTTTTTTTTGGAAATATTTTACATGGATAACAACTTGAGTTTGAAGATTATAGGTTGAAATAAGACTATCAACTGATCAGATAGAGACTACTGTAACTTTGACAAATATTGAAACATGTTCAAGGGTATTTTAAGTCAGCTATTATATTTTTAGAACTAAGAAACATATCAATGGTGTGTTTGAACCAGGGCTATCTATAGAAGCCAAGTTATTTACTGTATCACATGACTGTAAGCTGTTATTCAGTGCTGGACATTGGGATAACAGTCTACAAGTGTATCATATCAATAAAAATAAAAAAATCAACCACATCACAGGACATATCGGTAAGTAAGACACCGTGGTACTATTCACTAGGAAAAAACAGAAACATCTCTGTTGATAATTGTAATCCATAAGTCAACAATGATGTGGACATTAAATGAGTCTAATAGCCATCCTGGTCAATGATGTAAACATGAAAGTCCAAGTCATCTTGGACCACTCAGAACTAGACCAAAAGCCATTCTGGATCTTCAAGATGTCAAAATCAATGATGTAAACATGAGAGTCCAAGTCATCTTGGACCACTCAGAACTAGACCAAAAGTCATTCTGGATCTTCAAGATGTCAAAATCAATGATGTAAACATGAGAGTCCAAGTCATCTTGGACCACTCAGAACTAGACCAAAAGCCATTCTGGATCTTCAAGATGTCAAAATCAATGATGTAAACATGAAAGTCCAAGTCATCTTGGACCACTCAGAACTAGACCAAAAGCCATTCTGGATCTTCAAGATGTCAAAATCAATGATGTAAACATGAGAGTCCAAGTCATCTTGGACCACTCAGAACTAGACCAAAAGTCATTCTGGATCTTCAAGATGTCAAAATCAATGATGTAAACAGGAAAGTCCAAGTCATCTTGGATCACTCAGAACTAGACCAAAAGTCATTCTGGATCTTCAAGATGTCAAAATCAATATCCTAGATATGAAATGAGTCCAATAGCCATCTTAAATCAAGATGGAAATGAATGACAAATTCAGGTGTCAATTCAATGTTGATGAGATTTTTTAACCCACTAATTTATAATTTCAAATGTATTTTAGATGTAATAACGTGTTTAGCTTTAGATTATTGTGGTAATCATTTAATAACTGGTTCTAGAGACCGAACGTGTATGATCTGGGAGATTCTTCAACAGGTACTTCTCTCTTTTTACTAGTAGACTAGGGTGGTGGTCTGACAGGAGGGTTGTGGTCAGACAGGAGGGTGGTGGTCTGACAGGAGGGTGGTGGTCTGTGTGCTGATATATGCGATACAAGAATAGTGGCTATGGTAGTCAAGGTATAGTATGCAGTTCGTAATAGCATGACATTTTGAAGATTAGCTTATGCTTTCCCATGAGGATTTTTTTTTTGTAATACCACAACTCTAGTATAAAACCTGATAAATTATATTCTAGGGTGGATTTTGTAACAATATTAACAAGAAGCCTGTACAGACTCTGTATGGCCATGACAGTGAGGTAACAGTGGTACATATTTCAGTTGAATTGGATCTTGCTGTTTCTGCTGGAAAGGTATAGTAATCAATATATTCTGTTTGTTGTGCTTGGAGCAAGAGACATTGCTCAGTTGTTGCTCACTTGACATGTATATTAGCTATGTGGACTCTCTGCAATGCATGCCTAAATCATAAACCAACTCTAATGGCATCATGTTTTCTGGAATAGTGCCCAGCTCTTCAAAACTAACAAAATCTGCCTCTGAATAAATATTGAAGACTAGACTTTTTAAAATTTCAAATTAAAACTACTAAATAATTGTAATATGGCAGGAGTTTTTAAAAATAATATGTTATACTGCAAAAATGTATCTATGGAAACAATACAATGTATATTTTTTGATAGGATGGTACAGTTATTATACATACAGTACGTAAAGGACATTATATGAGAACGTTACGGCCTCCTTGTGAAGAAAATTATACCATCTCCATACCGTTATTAGCGGTATCAGATATAGGTCAAGTGGTACTGTACTCTAGAGAGATTCATAATAATAAAACTCAGGTTAGATTTAAATGATTTTCTATTATACCTCAATCCTGTTCAATAGTTTGCTGTATTTGGCTCATACTTTGGCATAACTCCTTCCAAGTCAGCCTATGAACTTTTCAGGCTATCCTCATATATCTCTTGTCCGATAGTGGAGATCTAACCCTCTAATATTTACATATTTTCTGCAACTTGCTATATAACATCTGATAGAACCAATTATCTGTTTGATATGGTCATTTGAGTTTCAAGAATGAGCAGTTTAAGATTCCTTGACAGTTTGTTATGAAAAAGAATAGGCTAGTGTCTCATGTCCTGCCAAAATCTACCTCATTGCACACTGCATTTTGACAGTTATTCATGTTCTTATAAAGTTGCAGAAGATAAAGATATTAAGCTCTATTTCATGGCATTAGCTTAAACTAGAGCTAACACTATGTTGCTGACATGTGTTTCGAATAAACAAACCTCATCAGGAAAGCTTTAGTGGAAATAGGGGTTTTCATTATATTGTTATTATTATTTCCCAGGAGAAGAATACTCTACATGTTTATTCTGTCAATGGTAAACATTTGTTCTGTGAGACTCTGACATGTACACTCGGCCATTTTGTTTTAACTGGTGATCATGTGATACTGGGAGACAGTAATGGCCAGGTCACCATCAAACAGATATTTGGGTAAGTACTAATCATGGAATTATAGGCATTGTAGACAGTGGGGCTTGTCATTTGGACTTTGGTCAAGCCTCTTGACAAGGCTATAGGTCATGTGATATAGCATAATTTACAATTAATGAAGTCATAAAACACTTAGGTTTAATGGTATTGCAGGAACTACATACGTCTGATTAAAAATTGGAATGGTGCAAATTGATGCTATCAATGTCCACGTAATACATTAAAAATTAGAAAACCTCTTTAAGATTTATGATCTTATTTCAGGTTGAAGAACATTACAAGTGTCCAACTACGAATCCCTGTAACTTGTTTGTCTGTAACCAATGGCAACAGTCATATATTAGTTTGTTTACAAGATGGAAAGTTAATCATTATTGGAGTCACATGTAAAACGAGGACAAAAAGGTTATCTATGTTTTAAATGGATGTCGTCCTAGAATACTCATATTTTTGCATCTTGGCTGTTCAAAATTCATTGGTTATTTATTGAGTTTTATGGTTGTGTCTACTGAACAAGTTCTGTTGTCTGCTGAATAAGAATTGTTGTACTGCCAGTAGTAAATCTGTGCTCAATTAGCTGGTTAAACAGACAGACAGCGAAGTTTTTGCTTGATTATCCGTGATTTTACTACTGCAAATCCATAACACACTTTCACAGTTCATCATAACAAAGTTAAACAAGAAGGATGAAATATTAAAGAATGCTGACTCCAGTCTTGATATGAACCAGTATCCAAATCCTGAACTCACTGTCAAGGTTCATCTTAAGAAATTCAAACAAGAAGGATCAAATATTAAAGGATGCAGACGTTAGTCTGGATCTGAACTTACACTGTTGATAAATGTAAAAACTTCATACAAGTGTACCTGCACATCAATCCCTGAGCCTATACACAAAGTAAGGACTTAGATATCTTGGCTACTGATGAGACAGATCTCTTTTTTATTTCATCATCATTTCAAAACATTAACACATCATTCCAGTGATAGAGTGACAGATTGTGAATGTTGTATCATGTACATCTGTTCTGATACTTGGTGACTCTGATATCTAGGTGTGGCTAAAGTGTAGTGATAGATGTGATAACAACCACCCTACCCTTAAGGCCAGTCCGTTTGGTTCTCTGGTAATATAGCTGTAGTGGAGTAATGAACTACTTCACAACTCAAAAATATGGTGAGGTCTCAGAACCTGGTGATATTATGCTCAACAGCTACCCTCTCCCACGACAATAGTGCCCCCCCCCCCCCATCCCCTCTTATTACGAGGACAGCTTAAGTGACCACCAAGTCACCCACCCACCTTTTTTTAGGAAAAAAAACAAAAGATATCTGTATGTTGTGTTTTATTTATACAACAGTAAACTACACAACCCCCCAAACAGTGATGATAGGTGTCCTAGAATGACAATGCTCTTTCAGCAACGGTTAAAGACGATTATCACATCTAATACGCAATACATCGTTGTTAAGGGAACATTTGAACTAATAAGCATAATGTAATATTATTATGTGTATATATTGTAATATGTATTGTTTTATAATCTATTGTAAACTTGTTTATAAATTTTAGCTTGATTCTCGTCGTTTTGATTACTTGTGAATTATAGCATCTTGTGTGTTCGGTTCGTACCGTTCCACCATCTTGATCCTCAAGGCTATTAAGAGTCACTCGGCATCTACTCCGTGGAAATGAAATGAATGGACTTTTACGCCCTAGTATTCTGCAACTTATGGGCTAATCAAGACGGGATCTACTTCATGAGGCAAAATAAGGGTGGGTCGTCTACATTGATATATATATATTCTCTTAGCTACTAGATTTTCAGAATCATAACCTTTTTCTCAATAAGACCAAAAAAGACCGTTTACCTGACTTCAAACATCGCTGGTTAGTAGGGCGTGGTTAGTTTGGGTGTAATTGTATATAAACTTCTTATTGGACTTTTCATTCTGAAAAGTGTCACCAGTTTTCATAAATTTTCCTCTTCCATTTGTGAAAATAATGAGTCTAGAACGACGCGAATTAAGCTAAACTAATACAAAAATATGTCAACTGTGATACTTGTAATAGTAAATAAAATATTCACTCAACTGTCTTAGTGTTATTTTCAACTCCCCCCCATCCCTTATAGTTAGTAATGCTTGTCGATGGGATATGGAACAGAAACCAGATATCGGAAGCCCCTTGAGCTACAGCCTGTTCACGGTAAAGATACCTTTAGCAAGTTCTTTCCATCTAGATTCCTAATGTAAGTAAGGTTCCTTACGCTACCGTGAATGTTAAAAAATAGACTTCTTCAATTTGTTTGATTATAAGGATGTCGCTTGTCTTTACGATAGACATGAACTCATTTTAATACTGGTCATATCTACGCGACAATACTTTGTGACAACAGTTTTACTTGACAAAACGAAGTAGGGCCTGACTCATTTATTACTTGACTAGAGCTTTTCTCAAGCTCTAACGCACAATCAACGCCACAGGATTGTAATAGCTGGATCACGAACTTGCTATCCTATTTAGACGTGGGCACAAAATCTTTTTCATTTCATTTCTGAAGATCGTATTGAAAAAACTGTAAATAAATGGATTGGCCACTGACTGGATGAAGAACGACCTATAAACTATAGCAATGACCTGGGAGCCCAGACTTTGAATAGACACTTTTAGTTTATGATAGCTGTAAATCCCCAGTATTTCTAATGCTTCTATAACCAAGAAAGGGACGTAGGAAATTAAGAACACGATAGTCACAGTCAAAAGAGTAACGGGCTTCTTATGTCGAAAATTGTGCGTGGTAGGCAGATGCGAGGGCTGATTTCTGTTCGTGGGGCAACTGGACTCTTTAACGGAAATCTTTAGTTTTTGTTCATTTCTGTAGAGCGTAATAAACACACGAACATAGAAAAAAATTAACATAAAACATCCGACAAAGAAGACTATGTTTTGAGTTATTATAGACACGGTTGCGATCACAGAATCCTTGTATTCGTCGTTGTACAACTCACATGTTGACGCCTTGAGACCCGAATCGGCTATCGGCTGTATTCGAATACCACCAAATAGCCAGATGGGGGAGCACAGAGCCATCGCAAATAATGTTGTAACCATCAAAATTATAATTGTTTGTTTATTATTCAGCATCTTATCATGTGGCTTACAAATTTGACGATATCTCTCAAAACTGATTACTACCAAAACGAAAAACGAGCCGACCACACTGACAAAAGACGAATAGAGGACGAATTTACACAGAATTTCTGATGAGTAAGAAAACATGTAGATTATATGTAGAAAATCCCCAGGAATACACACACACGCGGTAAAAACATCATAAATAGAAAGGGTCACTATAAATATTTTCAGTTTATTTCTGGAACCTTTAGTAACATTCACAAAAATAACCAACGAATTTCCTACACTTCCAATGATTAACATTATACCAAGATACAGAAACAATGGTAACGAATTTTCAAGTCTGTATTTATCTAGGGCAGCCAGAAGTTCATTTTTCTCCAATAGCGAGCTCGTATTATTCATGGTCTCGATTTCCAAATAAAATGGAGTTTCACCTTCTACTTTTCAGTGCTTTATTGTACTTGTATTCCTTAATGGGCTAATTAAATAAAAAAGTTTTGTTCTGGTTTTTAATGTACTAATTAAATGAAACAGTCCTTCTGTTAATTAGTGCACCAAGTAATTAAAACAGTGTACCGAATAAATAAAACAGTGTACCAATTATATAAAACAGAGTTTACGTCCTACTGGTCTGTTCCTTAAGCCTTCTGATATGAAAACTTTGCATACTAAGAGAAATAAACCTAACTGAATTCGCACGATATAATCAATAAGAAACAAGTCAGTTTTCATGTATACAGATATAGGTATTCTATAATTCTTAATAAACAGAAATAGAAAGTTCACACACGACATGGATTCCGGAATTCTGAATTCATTTTCTCTCTTCGATGAGGTTTTAAGTCGTTTCCAACACAAATTACAAAAACTCTGAATTCATATTTTAATATCTGTAGTTGTTGTTAGCTCTCAGTTTCAACAAAAACATATGTTTTGTGTGCAGGTTTTAGAGAAGTACCTTAAAATCTTCAAAAATCACTGACAGAAACGGTGAAAAACACACGGACACAGGTCTGTAGTTGTGGTTTCAAACACTGACAAAGTACTATAAAATATTCAAAAATCACTGACAGAAGCGGAAAAAACACACCAACACAGGTCAGTAGTGGCGGTTATAATAATAGCTGACAAGTACTTTAAAAATGTTTTGGATTACGGGTTTTATTTTGCAGTAGGTAGGTAGATGACAAGTTAACGTTCGCAGTTTGGATTATTACTAATTCTATTTGTTTGATAATCAATAGACATAGGAAATTCGTCTCCGTTAATCAACAAGTCTGATGTAACAATAGTAAATGAGACAACAGACATAGAAAATATTGGACATACTAGATTGTCTCATTAGATGCCTAATTAATTTGTACGTCAATTTCCGCTAAAAAGTCGGCAAGAGCTTTGAGAGAACATTGGAAAAATTGGAGACCAAACAGGGAGAATAGACAATTTGCTGTCTTAGAAATAAAATCCTTCCTGTCACACAGTATTGTACCTCACGTCTTCTGTAACAGAAAATTGTATTTCATATCTGATTGACACAAACATTTCGTTAATGTTATCAGTTCGCATTAAGCATTCATAGAATAACGAAATTGCATGTGAAATAAAAGAAAAATATCATCAATTATTATAAAATTAATTAGATTTATCACCATTATTTCCATTACCACCCACATTTTGCGGGTGCAGAAAAGGAGGTAGCTTTTTAAGATAGCCTTGTGAAGCAAAGAGACATACGCCCACATGTAGCTTTGATTGCAAGTACAAATCATTGTTTGTAGCCTGTAGAGTGAGCACGAGCCAAGTCTGAACGGACGGACGACAAAATGCTTCCATACTACATGGGGGCATATAAAAATTAAAAGAATCCATAAAGAATTGCTGCTTTAAGAGTGAGCAAAAGTTGCACTATATGGCTATTGGAGTGAAAACGCAATGTCAGACACGATATTTTGGTGAAAAAGTAACAGATCATCACGGAAATCGTAATGACCTCGACCCACAAAATAAAAATAAAAAGAATCCATAAAGAATTGTAGTTTGTAGAGTGAGCACGAGCCAAATGTGAATGGACGGACCTGTGGGGCGATTACAATGTAGGCCTACGCCTAAACTATTTGTGTGGGCGTATAAATAGGGAGTGATTCAAACAAACGTTTATTAACAGTAGGTTTAAACATTCAGAGAATACAATTGTCCATTGAAAGCTAGGTGTCATCATCATTAATTAGGCTACAATTATCACCATATTATATATATCATTACCACCAATATTTCGTTTCGCTTGAACAAAAATTCATTAAAGGGGCAGTCTGGTTTTGGTAAAGTTAATGAAGGTAATGAAGTAATGAAAACTATGAACCGAAATCTAAGGAAATGCATCTTGTGTTAGTGATTCACCACTCGTGGTCGTGTCAATAATATTTATTGGGTTTGATATATTTAACCACTCGTGGCCATTGGCACACAGTGTGTGGGTTACTGAGCGCGATTTTCCCAGGCGGCTTAATCATCGCACATGCGTTATTGACGTTAAAAAGATGGCTGCACCAGGTGATGTAGTGTAGTAAATTTGTTGAGACAAAATTACAATATCCGATCGCCAGGATAACAACAGTAACAAATGCATTTTCTCCCGTTCTTTAACGTGCACAGCCTATAGCACACGGGGTCTCGATTTATTGTCCCATCCGAACGACTAGACGCTTTATCAATGCCAGCCCCTCTTACCTGCATTAGTGACCGGGTTGAAAAATCCGATGGTATTATATTTCGACCTTTGCCGGGAGACACTCTGTAGAGCCATATATATAATTATATATTGGGATAGACTCTATGGTAGAGGCACACGGGAAATTTTACTCAAGACTCGCGTCGGCGACAAAGACCGCCCATGTGTCCTCACTACCCGTAAAATAGACCAAGATGAAGTTATAGATTATCAACAAAAGAGAAATAACTCTTTCACATCTAGATCACAAGAGGCCAATCTTAAAAGAGTGAAAGCCATAGTTTTGTAGTTTCGATGTGAAGGAGTTATTTCCCATAATTCGTCTTCCTCTCAATATTTCTCTTCGAACAGTTCAACAGCCTTAATTGTCGACAGACACAATCGCAAAGTGGTCACAGGTGTTCCAGAGAGTGTAAGCATGTCTTAAAACGTTTAGGTCGAGTCTAAATCGCACCTCAGTAGGTGAAAACATTAGTACGTCAGTAAACACGTCGCGTCAGACGCGTCAAAGTAATGAAAACACGTCAGAGAACCTCTAATCTTCATAATTCAGTCCGTCAGTAACTCAAAGATAAAATAACTATGTGAACATACTACATTTTTGACAGACTCAATCGTAAAGTGACCTCAGGTGTTCCAAAACGTTTTAGTATGTCGAATTTTGATCACACTTTAGTAGGTAAAAACCCCAGTTCGACAGTAAACACGTCAATACATCAGTATGCATGTAGTAGTTTCCCCCTTTTACAATTTCCTCCCAGTTTCCCCCATTGGTTATCAATACGTCAGTACACACATCAGACGCGCTAAAGAAATGTAAACACGTCAAACGCGTTAAAGAACTGTTATGTGTGACAGGTATTTCTGAAAGGTTTAGTATGAGCCAATACATCAGTACCAGTGTCTTCATACATCAGTCAGCATGAAAAGCTTAACAATATTATAAACTATGTGAACTCTCTTATAAGAAACCCCCTTGTTGACAGACTCAATCGCAAAGTGGCATCAGGTATTCCAGAAAGTTTAAGCATGCCTTAAAATGTTTAATTTGAGTTTTAATCACACCTCAGTGGGTAAAAACTTTAGTTCATCAGAAAACACGCCAAAGAAATGGTCTTCGTTACACGTCAATGCGTCGGTTCACACGTCAGACGCGTCAAAGAAATGAAAACACGCCAGACGCGCCAAAGAACCTCTATTCCTCACAAATCAGTCAGTCAGTAAATAATAAAAAAATAACTATGTAAACTTTCTTAAAATACTACATTTTTGACAGACTCGGGTAAACCAGAAAGTGTAAGCATGCCTTAAAAGATTTAGGTCGAGTTTTAAACACTCCTCACTAGGTAAAACATTAGTACGTCAGTAAACACGTCAAAGAACTGGTCGACAGTTTGAAGAGATAAAAACTCATTCTTTCCAAGTAAATATTCCAAAGCAAGGTTTGATTTTCTCTCAGCTTCAATTCTTAACGGAAAATCTTACTCAATTCTATGCCATCCATATTAATTAATATTTAACGTTCAGACGCTGCTTTCGTTATGTAACGAATTATTTGAAATTTCCTAGAAAGTTTTCAGGGTTAAGTTTGACTGTAAAATATATAGACACGAATACGTAATTTTTATACGCCCACACGTAAGATGGGCGTATATTGTAATCACCCCGTCGGTCCGTCCGTCCGTTCACATTTGGCTCGTGCTCACTCTACAGGCTACAGTTCTTTATGGATTCTTTTGATTTTTATTTTGTATGTCAATGTTGTTATGAAGATGATCCCTATTGATTTTCGTGATGATCGGATAATTTTTCACCGAAATATCGTGTCTGACTTGACGTTTTTCTCTATTAGCAATATTGTGCAACTCGTGCTCACTCTACAGGCTACAATTTTTTACAGATTCTTTTGAATTTTATTTTGTGTGTCAATGTCATTATGAAGATGATCCCTATTGATTTTCGTGATGATCGGATAATTTTTCACCGAAATATCGTGTCTGACTTGACGTTTTTCTCTATTAGCTATATTGTGCAACTCGTGCTCACTCTACAGGCTACAATTTTTTACAGATTCTTTTGATTTTTATTTTGTATGTCAATGTTGTTATGAAGATGATCCCTATTGATTTTCGTGATGATCGGATAATTTTTCACCGAAATATCGTGTCTAACTTGACGTTTTTCTCTATTAGCAATATTGTGCAACTCGTGCTCACTCTACAGGCTACAATTTTTTACAGATTCTTTTGAATTTTATTTTGTGTGTCAATGTCATTATGAAGATGATCCCTATTGATTTTCGTGATGATCGGATAATTTTTCACCGAAATATCGTGTCTGACTTGACGTTTTTCTCTATTAGCTATATTGTGCAACTCGTGCTCACTCTACAGGCTACAATTTTTTACAGATTCTTTTGATTTTTATTTTGTATGTCAATGTTGTTATGAAGATGATCCCTATTGATTTTCGTGATGATCGGATAATTTTTCACCGAAATATCGTGTCTAACTTGACGTTTTTCTCTATTAGCAATATTGTGCAACTCGTGCTCACTCTACAGGCTACAATTTTTTACAGATTCTTTTGATTTTTATTTTGTGTGTCAATGTCATTATGAAGATAATCCCTATTGATTTTCATGATGATCGGATAATATTTCACCGAAATATCGTGTCTGACTTGACGTTTCACTCTATTAGCTATATTGTGCAACCCTGTAGTCACTAAAGACTGTTTAATCATTTCTGACAGCTGCCAGTGGGCGTATGTTACCTTGCCTGGCAAGCTATCTTTCTCACTTGTATTATTACGGTATGGAGGAAGTATGACGAATTTGGGTGTGGTTTGGATACCACGATGAGGTGTACATGCCTACTAGGATCCTATCAACCAGCTTGTCCTTGGCAATGATCTTTCCCGAATTACCGGACCCATTTACCACTGGGTCGACTGGAAAGATGACTTATTAAAGGTCTCCATACTTTCACGCCGACCAGGATTAGAGCCAACGATCAACATTTGTTGGACGAAATGAAGCTAATGCCGCAATGTCATAGGGATATATAACTCGATGAGTAATGTCAAGTTTCCAACGATCATGTGATACAGGGCGCCATAGAAGGTTAAGACTGTTCCCTAATAGCACTCTGCATGTTAGAAAAGAAGTGCAGCGTAGTGCCAGTGAGAACAGATCAACACCATGCTGTTTTCAATCATACAAAGGCAGTTGAATCGGTCTGTCACCTTTTTTTCCAAAAGTCAAGTCATTGCACAACCTGAAAAACACGGAGCTTGGATTTATACGATCCGACCGACCAAGAAACGACGTCAGAACAGGGTATACAATATATTTAAATTCATCTTGAAGTATAGGTTCGAATCCCGGACTTTCAAATAATCTAGCAAGTGTCGAACTAGCTGAGTTAAGTGCTGCCTCCCTGTCAGTGACATGACGTGTCAATTTCATCCGTTTGTTATATCAATAATTAGAAGGAGGCTAGAGCTGTCAAACAAAATGCCAATATTTCTGACATGATAATCGAAAAGTTCTCTAATTGTCATATCGCATTCTAATATTGTTTCAAAACTGTAGGTTTCCTAATTTCTTTGAAGTTATTCAGGTCGCGAAATATTGAAACAAGATAGAAAAATATTGGAAAAATTGATTTTCTGTCATCTTATCTTTAATATGTTTAATGTCAGCCCTTTATCTTTTAAGTATGGTATCCTCTAAGAATAACGCCCCAGTTTCTCTTTGAACATGAAGATAGGAAGAATAACGCGACGGTACGAAGAACAATCGTCTCACTCAGTTTCTCCTTATTAGTAATGGTATAGTGAATAATTCACCCGGTATCTTCTTACCAGTAATGGTATAGTCAATAATTCACTCAGTTTCCTCTTACCAGTAATGGTATAGTAAATAATTCACCCAGTTTCCTCTTACCAGTAATGGTATAGTCAATAATTCACTCAGTTTCCTCTTACCAGTAATGGTATAGTCAATAATTCACCCAGTTTCCTCTTACCAGTAATGGTATAGTCAATAATTCACCAGTTTCTTACCAGTAATGGCATGGTGAATACTTCACCCAGTTTCTCCTTGTCCGTAATGGTGTGATGAATTATTCGCCCAGTTTCTTCCAACCAGTAATGGTATAGTGAATAACGCACTAAGTTTCACTTTGTCAGTGATGGTATGGCTAATAATGCACTTGGTTTTCTTTGTCAGTGGTGGTATAGCGAATAACGCACTTGGTTTTTCTTTGTCAGTGATGGTATGGCGAATAATGCACTTGGTTTTTCTTTGTCAGGGTTGGTATGGCGAATTATGCACTTGTTTTTTCTGTGGCAGTGATGGTATGGCGAATAATGCACTTGGTTTTTCTTTGTCAGTGATGGTATGGCGAATAATGCACTTGGTTTTTCTTTGTCAGGGGTGGTATGGCGAATTATGCACTTGGTTTTTCTTTGTCAGTGATGGTATGGCGAATAATGCACTTGGTTTTTCTGTGGCAGTGATGGTATGACGAATAATGCACTAGGTTTCTCTTTATTGGTGATGGTATGTCGAATAATGCACTAGGTTTTGTCTTTGTCAGTGATGGTATGGCGAATAATGCACTAGGGTTCTCTTTGTCAGTGATGGTATGTCGAATAATGCACTAGGTTTCTCTTTGTCAGTGATGGCATGACGAATAATGCACTAGGTTTCTCTTTGTCAGTGATGGTATGGCGAATAATGCACTAGGTTTTGTCTTTGTCAGTGATGGTATGGCGAATAATGCACTAGGTTCTGTCTTTGTCAGTGGTGGTCTGGCGAATAATGCACTAGGTTTCTCTTTGTCAGTGATGGTATGACGAATAATGCACTAGGTTTCTCTTTGTCAGTGATGGTATGGCGAATAATGCACTAGGTTTCTCTTTGTCAGGGATGGTATGGCGAATAATGCGCCAAGTTTCTCTTTATTGGTGATGGTATGTTGAATAATGCACCAGGTTTGTCTTTGTCAGTGATGGTATGGCGAATAATGCACTAGGGTTCTCTTTGTCTGGCGAATAATATCTTTCCCTTTTTTTTATTATGGTAGGCCAAATATTTCACAGCCGATTGAACGGACATTTCTGGGAAGAGGTAAACGAAACTGGTGCCCATTTTTTTATATTCAATGATAGTACGCATACGACGCCTCATGTTCTCGACCTCCCCTTGTCAGTAATTGTGTGATGAATAATTCGTTCAGAAAAGAAAGTATATTGGAGACTGATGATGCATAACTTATTTTCTGTTCATGGCTTAACAGTTGTAACATATATTGACATGAAGACATTGAGATGACCGTGCCTCGTTTTGTCATCGATGATCGATTACTATTGATTAGTGAGTGGTGTTTGCTGAATGAAGTTATATAAAATAATGTTAAATAAATGCCGACTGTTTATTTTATTAAAACAGGATATCGAATCTGTCAGTTCATGTTTTATACTATTTGAACGGATCGCATTTGAAGGAGATAATACGAATCGGTGAGTCTTTTATGCATTTAATATATTTTCTTCTGGAAATAATTCAGGTTTTGTAACTGCCCACATTAATATTCAGTTCTGGTAGTCACAAACTTTCGTTTTTGCATGGTGTCAATTATTTTGCAGGGCAGATTCTTGTGCCACAGTGTTTGAATGATGGATGTGTATCGTCTTCAGATTAATGCATGGATATTGAATGTCACGAATTGAACAAACTGTATAATGTTGATATTTCGTGATATGCAATTTTGGTTTCGGTAAACTAAAAATCTAATATCCTTTGGTTAACTCGGGTACATTGGCTTTTTGAGTATGGCGTTGTACATTCTAATCTTCCGCTAATACACTTATACGGTGTTCAATGAAACTGTGTTAGTACAGCAGCATTGAGGAAGAGAAGTGGGTAGCGGGAGTTGAAATGAAACCGACAGAAATCTTGACAAAATTAATGACATTTACAATGCCAGATGTCTCTGGAAAGGATGCACACTTCCTACCTGATGCCCGGTGATCGTCTCTCACTTCTTAGAGACCAAGACACAAAAACAACTTTTTCTAAAAACGACATAGTCTAAAATACTAAGCTGGATAGCTCATTATTTGATTGATATAACACGCCTTAGATGTAGATTTATAGGGAATATTAACAGATGGTGAGAAATTGTCACATCACATATAAACTGATAACAAAACCATCAATAGATTGAAACATCTTAAAAAAAACCACAATCTATTTCTTTTCTCGAACAAAATCAATAAATCAAATCACATCGTAGGGACTATAAATAACCCCTGTATTTACATTATTTCAAAGGCCATGGTGCGCCATTTTCGGGGGTAAATAGTCCTCAGAAGTTCTAAAACTGCACTAAAATCGCATATTTCCTTCAAATATACCTCAAACCAAGAAAAGACTTGTCTACATTTTAACTTTCAAACCATTCTGGACACACGTGGACTTGGGTACTCAAATATCAACGGTGTTATGGAAACACCATTACTGATTAGCTTAGCAAAAATTTCCCGCTTCTGAGACCAAGATATGATTGGTCTTCAGGTTACGAACACCCTTTAAACAATACACACTCAAGTCACCAATATTAGGGGTGATTGCTGGTTCAGTTTCCGCTATAGGTGCAAAACAGAAGTCCCGTCTTTGGAGATCCTTATTGAAGATCAATGTATCTCCTGAACCAAGTAATTATCAAATGATCATTTTATATCTGAACTTTTTCGTTTCATTTGTCTAAATGGACTATATCTTTCTTTTCAGATTTTGGTCGTGTTATTTTTTTTTTCTCTTTGCCTAGATCGACTATAGTGTGATGTTGAAAGAATAATTCGTATAACTTGTTATAGCTGATTTTATTTTTCTAAGAGCACTGCAGATATCAAATCCGAAAGCATGTTCTGTGTCTAGTTTTTGTCGCCTATAGCTTTTAATCAAAACACAAGAAACATAAGAAAGGAAAATGCAGAACAAAACAATAAACGGTATTGACACTGAAATTGCGTCCAATGGAAGTGCTGTGTACAGTGGAAAAGAGGTCTTGTATTACAACAATACCTTACTGTACCAACTAAACCATGAACGGATGTTGTTCAATGTACCAGTTATCGTCGTTTTATTTGTCATCATGTTCATTGGATTCTTTGGAAATATTTTAGTGATCGTAATTTATAAATTTTTCTCGCCGAAAACACCGGCCAATTTTTACATTTTATTTTTAGCTGCCGTGGATATCATGAGCTGTGTTTTCTGCATTCCGTTTCATATTTATAAATTATGGAATCCGTATGTGAGTGCTTTACCTATAATTTGCTGCATCTCGCGGTTTCTGGAAGGTTTTTTCAATCTGACATCAGGATTTATTCTAGTGTCCGTAGCTTCAGAGAGATATTTTAAGATTAGCCTCCCTTTAATGCCCTATGAGATGGACAAAGCCAAGAAGATTTCAGTAGTTATATCTATTCTGGCGGTGGTCTTGTCGTTACCGCAGCTGCATTTTAACAAGGAGACTATCATGTTAATTGGAAAGTTGCAGGTTGTGGGGCAGTATTGTGGGGCTCTTTACGGTAACTCTATGTATTTATTTTTATACCAAGGCTTTTTGTTTCTGGTCTATTTGATATCTTATGGTGCTTTTGCTTATTTTTATGGTAGAATCGTCATCATCATTATTAAACGTCGAATGCAGATAAAAGCCAACAAGTCGAAACGTAAGGATTCTGGTAGCATGACGCAATACCTTAACTCAGGTCAAGTTACGGGTATAAGAATGCGATCCAGTAAAACAACAGTATGTCTGGCAACCATTACATTTACTGTCATGACTGGATACGTACCTTTTCTGACCATCATGTTAATACGAACTTCCGGTGTGTCGTTACAGACTACTGTAACGCCATCTGGTGAATATTTCCATTACGGTTCGTCTGCCATTGTGGATTTAGCGTGTACACTGTGTGTGAAATCTTACTTTATCAATTCAGCTCTCAACCCGGTAATCTACAGCGTTTTAAACCCAGCATTTAGATTCAGAACAAGACAAGCCTTGAAAATGACAAAAGGGCCTCGAACACAAAAGACTTCTAATTCTGTATCACTGACGTGTTGATACTCTCTTGTTGTGGGAATATTGAAATTACTTTTTATGTAGATCTGACTCTGTAATTACTTCTTCTATGGGCCCATGACCCTATCGCCGATATCAGACGCCATCTTATGATGGTAGGTAAAGTAATGTGGCGAGAGAGTAGTGAATTGGGGAGAGTTTTCAGGGTTTTGCATTGTTGTAGCTTACAACGTTTATTGTGCGGGCAAATATAGTTAATCTTTTATCTACCTATATGTTGAATACGGTTTATTCTCATATCCAAGTAGGACGAAAAACTCCATTCTTTTCATTTTTTCCCTTATCGCCCTTTTCATATCTATAATTTCCATTTTGGCCCCTTGCTATTTTTGCCCTTGCCTATATCGGCCTTCCATTTATGCCCCTTTCTTATCCAAAAACTCAAAAAATCATATTTTTATGTGGTCTCATACAACAGAAGGAGGGCGAAAGGGGAAGAGGCAGAATAAAAGGGGTGATATGGGTATCGGGCGAATAGGGAAAGGGACAATTAGTGTGGGGCGATATGGGCAAGGAGCAAAATATCAAGGAACGATACGGGATATAGGCGCAACAACGAACTATATATCGCTGATACGAATTTTGATTGAGGAGTGGTTGACACTTTGAACATGTGTCTTTGGTATCGATCTTCATAAGAAAAGATTGCCACCAGAACGACTTGCCGTGATACCAATACATCAGCAGACGAATTGTCGCAAGGACAAAGTGACTTGAGACAAATCTATAAACAAAACGTTTCCAAGGGTATTGTGCTTTTCTGAACTGTTGGCAAGATACAAGTTCGCCATTTTTGATTCCAAATTAACAAAACAGTTTCAAAACAGAGTATAGGGCGTTTATTGTGTTGAATGTTTGAAACACAACATTATAACATTAGAATCATCAACAAAAATATGAACAAAAACAAATCAAAATTCAAAAGACATTTTACATCTTCAATTACGTGATTAAAAGTTACCACAACCTGGAAAGCGCAAATATTTTTTGTTAGATCGTGTAGGACCGAACATAGATATTTAGGCACATCTATCAAGGTGACCAACTTATTTATATTTGGATGGAATAAATCGTAATGGAAACATTTAAACTACCAAAAGATAAAATGGTCAGAAATCGCCACGAATGTGCATAAATATCTCTGCTCCTTTGTGAAATATTGAAGTGAATATTTTTGTTTCGTACCGTATAGTTCACCAATACCATTATACTATAATTATAATATCATTATACTTGTTCCGTTGTATTTTCAAAATGTTTACAAATAATTTTAACCGGAAACAGAAATTGACATGATTTATCTTAGTTGTCTCCCTTTGAACACAAGGTTTACTAGAACAAAACAATAATGTATCTCTTCTATCAAAAAATGACAAGAAAAATGGGACAACCAACAAAACATACCTTGTTTTGAAAATGAACTCAACTATCCATGCACTACATCATATAATGTTGAATGAAATGATGCATGTTCGGTTGAGTTCTATAATGGATTGCGGAATGCCAAACGGATGATTCACGCGTTTTTTCCAGTCTTGCCACACAGGAACATAAATAAAGATTTGGATGAAAAATGACGAGGTTTGGGTCGGGTTTCTGAATAAGGTTTCAAATCTGTCCAATGTTCATTTACAAAAGACAACATGACTAACCAACCATCACATCACAATCAGCATGTTCAAAGAAACTGAAATGGATCTCCACAATTTCAAACGAATTTCATCCTGTACCTTGACTGTAATTGTCACTACCTTTCTTGTATCACATAAGTTTGTAAATGCAGTGACTTTGTTAGATTGTACGTTATGTACGAATACAGCCAATCAGAATCTTCGACAGAAAGTCTGTAGTCTTTATGAGGTACTCTGATGGGATGTATTTGCTGGCGTACAATAAGGTGTTTATTGCAGTCAAGGTATAAGACAGAGTTCGCGATAGCTAGACACCGTGAAGACGTTTTCATACAAAATACGACAAACACTTGACCAATGGTTGAATCTTTTGGAACATCTCAAATTATTTTCCTGCTCTAAGTATCTTTAATGCCTCAAAGACAGAACTATAAAGGATTTTGAAGTAATGTCTTATGATTTGATGTTTCGCACCAGTGATAGGTTGCAGAGTTCCGAATCACTACGAGTTATTCACTTGTTTATAGTATCATTGAATTCTTATAGTCACACACACACACACCTTCATTGGTCGTAGAGGAAAATAAATCGTCGTCTCAAAGCTGGTCTGCTTTATATTGGATTTGCCCTGTTTGCAGACAGCTAAGTACGAATGATTTACGAAACAGTTAGCGAGACTTTTATCATGGAAGGGGTGGTAACTCGATGTTTAATCGAAGACGTCACCATTCAAACCCCATCTTGAAATTTGTCCTTAGTAATAATAGCCTAGACCAAGGAGCTTCAATAGACTGTAGGCGACACGGGCTTATTCAATATCCTTGGCCTATACGAATGGCTCCAAATGAAAAAAAAAAAGTAGCCAGTAAGCTGTGTACAGAAATAGTTAATAAGTTGGTAAGTCCAAGAGAATCACTGAGCGGTATTGAGACATTATGAACCTTGTGTCCGACCCCATCCCTCGTATGATTGAATAAAATGATATTATGCTTGGTCACTGCTGATGCTGCCCTCTCGATAGAGATGACGTCATCATTTATTGTGTAGAATAATCCGACTGTAAGATATTGTAGGGGTTATTACTTTCGACTGAACTGAAATTAAAAAAATATTTCATGAATAAAAATTATTAAATATTTAGCTTAATGAATAGGCTATATAGAAGGTTATTCAAATTGTGATGACAAACAGTCACCAAGGTAAAGCAAATGACAGCATGTTTATGCTTTCGCCTCGATATACGGGGCTCAATTGGTAGCGACTTGGACTGTTAGGCAATTAGGTGAAATCTGTACCAATAAAAAAACCTATCACCTTATACAAAGGACATTTGAGTGGCTCAATCGTTAGCGACGTGGGTTGTTCTATGCTAAAGAATTTGGTTGCTTTCTTCCCGAAAGTATGACAAATACGGATACTGCGTTCGGTATTTGTTCTGTATGACTTCTTAAGAGCACTTTTCATTCAAAACAAAGACTGAAAACCGGGTCTCACCTGTCACTTAAAGAATCCTCGTCCCTTTTTCCATATCTAAAAATACTGCCACGTTTACCGTATCTAAAAAAATTATTTCGTTTTCCATATCTTAAAAAACTGTTTCTTTTTCCATATCTAAAGGGTAATCGTACGCCTCGCTTGTCCAGACTGCTAAAAGGACACACACAGGGACTGTCCGTGGTAGTAAAACATCCGTCTGGACATTCGAGATATCGACAAGCAACGTCATCCAGTACCACGGCTATCACTAAACACACTGATATAATGGCGATTTTTGTAGGCATTCTGACCTGCAAATAGACAAAAGTAAACATAGATTAAATCATTAAATCAAATTTCAATTTGACTTTTCTACTTTGAATTTAATTAATAGGCTTCACATCCGGTTTTGTAACCCTGGTTTCACTATTGGAATGGATAGAAATGCAATTTGGAGGAGGAGTATCTGTCCGCTATCTATACTATAAACCAAGCAAGAAACTCTTCTGATCCGCATTCATATTGTCTCTGATATATTTGTGAAGTCGTGGTAGATCTGGTATAATTAGTAATGTTACAATTGGATTGACGCTCCAGAAACACGTGTCGAGATGAAGTAGCAGTACATGTTTATTTTGTGGCATATCGACTCCCCTGAGGCCATGTACATTACCACCTATTTATTCCTTGGTATAAATTCTTTCTGAAGTGTTTTTGAAGAAAAAACAACATATCACAAATACAAGACAATATTATTGAATAATCGCACTTCTTTAACTTAATATGTACTCTTCACTTCTATATGCGTCTCTGCCTCTAAACCAGCCTCTGACTTTTGAAAGTTGTTGGCTGATGTAGAGTCAGAAAAACCAGGCAATTATTTGAGGGGATTTTCCGTATTTTTTGAAAGCTATTTAAATACCTCGGATCCGCAAAACCCCGATATGTATTTTGCAAGATGGATATTTTGTAGTTCGATCATTATACTGGAAGAAACTGGAATAGAGGCAGATGCTCCGATCTAACAACATGACAGTTTATGAAGGGTATGTCTTGGAGTTATGATTTGTGAAACAATTATTACAGAGCCAAAAATTCAAATCTTTTCCGATTTCGCCCCCTATCACTCTTTCTCATAAAAGCGATTGTTCATTTGTTAATCGAGAGATAAGACTCAGGACGGTAATTCATTTATCATTTGTTTCCATTTTAAAACACCAAATTCAACCTTCTATAACTTTTTTCAGAAATATCGTCGACAATTTTCCATATGTCACATGAAAGCCTGGCCTATACCTAGTTTGTGGACAAAAATTTGCGCACAAAACAACCATTTTTAGAATTATCCTTCCGCGTATCATTATCTCACAACGGGTGGAAGAAAATGCAATTTCAGACATCAAATTCCAAATCTATAGACCAAAAATAACTCAAAAATGTGCATGCAAAAACCCCAAAAGGGAGGCATAAAGAGGATTTCTAAAAAAGAACGGAATCATTAGCATAAAAAGTTTTAGTGGTCTTAGCGCTATATATGTCAGTCATTTGCCAAGGTTAGCTCCCCTTAAACCGGAAGTAGTTACCACATGTTAGCTTACCAAATCAATCAAAAGCTAGCATGATACTTTAACAAACTGAATTATCATGTTCTTCTGTGTAGCTGTAAGTGTTCTGTGGTCAGGTTGTACATTAAGATAATTTGACAAACATCTAAGCTTTAGGTGACCTTAACCTTTTCATGATCAAAATAGAAACGATGGGCGACCTGATGGCGTATAATGGCTGTTCTAGTCCCCAGGGTGTATTTAAACTATATCCAGTTCGAAACAGTTAGATTATCTTTCAATTTACAGTAATCCTAACAGCGGTTTAACATTTGATTGACTCACAGATAAAACCAGGCAGCTTCACGAACAACCAGAAATCTGAAACGTTATAGCAGGAAGAAACTGTGTCCCCCTTACACCCTCAGACATGATGTTGATGTGAAGGTTGGAAATCCCACGTATCCACAAATCAAGATAAATGTGGGGAATTATGAAAGTTCTCCTAGGCTAATCAGTAATAGTGTTCACAGCTAACCATCGAAATGTGAGCCTTCAAATCCATTTGTGTCCAGAATTATCCGAGTTTGAAAGTTAAAATGACGACTCGTCTTTTTTGACACTACTCCATATATTGCAAAGAAATTAATTTCTATTTTGAGGTAAATCTGAAGGCATTGTGTGATTTTCGTGAAGTTCTACTTCTGGAGACTATTTACATATATTCAAGACCCACATCAACCCCTCAAAATGGCGAACCACGGCCATAGCATTTAGAAATCACTAAAAGTCACTTCTTTCACCCGCAGACCAAAAGCAATGGTTGGTCTACCTACCCACCACCTCTTCCAATAAGATGGTAATTGGGGGACATTGTGAACAACCTTGTGGACAGAATAGACCCAAAAAAGCCAAATCAGATACAATATTGAGAATAAAAAACATCCATCCAAAAATGATATAACGACATAAATCTTTTTATAAATTTTATAAAATTGATAACTTCTTCAAATTCCCTTCCTTTCTCCTACTCCATCAAATTGCTGAAAGTTTCTGGAAATTTTCAAACACTTGAATTGATCTAATATGTTTTAAGTGTTGTCATTAACTTTCTAAGTTTATCTAAAGACACGTATATTAAGTTAAAGTTCCCATTATGTATATATGGAAGATAACTAATACTATTGGCCTTCAAGTCCTTCACATGCAACTGTCACTTAAATTATATTTTTATCGTCGATGAATATGTAAAAATGATAGAAGATATAAAAACAGTGTAGATTATCCCCAGAGCATCATTCTGTCGGTGTCTCAAGTTTCCATCTCGAACTTTTATATACAATGTTTTTAATTGTCTGAACGATATTTTCAAAGATTGATCTACGCAACGGTTACCACCAGAAAACCGTCGTCTTCTCTTTTATTCGCCTATCACAGAATTTTTATAGGAGAGATTGTGGGAGGGCTGCGTGCCGGGGATGGGGGGCTATAGGTGACAGAATTATATAATCAGTTCACATTAATAACATACAACTAACTTTATATTAGTGCTAGCTATACACAATTAGATTTGAACGCTTATTTTTATTTTATTTACAGAAAACTGCCGATTTGCTAATCAATTTGTTAGATAGTTGGACACCATAGTTTCATTCTAATTGTAGATAATTGTCATTGTATTAAGCACAGTGTGCTATCTATATTGGACATGATAATTTGGAATGCTGTAGTGTTTGTGCGACCACATCCTCACAATGTCATGCTATTACGAACTTCGTCTTATTCCTAGACTGCAATAGACAGCCATCTTTCTTGTACCGACCAAATCGCTGCATTCATTGTAGTCAAGGTATAAGACGTTATAGATCGGCAGGTTTAAGATGATGCTACCACTGAACCTAACAATCTGCAAACAAGTTGAACGGAAAACTGTTGAATTCAAAATAATTAGCTTCACTAATACCTTTAAAACCTTAGTTTGTTTGTTTTCGTGTAGATGTTTAATAACTTTGAGACACAATAATACTCAAGTAATTAAAAATCCGCATGACGCCATGTTGCCACTCTCCGTTTTCATTATTAAAGATGTTAATTTAAAAAGTGTCATATAACAGGAATTCACATCTCATTATTGGTTTTTATTATTCTGCGACTTGAATCTGACGAACCTATGCTATACTAGACAAACATATCAGTCCTAAATGTTAATCAAATATCAAAAACTCGTATGCAGCTGGTAAAATAAATTAAAAACACTAATAACACAAGGTTATGATATTTTACACTTCGTTTTCATCAAACTTTCCTTATTGCACACCGCATAGAGTTTTATATCCTACTGTTCTGTACCTTATTGGATTAATGAAAAGAAATAGAGTTTTATGACCCACTGTTCTGTACCTTATTTGATTAATGAAATGGAAAGAGTTTTATAACCCACTGTTCTGTACCTTATTGGATTAATGAAATGGAAAGAGTTTTATAACTCACTGTTCTGTACCTTATTGGATCGATGAAAAGAAATAGAGTTTTATAACCCACTGTTCTGTACCTTATTGGATTAATGAAATGGAAAGAGTTTTATATCCCACTGTTCTGTACCTTTTTTGACTAATGAAATGTAAAGAGTTTTATAACCCACTGGTCTGTACCTAATAGGACAAATGAAATGAAATAGAGTTTTATTATTATATCCCACCGTTCTGTGCTTGTTATATGAATTTTATGTACAGGGTGATATAAAATTGACTTTATATTAGAGTTTTGTTCAACCCTTCCATGATACAACTTGAACATAAACATACTACAGCCATATACAATATTCCTAACTTGTCTCTTACGCTTCCTCTTGAAGATCAGACCGTTCCGAACTGTAAAATCATCAACAACAAAGATGTTCTACTCCTAAGCGTTGAAGGAGCTCTTTAAAATCTGGCGAGTTTAAAACACCGTAAGATCCTTTTTAACTCGGAGAAACAAAAATTGAAATTTAAAACTAAAAAATCGGAAATCTTCCGCGATTTCAAAAGAATTGAAAACTCGAGAAGATTGAAAAGGAAGGTCACATGGTAATGAATAGACCTGATCTTCCAGTACAGTAGCACAGGATAGTAAAGTAAATGTAATGGTGTGAATGATTTTAAATTCATATTAAAATGTTAAATTTATAGCGATGTCAGCGATGTCCATTCGGTGACATCCTTGGTCGACGTCAAGACAAAAACCGAGTTCCATGACGTGTACGTTAAATATAAGCCTTTAACAGTTAAAAATCAGAGCTGAAAAAATGTAACATTACCAAATTTCTGACTAAGGAATTGACATCTGGCCTGAGAAAAAAAAAACATTTCTCATGCTCAGCTAAGATGTTACTTCAATTATTAAAGCCCCTCGTATCAAAAAAAGATAAAATTTGAAGAATAATGTGATAATGTCAGAAACAATGTGCCCTGAGGAATAGATTGATATATTTTATTTTCTTTAATGCAATCAGTTATGCACATGTAATAGGTGCCGAAAATTTGAGTAAAATCTCAGCTAAGTGTAAAAAAAAAATTTTACTCCCCCGGGGCCTGATACGGAAGAATATGGCGAAGCACATTCACAGATTCTGCCGACATCATTAAAGATATTTTTCTGACTGACTTATTATTGAAGTTATTATTTAAGAGTCAAGAACCTTATAAAGACGACTTTACTTGAACGATTTTTTTGCACTATATGTGTATAATAAAACACAATAAAAATTTCAAAGATAGACATAAATCACAATTTGAGTCATTTGTTTGTGTTCAACGTGATTCTATTCCTTACAAATTGTAGTGAAAATGAAATTAACTTTTTCACGGTTCATCAAGTCCTTAAACATTATCAGAATAGACAGTTGACGTACATATATAACGTTTTAAATGAGTTCGAGACCCTAACAAAGTTTTATTTTCTCGATTAATGACATCCTAGAAATAAATTTCTAAAATTAAATAACACAATAACACACGAACACAATCTAATTACACCGAAGCCTCATGAAATTGTTTCTTCAAGTTTTTCAATATTTGAGTAGCTTCCAGAGAACAATTGATTTGGCTTCCTGGTGACCAAATTAGCCAGCACTAGTACAATCTGATATTGCGATTCGAATTAAACATGTGAACCGATGTGGTTTCTGAATAACATGTAATCAAAATTATGCTAATCAAAAAAAAAGAGACAAAAACGAGAAATGTTAATGGCTAGAAAAGGTCGACAGGCGATTCAATGCATCTTAAAGGGTCAGGTTCGCTACCCGTTTGACCAATCGTACCTTAGAATCAGAAACGGGAAGTTTTAGCTTACATAATCAGAAATAATCCAAACTGACATCGAGATATTCACTGACTGGATGATCTTTCAGGTCGACAAGATTAAATGTTGTTCTCATATGAGCAGCTGATGGCGACAGGCGACAAAAGTGGGCTTTGCAGTCGTCATATTGCTCAGGCAGATTTTCCCAAAAATACCAGCTGCTAGCAGTTGTTTGAACTGTACTGATGCTTTCAGATTCTGCTAAGGTAGACATTACTTCCCCTTTGGTTGCTTTTTAACGTGTATTTTCTCAGATACATTTTGTGGAATGAGTGTCAAGGAGAGTAATACGTAAAACTCATTTTATTCCCTCTTGCTGTGATCCTCTTGCTGTGATCCTCTTGCTGTGATAATAGAAAAACGACTATACGTAGGACAAAGGGCGGCAGTAATCCCTCATAATAGGACATAATATAATGCGATTGTAAATCAAAGTGAGTCCAATATTTGGATAAGAGTCTGTCCAATTCGCTGTATTAATCATACCACTACATTACAGTATCGACTACTATTATTAAATCAACATGGACTCGTTTTAAGTCTCTTAGTTCGTGAATATGCATCCATATTCTGATTATGTTATCACTATTTCCATTTTTTCCTCTCTGAATTAACGTTATTTCAATCTGTGATATCATACAAATTAGATTAAAAAGCAATTAGCTAGACTCTTAGCTTGTTTACAGTGTGAAATCTCGTGTTACAGCTTCGCTAACATAACTCTAGATAGTCGAGATTGGTAAAAAGATTTTAAACCATGAAGGATTCTCGAGTGGGTACAATGTTTCTGCTTCCAGATCTTAAATAAACCATTTATTTCCTTAATTTCACAAAACACATTCAAGTGGTCGAGTCCTCAATGAAAAAAGTCACCAGAGAAAAAGGTTGTCATAGAAAATTCAATTTTACATTTTTATTTTAATTCAAATTGAGATGAGGAAGTAAAATCTCATTCAAGTTCAAATTGTTACAAATAAAGCAACCAAACGTAAATTGAAAAAACGTCATGTCATCAACTAGAACCGGAAACAAACTACTGTACAACAGGCGCAAAAATATGCAAAACAACGTAAACGTAGAATACCCTATTTTCTTTCAATCTTGTTTTCTGATGGTTTTTGCATTGTACATGTTTTCTACCACAGTCCTATTCAAATGACGTTAATTTTAACTAATCAAAGTGTGTCCTGGTTACTTCATTCTTGATAACATAAGGAATTGTTGGATAGCGAAACGAGAACAGGATGTCATGTTACTCTCCTTTTTTGGTTTCGCTATCCCACAATTCGTTATGTTATCATCCTAAAGGGATTGTAAAGAGATTTTCTAAACTTTTAATGTGTATCTGGAACACAGATAGCATCGATTTGCCCTGACTTTATCATTCAGACGTTTGTGCTTCATGCAATTCTACTAAACGTCTGTCGCAATATTATATATAATAATAAAACCGCATAGTTTTAGTGGAATTGCACGAACAACAGACGCCTGATTGAAAATGGAATGGTGCAAATCGATGCTATCAGTGTT